CACTAATTTGTTTCTCTAATTTTTCTGCTTTTATCAAAACCAACTTGATATCAGGGTGGACTTCCCCTTTAAAATTCGTAATGATATTTTAAAGTCAATACTCATCATCCCCATATGCATTTTGTTTACACGTGAGGCATGTAAATATTGGCTTTAATATATAGTTGCAAATTTGTATAAAAAGATTCGGAACAGTTTTCTGTTATTACTATAAGACCGACGGTAAAACTTGGACGTATCGACCTATGAATAAGTAGGCATAATTTGAAAACATAATCTTTACACCTTAGTAGCCGTAATACAAGTAGTCATTGTTTCATTATAAAAATGTAGTCGAATTGTTCACTTTGGTGAGCAGGTCGATCGATACGAGATACAGCTATCGATTGAAACCCCTATATTATCTCGAATTATATGGCTGTGATATGTTTTTTTAATCGTGTTTAGTATACTGATCCTAATTGATTAGGCAATAGACGTTTGTAAAGGAAATCAAGCTGGACAATGTAGGTGTCATTGTTTTCCTGTTTGTTTTTTGTTATTTAATGTCTTCTTTTTTTTATGAAAAGAATACATGCAGACCGTCATACATGTCAGGGTGATTATTCATTGCAAATGCAACATTTTTTTATTTTTTATATTTTTTTTTTATACATTTAGTATTTATAGGCGTATTTTAAATCATATTACATGTATATTTTAACGAAATCGTAGAACATAATTAATTGGATTAATTGCTTAATCAAGTCTCTCTTACCTCGGAGGATCTTGTACACAATTCAAACAAGGACCACAGTAGAAATATAATGTACATTGACATCATTCTCTTTCGAAAATTGTCATTGTTGATAATGTAATGAATATAAAAACAACATATCATGAATACTTGTCGGACGGCTGCTTTCAGCATCTGCAGGATTAACACACTTCGAAAATATTTGGACAGACAGTCTACAGAACGATTGATTCATGTTTTTGTGACTTCTCATTTAGATTAATTTAACGGATTGGACTTGGATTACCGATTTCCACCATTTCTCCACTTCAACGTATTCAGATTAACATGGCAGCCCGTCTAATAACCAAAACCAGAAAATATGAACACATAACTCATATTCTTAGATCTCTTCATTGGCTACCTATTTTGAACTCGCATCAGTTTAAGATTCTTTTAATAGTGTTCAAAATTAAACATGGGTGTGCTTTATCATATCTAAACGACCTTCTGAAACATATTGTTCCATCACGCTCATTAGGGTGAACTAGTCATGCTAATTTCCAATACGCCCCTGGTCCCCGAACCAATATCCGTTATGGTCGTCGTGCTTTTACTGTTGCAGCCCCTAAATAATGGAATAGTAATGTTTACCAATTAGTATCCGTCAATCCCGATCCGTAGAGTTTGAAGTATTTCTTGTTTAATAGTAATGTATAGGGCAGTTTTGTTTAAAGTATGTTGCTGATTTAATATCCGACTGTAATTGTTATTATTAGAAATATGTATTATTATCATTGCTGTATGTGTACGTTTGATACGTTGTACATTGTTTTGTTACTGAGCGCTTAGAACATTGTATTGAGCGCTTTATAATTAATGATATTTCTTATTATTGTTATTATCAAATTATAAATATTTGTCTATGATAGGTGTTCTTGGCATTGAGTTATGATGATTGTGCATCGTGATTAAGCCGTCAGTTCTTGTTCGCACATTTATTGTTATATATGTTTATATTTTACATCCATTTGTTATCATTTGTTCGAATGAACTTTTACTCTGAGCTTTTGGGTATCTTTCAAAGACAATTACATTTTCTATTACGTCAACAAATGTTTATTGTTCATTGCATATTATGATTATTATACAGCTGTATATTTTATTGATTAAAGTGGATTGTAACGAATATTCAATATAATTTTGTTAAACAAGTAAGCACAATCATTAATATCAATTTTTTGGGGGCGGGGTACAATTTACAAAGTATTGATATTTTCATGAAAAACTAAGAAATGTAGGGCAGTCTTAAAGGTACTATGTCCCATTTGCAGGCCAAAAAAATGAAAAAGTTAAATTCCAACTGCATTTGAAAGATAATACTAATTTAGAACTTCCCTAAAAAGTTGGGGCTTGAAAATGTCTTCAAGTGGGAAAATAACGACTATTAGTTGTCAAATCGACTTTAGGGCTATAGAGCCCAAAAGTAATAGTCTTGATTTTCAGACAATTGTACCGAAGGGTCATACGTTTTATGCTGCGCAAAGATTCAATCAGTTTAATCTTGGCCATCACAAGAAGTGGGTTATTGATGTAGACAAATGCTCATGTACCCTTTACAACTCTTTTCATGTATGTTATTACCAAAGAAGAAAAAAGCCAGTCAGTCACTCAATAGTGTCTGACAGTGAAGTCTAGCAAGTAAACGGGTTTCCTTGCATAATTTGATTATGAGGACACTGCTAACGTTTAAATTTCACAGATAGGACATACATGACATATTCATAATTCCCGCAAAGTTCTACAGAATTTGAGGTTGGCTGCAAAAGGGACATAGTACATTTAATGGGTGTAGCTATATTCAAAGTCCATTTTTTGGATATTTGATATTCACCGATCAATGTAAAATGTAATTACTCGAGACAGAACGGAGAATCTTGATACATTAAAACTGATAACATTATATTTCAACTGTTAAAGCAATGACAGGGGCGGATCTAGCTTTTTGCTAAGGGGGGGAGTTTGACCAAAATAATGACGATGCAGAGCATCGTCCACGAGCCGCGAAGCGGCGAGCCGATTTTTTTGGGGTGCTTATTTGAACCCCGTAAGTGATGTTTTCCTGGCATCTATTAACACAATGGAGACCATAAAAGCAGTGCATGATAACGTCTTTTAAAATCAAGTAACAGTTAAATACACAGTTATATCCAGAGTTATCATGTGTTTTTTTTTTGTTTTTTTTTGAGCCGCCCAAAGGGGGGGGGGGGGGGGGGGTTTAAACCCCCCCCCCCCCCCCCCCCCCCCCCCCCCCGTAGATCCGCGCCTGAATGACAAATATCTGTTTTAATCAATCAATGCTTAACCGATTTTATTCATTAAAAAAAAAATTCGCGCATGAAGAAAAAAAAGACTTTCAATAAAATCAACCATATGACAATGTTAATACCCATATTTATCGCACTTGAAATGTTCAACCATGGAAATCTAAACACTGTATATAAATAGTATATCCAAAGATGTTAGCTTCAGATCAAAATGTCGTGATTAGTCTGACTTTGAAAACTTATTTCTTGTCTAATGATACCCCATTCATAAATGTGTTTTTTTTTTGCCATGGATGACCGAGCGTGAAAAGTGCCGTCAAAATCTCCTGGGCTAATGCAACAAATGTGGGTCAGGCCATATACAATGTTTTATTTTCGTAAGTGTTATTTATTGCGAATATATTTTTTGAAAAAAAATTATCCTGGGCAAAATATATGGAAAATGAATTTGGCATATATACGTCAAGGAAATACAATTAAAACAGTTTGATTTAAAACTTCTCTTTTAAGTTATAAAGCATGTGAAGAATATCTATATCGTTTCAAAAAATCTGATCATGATTATTGTTTGAAGTGCAAATACACAACAAAATATTGTCATACATGTTATGATTGTGAGTACTCCAAAATATATTGGAACAAGGTCTTATTTTTCTCAGAAAAACAGAATTATTGTTTGATAATGAAAAAAATGATTAAGCCAGATATATTTGTATGCAAGCAATGTGATTATATAAATTCAAAATATATAGTTTTTAAATATCTATTAATTAATTTAGCTTCTTATGTTTTATATACGCAAAAAAGGAAATGTTATTTTACAGACATATTCAACATTTATTTAAAGGAAGTATTGTGCAGGGCAAGTGTTGAAAAGTATCACCTACTGAAAAAATGTTGATTATGCTTTTTTTTAAAGTATGATTAATTTTGTGATACAAGTAAAATTCATGTGTTTTTCTCTGTTATGAATATAATTATGTGTTTCTTATGTATGTATTATTCAGTTAATAAATGATGGAGAAAAAAGGAAAAAAAAGAAGAAAAAAGTGTAATTCTCATTGGTACAGCTGATATTTTAGTTTGTCAGTGATCCAGAAACAAACATACAAGCAGGCATAGTTAATTGCACGTTGCCTCATCACATTCGTTTCTCACCATACCATGGCAGATAAAGGTTCAGTTAAGGACAAAATAAATCTCAAAATACATCATTCACTAAAGAGAAAATTTGGTATGCATATACTATTTTATTGGCATATGTCAGGTACATAAGGCAGTTATTATATATTTCAAAATGTTACTTACAACGTCATATATCTACATGTAAAATTTAAAAAATTGACAATCAATTTTATGTTAAGCCTGATTCTGAAAATCCTTAAAATATACATGCAGCCTTTAAGTATCAAATTGTAAAATTCTGCTATACAGTACCAGTACTTCCAATGTAGAATTGGCTATTAAGAGATGATTGGAAAATCGCATAGGCACTAAATATCACACACCCATCAGATAGTGATAATCATACTACTATTATATATATATATAAATATATATAATATATATATATATATATAAATATATATAATATATATATTAATATATATAATATATATATATATATATATATATATATATAAATGTATTATTATTATTATTATTTTGTTATTAAACTTACTTTAAAAAGTAATTATTTTAATATTTATGATTAATTACCATTCATTAAAATCATAGAATTCAAATACTATATTGAGTTTCGAAATACATGTATAACTGAAAATCAGGATATCATTTGAAAAGTGACACATGCTCCTCAAGCTTTTGGCTCCTCCCCATGTTCATTCCTAAGTTGTAATAAAATAGTAAATTGTGCATATCTCTACAATAACATTCAGGATAACCTGTAATCCTTAATACCTACTTTACAAAATCTTTACGAAAAATATATATATATATATATTGCATTATGTAAAAATAGGTATAAAATGTTTTTAAAAACTAAAACAAGATACAGGTACACCTCAATCATGATCCTATATTTCATACCAAGGTTTATGTCAACATCCAAACAAATACAATCTACATATTTCCAAAAATAATTCAATTTATAAAAAGGAGTGAACTGAACCTTTAAAAGAAATGCGGAATACATAAAGAGACCCTCAGCATGATGCCATGCTTGCAGCAGGTACTCTGACATTGCAGTGATCTCAAGCTTGTACAGCTAGAGAAACATGAAAGACAATCAAACTCAATATGTATTTCAGAAACAATTACATACAGATTGATAAACTGCACAAAAAAATAATACAATACAGAAAAAAAAAAAAAAGTTTGTTGTAAAACAAGAAAACTGTAAATATATATTGTAGTTAACAGATATAAATGTAAAAGAAAATGATTGAAACATACAATTTGGTCTCTGAATAAATGTGATAAAGAAGTACTTAAAGACCCGAAGGACTGAATTTAAGTTTTGGTCTGAGACGGCTGCCATCTTCAACAGCCTTAATGAAAGGCGGTACAGGCAGATTTGACTTAGCATCATAGAGCTGACAATTCTTGTAGCCTGTACAAGGCATATCACGCCAGTTATAGCGAACCATCGAGGCTCTCTCCCCTATAGCAGTACAAGGATCTTGAAAGAAGATGTGCGCTTTGCCAAGCTCATAGCCGGACGTGACGGGTTTCCATGGTGAACTAATGCCCACAAGAGGGCAGTCTTCTGCCGATAAGTTGCAACATGCCTGAAAAATCAAATCAAAATAATTCTCATGATAAAACAGGATATTTACTGAACTTCTGTCAATGCAGTCCTAAGATCAGGGCCCAACATTTCTGTACCCACATCCTTGAGGGTCAAATCTCTTGCAGAATGCACAGAAACAGTGAGAGACAGGAGAGAGTGCAGAGCATTGGTGTATGAATCCATGACCCTCAAATCTAATGTGAATATATTCCTCTGGTGACTCAATCTAATCCATAGTTTATAGTTCACACATCAAGAACTTAACTGTTGCCTGTAAAGACAGAGTCATTTTTGTATTACTTTTTTTCCTGAAATGATTACGACAATACAGTTTATTCTTGATATATGTATTTTATATCTCCTCAGAATATAATTGGTCAATCTAATATAGAGTCTCAGAGATTGCTCAATAAATTTCTGAGAAGATATTGACTTTATCTATCAAGAATAAACCGTATTGTCGTACTCATTTCAGGAAAAGAAGTAAGAAAAAGTTATTCCGTCTTCAGATATGATGATAAAAGCCAGACAGTTTGACAGATGGACAGGCTACCCTAAAACATACTGCCTCTGGTATTATCTTGGATGGTAACGGGGTACACATGAGGTGAATACCGTTTTGGCTGGCGTAAAATCTGCCTGCGATACAGTACTAGCTTAAAAATCAATGAAGATCTGCTAAATTACGATCATTTTTTAGGTAAACTTCTTGTAAATTTATAAGAATATTGCTGAATTTGGTATCAGTTTGTAGAAAATTATGATATTTTGTTTGGTCCTTTTTTTTTTCTTTCGTTTTTTTTTCCTCTACGAAATGTCAAAGTTTGGGGTTCGGCCTATGCACCGCTGCGGCCTTATCGCCGGCAAATACGGTACCTTAAGAGAACAGGAGAATACTTACATCAAAACCACTGGCATTGTTCATCCTGAGAACATCTTTACCATCATCAAACTCGACAAGGAGGTCTGCGGAAGCAATCCGTATGACTGCTGTAGGGAACGGACCTTGGTAGACGACATCCCCCTCGCCGTAAGCCACAGCACGCGCTCCTAAGGTCAGTCTGTTGGCTACATCCTGCTTGTAACGCGGATGGATCCTGAAATAAAACAAATGACCCTCTCGATATAAGAAACAGAATCATATGGACTTGGCACAGCACTCAGGTCATTAAGCATTTGATCTACATTGCTTCTCTCCAACGGCGTAAGATTAAAAAATGTTAAAAATTGCAAATGTTAATGTGGCTCAAATGGGGCCTAGCTGGAATATTCCCCAGGGAGTGGAGCATGTGCAATCACTCAGTCTTCTCTTGAGTTCATCCCAAGAAGGACATGGTGTCACATGTTGTATTATAATGACCGCTTCTTGTACGATCAGTCACTCTTCAGACACTATCCCCAATGAGCAGTTATCCTCCCCAAGACAACATCTTCATGACATATACCCCCTACCCCTAACAGAGTTTGTGAAAACAAAATTTCCTGATTTTTTTTCTTGATGTGAGTTTCAAATTCTAGGATCTTTATAAGCCATCATAGTCAATCATCCATTAGATATGCATTTTGAGCATGAGACAAAATAAAGTCTGTACAGAGAGTTAGTAATCCAGGAGGGATGATAGTCCAGGAAGAAGAATTCCTAGATCCATAAAATATACCTCACTTATGATCAGATCAGCATCAGGATTGCAATGCTCTGGCTACAATATAGTTATTCCCCTACATGATATTGTTTCCTATGGTCTATTCATCTGACTTAAAGATATAGTTGAGTTCTGGTCATGCGATTGCATTGTGAAAGAAACGATGTGGAATCGACCAGAAAAGGTTGATCAATTAGCATATAAGAATTTGTGTGTATTGCAAGGTTCTGGAATTTGGCCAAGTCTTGGTAAAATTACAAACACTTGCACAGAAAGACGTATATGGGACTACACGAACACGTGGCGTAAAAAGCCGGCCCCCCGATTCATACGATGTTACATGCATATTTAGAATATGAAGGCATTTGAAGAGCCATGCTTTTCAGGGAACATGTCTTAACTGATGTTCTTCCATACTTGCATAATAAGAATGAGTAATATTCACAAATTATTTTTCACCTCTTCTCAGAACTCAACCTTCTCTTTAAACCCTGGGGCCACCTGGGGTAATGTCATGTTTTGTTTGGTCTGTTGTCAGTCGGGTGTTGGTGCAACTGGGACGGAGGGATGTGATGGTTATTTTACCTGACTGCTAAGAAAGCATAAATGCTTGTAAGTAAGCAACCAGACGGCCAGCGGCTTAAAGTCCTCTCCGAGGGACCTGGTAGTGAGGATTAATGCCTTACAAAGGGCACTAGAGCATCGCCTTGGTTTCAAACCCGGGTCGCCGGATTACGAGACCACTGCTCTACCGACTGAGCTATCACGCCTCAACTGTGGTACGAGCCAGTGCTTAGATATCACTTGTATCAAAATTGTAAAACCCATTTCGGTCATCATTCTTCATTTCTTCACTGACGGCATATTCTGTGATACACAGGTGGAAATATGCTTCTCAAGAAGGCAAACTAAAGGTATTCATGAAGCACCTACATCACTTTGGCAGTGATTATTCTACAAATGCACTAAAGTGGTACGTCTCCATGTGGAAAAGATCTGTGGACAGTTATGGGTCATTTATACCAAGGCTAACTAGGAACAGGGGAGTGTTTCATTAATACTAAGATTGTCTTTAAGTTGGACTTAAGTATAGCAGGCCATTCATGCAACTGGTTGCTCTGACCATTACGATCTTTAAATATTTTTTCCTACAATAATGACTATCAAAAAATGTAAATTCTGTAGATTTGTGACCATGATTTGTACATCCCTTGAGAGACAAATGCCAGTACATGTGGGGGAAAACAGTGGCATTAACTGCCTGCCATATTTAAGTTTAACTTTAAGTTGATCTTGGTCTTTGTGAAACACTCCCCTGGGGGTGTTTCACAAAGATCCTAAGTTGAACTTATCTCTAAGTTGGACTTAAAAATTATGGAAAGCCATTAGCGTCTTTGAAAATGTTTTGTAAAAGTTGTTTTAAAAGGCTGAAATGTTGATTCAAATCTTTCATATTTTTTATTATCAAGAAGATTTCATGTTCTTGATGTGGAGTTTATGAAAATTCTAAAATACTTGAATTTTTGCTTTTGAATATATTTTATTTTAAGGCTACAAATGGCTCTCCATAATATTCAAGTCTAACTTAGAGTTAAGTTCTACTGAGGATAATTGAGAAACACCCCCCTGGTCTATAAGGGAGTCTACTTACGCTTCATATGGTGAGGTGAGATCTGGCAGATCAACAGCAACAGCCATGAACACATTGGGTTGATGAGGATTAGGTGAAAAACCAAAGTCTACCGTCTGATGCCACCTGAGGGCGGTATAGTTTTCATCTGCTCTGGTAACTGGATTACTTGAGGTACATAGCTATAAACGAGAGAAAAAGATTAATTCTTTCAGTTAATTACAGATAAGGTTTACACTTTGGTTGCTTTTTTCTCCTCTCTGCATCACATGTTTGCCAAACATGCAATTTTGCACAGAACATTAGGCACCAATTGATGGAAGAATTGCTTTGTACAACAAAATGACTTCGTTACAATACTCATTTCCGATCTTGATTAGCTGGTGTAGATTAATCTTGTACTGGGGCAACATTAAATAATCTTGAAGTCTTTGGTACATATATCTATCCCATGTACCTCATTCTATTTCATTTCATTTATTGACCATTAAAGGGATCTGGTAACTTTGTCTTTGATCCTTTAGAAATAATCCTTGATTTAGCTCATGCTGCAATGATAATTATAAATCTTTAGGTCAGTCAGGAACTCCATGACTTTTACAAGCCGATCGCCTGTCTGATTATCAAGATATTAATGATTGGAATTACAAATTTTGAAAAGCATTCACTGAATGGTTTTCATAACACTACAGTCCATTGGGGAAAACGAGTATGGTAAAAGCAATCACTCAAAGATTTTTACTTTTTTGAGGCACTTCTTGATCATTTTGAAGCGCAATTTTTTTAGGGCTTCAATATATTACACCATATCACAGACACTGGTAACATGTAGGACCGTGTATCTCAGATTTAACATTGTTAAACGATCCCTTTAAACAAAAATATATATACAAAAACATCAATACAATAGAAGAATGATATCAAAGAACAACAACATAACAAGTAATAATGGCTAGGGCCCCTGAGAAGCAAGACTGCTTACAGTACATTATAATATCATATATAAATTAACCCTTAGGAATTTGGATGATTTTGTTAAGGTTAATTTTATACATTCTAGCTGTACCCATATTATTCTTTATGTGACTGATACCCTTGATATCAATTCTTTAACATTTATCTGCAATTGCCACTCCCCACCCAGGTGTAGTGAATGGGTACCTGGTAGGAATCTATTCCTTGAATGCTTTTAGCGCCTTAGGACGGCTGGGCTAAAGCCAAGGTAATAATAATACTTTGTAGCTGCCTAGAGGATCCCCTATATGGATACATGTACAAGAGCAATATAATTGTAATAAAGAAACTGAAATAGATGTCAATTCACCTGAACAAATCCAAAAGGGAAGGATGGGTTTGTCTGGCCACCGGTACCCTGGTACCATTTATCTCGCCAATCTTCAATCATGGTTGGAAAGAGACACTTGTAGCTTGATGGAGATGGAGTGTTGGCTTCACCTTCAAAAATGATAAAACATGGTGAGTTTTAACAAAGGTCAGAAATAGTAATAATGTTTATAATAATAATAATAACAATAACAATATTAAAAATATATAATAATCATAATAATAATAATTATTACAACAACAACAATAATAATAATAACAATAACAATACTATAATGAATAATAATAATAGTAATTGGTTTGCTGAGAACAAAAAGATGACTCTCTGCACGAAATTGTATTATGGCGTTGATTTGTACTTTAATCAAATGACCAACGATGTGAGTCAAATGTCGTCGAACAACGCAGATAACAAAAGTCAAGCAGTGAAAATACTGGAGTCTACTGAGAAGAGACTTGCTAGAAATCCGGGGCATGCAGAGGCCTAGACAAGCAAATTCATGAACTGGAAGAAATGGGATTTGCCAAGAAACTAACAGCAGCAGATATCAAGAATTATGAAGGGCCAGTTCATTACATATCACACCACGCGGTTGTAAGGCCAGAAAAGAAGCACCCCTCTCCGAATAGTCTTCAATTCATCAGCATCATTCCAAGGTCATCGATTAAACGAGTACTGGATGAAAAACCCTGATCTCCTGAACAATCTGATTGGAGTACTTCTGAGATTCAGGGAAAACGAAGTGGCCTTATGCGGGGATATATCTAAGATGTATCATCGAGTGTCAATCCCAGAGAGAGACCAACATGTTCACAGGTTCCTATGGAGGGACATGGATGAGCACAGAGAACCTGACATCTATATGATGAAAGTTGTCACTTTCGGTGATAAACCGGCACCTGCGATAGCCCAGACTGCCCTTAAGCTTACAGCAGAGCAAGGAGAGAGTACACATCCTCAGGCAGCTTCTGTTTTAAAGAGGAATGTGTACATGGATGATATTTGCGACTCTGTAAGGACTGTAGATGAAGCCAGGAAACTCAGCGCCGAGATGGATGAAGTGTTGAATGAAGGTGGCTTCAAGGTCAAAGGGTGGATTTCTAATGAATCAGATGTCGGAGACCTCACCCAGGGAAAGATGAAATTGTTGGATGAGATAGCTGAAGAGAAGGTCCTTGGAGTAGTTTGGGACAGAGAAAATGACACCTTCTCTTACAAAGTAAAGCTGAAAGACAGTGTAATGAGATCAGCAATAGATGGAGAGAGTCAAGAAAAATTGACTAAGAGAAAGATCCTTGGTCAGATTGCCCACATATTTGACCCCATAGGATTTGCTGCACCAGTGATTGTTAGAGCAAAGATAGGTATGCAGAAATTGTGGCAGAGAGGCTACAACTGGGACGATCATCTTTCACCAGAAGAAGATGCTGAATGGAGGCTTCTGTTTGAGGAAATGAAAGGATTGAATGGAGTATCACTAGAAAGATGCCTTACTCCTCCTGATGCTCAAGGCAAGCCAGTGTTGTGCATTTTCTCTGATGCTTCCGAAAATGCATATGGTGCTTGTGCATACCTGAGATGGCAAACCAGAGATGACAGGTATGAGACTCGCTTCATTGCATCAAAGTCAAAGGTAGCACCGTTAAAGGCATTGACAATACCGAGATTGGAATTACAAGCTGCCGTGTTAGCTGCCAGACTTTACAAGTCAATCACCGAAGAGATGAGACTGGAGGTCGAGAAAGTAGTGTTCTTCACTGACAGCATGATTACTCTGCAGTGGATCAAGTCTTCAGCCAGGGTATATAAGCCTTTCGTATCAAGTAGAGTTGGGGAGATTCAGACTCTCACTGACCCATCAAGTTGGAAACACATTCCTGGTGAAGATAATCCAGCAGACAAAGTTTCGAGAGGAATCGCAGTGAAGGAACTAATGGATGAATGGATGTGCGGTCCTAACTTTCTCCACCTCAATGAACCAGAGTGGCCAGTGGACAAAGCTATAATCGATCAGAATCTTGAGAATCTAGAAAGACGAAAGACTCGGACAGTCTTAGTCATCAACATGACAGTCACCCCCATCGAATGTGAACGCTTCTCAAAATGGCGAAAGTTAGTAAGAGTGACTACCTACGTTATCAGATATGTGCAGATTCTCGAGTCAAAGCTCATGAAAGCATCCATACCGGAAGATGATGTAACTTTAACTCCTGCAGAATTAGAGAAGGCTGAGCACTACTGGACGAAGGAGGCTCAGAAAGGTCTGAAGAGCAGATTTGAGAAAGGAGAATTCAAAACTCTCACTCCTTTCCTTGACAACAAAGGAATAATCAGAGTAGGGGGTAGAGTGGAGAACTTAGTGACATCCTACGAATCTAAACACCCAGCTCTGCTGCCAGCTAGCCATCATATAGCTCTTCTTATCACACGTCATGTTCATGAGATTGGACATCCGGGAATTGAGACAACAACCGCCAAGACTAGACGTAAGTTTTGGATTCTTCAGGGACATCGTCTAGCTAAAACTGTTAAGCATCGATGTGTGAAGTGCAGGTCAGCAGAATGTAAGCGTGAGACACAGAAGATGGCTGATTTGCCCAGCAGTCGCGTAGCACCCCATACTCCACCGTTTTATTACACGTCCTGTGATTATTTTGTTCCATTTCAAGTTAAAGTTGGTCGTAACAAGAGGGCCAAACACTACGGTGTAATCTTCACATGCCTAAACACCCGTGCAGTTCATCTTGAAATCGCGACTGATTGTTCAACAGTGGAATTTCTCCAAGTTTTAAGGAGATTCTTCGCAGTGAGGGGACAACCAGCTCAGATTCTTAGCGATAATGGTACCCAATTTGTAGGAGCTCAACGCGAACTTCGCGAGATGATATCGGGATGGAGTGAAGATGAGCTCAAAGATTTTTGTGCGGAAAACAGGGTACAGTGGAAGTTCATTACCCCTGGTGCACCCCACCAAAATGGGTGCGCCGAATCGCTCGTGAAGAGTGCTAAAATTATCCACCTATAAACGGCCGTAAACCGAAAAACCTATGGTATCTTTCAATAAACAAGAAAAAAAGTAAATACCAGCAAATCCACAAGAAATAAGTTTCGATCATCGTTCGTTCGTTCGTGTCTCCTTAGATCAAGATAGTAATGTAAAGTTCCTTAACTTAGAAGTAAATTAAATTAAATTAAGTTCTTCCATCGCTCGATTGCTGCAATGGCCGTTTCATTAACAAGGGACAGGTCTTCATCTGTGCAACCCGTTCCGCCGCACTGCAAGAGGTGGTCCATCGTCTGAGTCTCTCCGCAGTCGCAGAGAGTATCTCCTTCATGGGCATAGCCCCATCTTGCCATATTGACCTTACACCGTCCCATTCTCGTCCGCATTCGATTTAGGCATTGCCACTCCGGCCACTTCAGGTTAAGACCTTTGATGAGTACGGGCTTGACTGATGGTGGAGGATTCTGTTCAGTTGGTGGGACAGAATCGAGGAAGCTGTGTCGGGATATAAGTCGTTTGTGGGGTTGTAAGTATCCGTGTAGCATGTGTCTGTCATCTGTCGCCTGCTTCATCCGTTCCTTTAGGCAGGTGTTAGTGCGCCTTTGGTTAGGAGATCCAATGCCAGCGAGGTGATATATCTCCTCAACTTTTGTTGGTTTCAGACATCCTGTTATCTTTCGATATGTGTTATTGAGTGTGGTGTCAAGCTTCTTCACATGGGCTGATCTGCTCCAAACTGGGCAAGCATATTCTGCGGATGACATGCATAGAGCAACAGCTGCACTTTGTACAGTTTTGGGGTCAGCGCCATAGTGTGAAGATACTAGCTTCCCGATGATGGCATTTCGAGATTCTACTTTGCCTATTGTCTTCTCGATATGTTTCTTGAAGGATAAAGTGCGGTCAAGTTTTACACCTAAATACACTGGATGCTCGCAGTGGTTAAGTTGCACATTGTTCCACTTTAGCTTCAGTTCTCTCTTTGCCTCCCTGTTCTTCAAGTGGAAAACACACACCTGAGTCTTGGATGGGTTTGCCCGTAGGTAGTTTGCTCTGTAGTACTCCGAAAGGCTTGCGAGCGCTGTGTTGAGATGGAGTTCAACAGCTTCGAAGGTACTATGCTGGGCTGTGATGCAGGTGTCATCTGCATAGATGAAGTTTCGAGTGTTCTCTGTTGAAGGGATGTCAGCAGTGTATATGTTGTAGAGTGTTGGCGCCAGGACGCCACCCTGGGGGAGACCGTTTTTCTGTTTCCGCCATCTGCTCTTCTGCCCATCCAGTTCGACAAAGAAGCGTCTGTTCTGCATCATCTTCTGAATGAATCTGGTGAGTTTGAGGTCATTTGTGATGTCATGAAGTTTTGTCTGTAGCCTTCGGTGATTGACAGTGTCATAAGCCGCAGATAAATCCACAAATACTGCACCTGTGATGAGGTTGTTCTGAAAACCGTCTTCGATGTGTTGGGTCAGGTTGAGAAGTTGTCCCGTGGTGGATTTTCCTGGTCGGAAACCTGCCTGCTCACAGTTCAGTTGGCTGTCAACGTGAGGCCCAATTCTGTTGAGAATAAGGCGTTCAAGCAGCTTGTATGTTTGGCACAGGAGCGAGATCGGTCGAAAGTTCTTGGCTTCGTTCGAGTCCTTTCCTGGCTTGAGGATAGCGACGACTTTGGTTCGGAGCCACTGTTTTGGGACACATGTGTTCTCGATGCAGTTGTTAAACATGTCTAGCAGCCATTTCTGTGCTACAGAGCCCATGTGTTTGATCTGCTCCGATCTGATGTCATCGATGCCTGCCGCCTTGTTGACGTGTAGCGTGGAGATACCTTGACTATAATACCTTGACTATTACTGACCTTGACTATTACTGTTTCGATCATCGAAACAGTAATATTAAAAATAATAACAGTAACAGTACTACTTCTAATCGACTACTACTAGTTACTACTACTATTACTATTACCACCACCAACCACCACCATCACCACCACCACCACCACCAATTTTATTTCTGTTTCCAACAAAGCATTACAAATCAATTATAGTCATTTACAACAATTATGGAATACATATTGGAAACGGAGAGGTCCACTAAAAAGCGATGCTTGTACAATTGTGGACCCCTCAAATGATAGTTAGGAATAATGAGTAATTAAATCAACAAATTTGTAACTACAAAAAGGAAGTAGAAATAGGAAAAAAGGGGATGCCAACAGAAACAAAAACTATTTAGCTAGAAGAAATGAAAAACCTTCTTTCGGAAACCCATAAAAGAAAAGGAAGTTTTTGATAATCTAAATGCTTTCGATACTAAGAAATCCCATGGATTTGACAAATTGCCAGGAAGATTAATTAAGGATACATATTCAATTTGTCATTAGAAAAGGGAGAGTTCCCAGATGCAAGACAGCAAAATTAACTCCTTTATAAATACAAAAAGGACGGAAGACCTACCCTGGAAATTACAGGCCTATTTCTGTTCTTCCGGTCATTGCAGAAAACTTTGAAAAAATTAGCTAATGGTCGTCTAATGAATTTCTTAGAATCTAACAAAATTTGTATGAAGATTAGTACGGTTTTCGCAAGCGATATAGTACAAAGTTATTATTGATAAACCTTGTAGATACACTTTTAAAATCAATGGATAAAGGTTAACCAACGCTAAGTATATTTATAGACTTTAAGAAAGCATTCAATACTATTGATCATGAAATCCTTTTAGGAAATTAAAAATATTATGGTACACAAGGCATAGTATTACAATGGTTTCAAAGTTACCTTTCAAATCGATTCCAAGTCTTATGCTACAAGGAAATAATATCAAGTAAAAGAAGGATAACATATGGTGTCCCTCAAGGTTCAGTCCTAGGGCCCACTTTGTTTTTATTACCGGTATATATTAAAGGAAATACAAAGTTTTGGTATGGGGTTATGAATTTGGTGGAAATGAACATATTGGAAGCATATGCGATCCTATAATATTCAGTGATCATTGTCGCGGTTGAAATTGAATCTAAAGTTATGAAATTGTAAATAATAAACTTGTTATGTTGTATAGCTCCCTCTCAAGGTCAAGATATAAATGAAGCTTTAAAACTCTTGACTAAAATTATATATCACAACTACATATTCTGAGATTTTCATGGTCGCAGCTACCATTGTACGGCCGTAGGCCCTATTTGAAACTTATCAAAAGTGTTTTAGGGGCTAAATTTTCTAGTGTCAATTTTCAAAATTTCCCAAAACTTTGTATTACCTTTAATGATTCACCATCTTCAACTAAATATTTTGAATTTAGATTATTTGCTGATGATTCAAATATATTTCATACTTTTGATAAAAGACAGAAAGAAATAGATATGAATGAAGTAACTATCAAATTGTTCTAAGTTCAAAAATGGTGTTTTGTTAACAAGTTGACAATAAACTTAAAGAAAACAAAGGACAAAGGCAACCATGTGAAATAAGGGGTATTTTAAAGATAAAGACCAGTTATGGCCATCGATTGCATTGTGAAAGAAACGTTGTGGAATTGATCAGAAAAGGTTAATCATCAAAATGATAAGAAATTTGGCCCAGTCTTGATAAAGTTACAAGCACTGTACACATAAAGATGTATATGGGACTACGCACATGTGCGTGACACATGCGTTTATCTCTCACACACCAATAGATAAACAAATTTACTAAATATATCAACTAGTAGGCGGTTTCCCGGCAAAATTGTTATCATCATGTATTAGTCAAAACATACTCTTTCACATGATTGGTAATAAGAGCTTCCACTTCATTTTTTGAAATTGGGGCATTTCCAATACTGGTCTTTACCTTTAAAACTTAGTGATACAGTGATATATAAAGTCAGTGTAGCATCTTTCGTAGAAATTCAAATTGATGAAACCTTGATGTTGAAGGAGCAAATCCAGAATGTCAATAAGTATACTATACAGAGGAGATTTGGACTGCTGTGTACATTGAGACACTATGTTCCTAAGAACATTATCATGCTCTTGTATAAATCCTTTATCCAGCCGCACATACTTTATGGTATTGAAGTTTGGGGAAGTTGCTATAAAAGTCAATTAAATTGCATGCCACTGGCACAGAAAAAGGCTATGCGTGTGAATAACATATTCCCTATTTAAAACAATTTCAAAGGCACTGTTAGTACGTCTACAGGTATTAGATGTGAATAATCTGTATCAACATTTGTATATGACCTGCAGAAAGGACAATTACCACATTCGTTAATGGATTAATTTGATTTAATGAATAGAACAAGAGGGAGAGAACATTATATTATGCTACGATTACCTAAATGTAGTATGACACAGGGGATTTTTCAATTTCTTTCATTAGAGCAAAGCTGTGGAATAATTTGCCCATAAATATATAAATATAAGAGAAGAAAAAACGATCATCATTTTGTAAAAATCTCAGAATTAAACTCTTACAGGAGAATGAAACCCTTCATTGTAACCTGCGTAATTATGTAGAGGACATTTAAACTCACATTTTCATACAACAATCATGTTTGTAGGGTATGTTTCTTCACTAAAGCTTCCAAAATAAGAAGACGGTTATCGTCTGCTATAAGTTCAGATGAGAGCCGCCATTAAGACGTAATTACGCTGTACTCCGCTCTAGCTCTGCAGCTGGCATGCATGCACTCAACACAATATGGCGCGCGCACAAGGAGCATATATGCATGAAAATGATATTAATAAATAATATGTTATCCATAATATATTTTGAGTAGTGCCCCAAGGGTGAAGGCACTTAGGAGAAAAAGAGAAATTAAATGTTTTGTACACGACAAACGGGAGAGTTTTCTCATTTCTAAGTCACAATTCACTGACCAAAGTGCCAATTACAGATTTGCCTAGCCGTAGCGATATCCTATTTCAAACATTCATAACTCCCTCATTATTGGTCTGATTTATTTCAAACTTTCGCCATTCTGTTTCTCTTATTTTTCTGCTTCCACACCAATGAAGTTATGACAAAGGGTCAGAATTCCCTTAAAATTGTCCTAAAATGTCGCTGTCCTATGTATGAGTCAATAGGGACTTTTAGATTTGCACGACGACATAGTGAACTGCTACGTGTGACGTCCTTTTAAGGCACTGCAGTGCCTTAATAAGCGAGTTCGTAATTAGGATCTGCGCATGGGCAGATAAAGGTCATTCGTACCCAAATTGTAAAACCATTGAGACGAATACTCGGATCATGCTCATGAAAGTTATGTAATCAGTAATGATTTATGCACCAACAGTACATTTATCTGATACACAGGTGGCAGTATTCTTCTCAAAAGGCAAACAAAAGGTATTCATGAAGCACCTCCATCCCTTTGGCAGTGATTATTCTAAAATGCACATGTGGGACGTATCCATTGTGTAAAAGATCTGTGGATATTTTGGGGTCATGCACTCCAGAGCGATTCACGAACTCGCTTAAAGGACGTCACATTGCCTTAAATGGACGTCACACGTAGCAGTCCACTGTCGTTGTGCAAATCTAAAAGTCCCTATTAAGAGATTGAATCTGTGAATGAGAACATACCCTGGTACCATATAGCTCCCTTGATGGTCATATTAATCATTGGATGTATCATAGCATTCCATAGTCCACTATGATCATGCGGACCTCCTATCGCTAAGTTATCTTTCTCCCTCTTCAGGATACTGGTAGAAAAATGACAGAAGGACATTGACATATAATCATTTTCATTTTCAATTATGTCGTTCATTGAAAATAACATATATTTTCAAGTAATTGCGGCATTCCAAAGATCCAAATATATAACCTTGCTAACCCTTACCGGTATTCGACTATCACATGTGTGTGCATGTAAATCATTTTAGTGAAAAGGGGTCCTCTTCACATGCATCACATGAGAGTTACATAGAAAAATATGCTCCACATTGTTCATAATATTCTAAAAGTGGTATATTTTCAACTTTAAGAGAAATGGACTATGGAATTAATTTTCTCTTTTTTTACTTATAATGAAACCTATAATTGCATGATTCTTAATTAAGCAGTAGCGTAGTATAATTTTGTGTGTTGGAACAAAAGGGAAAGTTGTAAGGCACTACATTACTGATTCAAAAATTCATAAATTTAACATTTTTTGTCAGATTTTGTTCAAACTTTCACCAGTCTGCTTCTCTGATATCCCTGCAGTCTTTTAGAGTTGTTTGCTATTAGGTTTGGAATCCCCTTTAAATAATTATAGATACATGTCCAAGTAGCTGTTCCTTTTACCATTTTGCACTGAATTCAATGAATATTTGGCACACGTAATTCTTGTACCTTAAAGGGGAAGTCTACCCTGATATTAAGTTGGTTTTAATAGAAGCAGGATAATGAGAGGAGCGGGTCAGTGAAAGTTTGAGCCAAAATGCTACAAAAATCCAATGAAGAATAAGACAATTATGAATTTTTGACGTTGCAATTAATCAAACACATGTGACCTATCTTGTGAGGTCCCCTCCCATTTGCGCTGTACTAAAAAAATAATATAATTTTTTTTTTTTTAATCATAATTTTTTTTTTATTTTCCCTAAGATATTTCAATCATACATGCACCCTAAATAGAATTATTTCTATACAACCCCTGTATAAAGCAAATCTATTCTGTCATCAATAACTAAGAAATTGGGAGTAAATGAAGTTTTCTGTACAGAGCAAATTCAAGAGGGGCTTGCAAGATATGGCAGTGTTGCCAATTTGTGTTTCCCTGATGACAACTTTGAAGATTCATAACTTTCATAGTTATCAGATATGCTCAAACTTTCATTAATCTGTTTCTTTTGTTTTTCTGCTTTTATTATTACCAGCCAATTACCAGGGTGGACGCCCCCTTAAAGGCTACCAAGGGGAAGTCCAACCTTATAATTGGCTGGTATTAATAAAAGCAGAAAAACAGAAGAAACCAAACCAAACTGCATACCAGTTGCATACCAAGTACCCTTAACAAAATTATCTTAAAACCTCCCTACAACAAAGCCCTGCATCTTCCACTAAGAACATGATTGACACAAAAAGCAGACAAAATATACAGTTCCTCATTCTAGACAAAGGAACATCCCTTCCCTGCTATTATGTAAAAATGTGTAGAACAGGTGTCACATGCATATTCACCTCTTCTACACATTTTTACATAATAGCAGTGAAGAGATGTTCCTTTGTCTACCACAGCAATTGTTGAGGGTAGAATGAGGAACAGTATATTTTGTCCGCTTTCTTTGTCCACTATGTTTATAGTGTTCTCACCTGTGTTTGTATACATTGCACTTTGCTAGAACATCCGGCGATGACCAGTCCTCCACCGGGGTCCCACCCCAGTTTGATGAAACCAGTCCTATAGGGTACTTGAGATGGTTGTAAAGATTGACTCCATAAAACCAACAAAGAGCTGAGAAGTACAAGAATCCCGGTGCTCCTTTCCCCAGTACATCTATATGGTAGAACAAAATAATCACGTAATGGAAAAGTTGCCAATATGTCTGTTGTGACAGAAGTGCACTTGAAATTGCTTTATCACTCAAGTCATTTGTTTATTGTACCATTGATGCATGACATGACTACAAGCATAGTATGTAATATCACTTCCTCAGGCAATGTGTCTAGCATAGCACCATCTATTGATGTGCACTTGATTCACACTCAGAATTCAACATGAATTTGGTTGTGTCGTGAGGATCCAGGATCCCCTTTTTGCCAGCGCATCATGGGGATTTGAGCCATATTATTGTCATAAGGGCAGGCAAAGAGGTTGGTTTTGTTGTATATTCAATGTATTTTCATGAATTTTCAGAACATAAAGTGGAAATTAGTGTGTGTGTTTTGGACTTCATACTGAGAGATGTTGATGTTAATACGTAATTACAAGACTATGCTGTTATGATGTATGTATACATTTGACCTTGCATTAAGAACATGAATAACAGTGAGGATACTGCTAAATACTTTGAAGGTTAACTATGAGAGGGCTGAAGCACTAAGTTGAGATTTAGAATTTATTATTGTCTAGTTCATTGCTTATTCAAGCTATAGTTAAAGTAGATATTCATTGAATATAATAACTAATTATATGTTCATTATTGCAAAGTTGAAACTTTGATTCAACAAGCCTGGTTATCAAAATTTAAAGCTTGGAAACATTCAAAGTAATGATCATTATAAATTACAAAACGCTTCAATACAGGCCCGGCGTGGCACCTGAAGAGCTCTCCGAACGCTGCTGAGATGTGTGAGATCACAGTATGGACATGATTTGCACAAGCAGACGATGTCCCATGACATCTCACACATTTTCAGTGCCTGTGTTTTCATTTTCTCTTGAGTTTTTCTCTTACTTCACTACCGTCAGGCTAAATGTATAATCTATTGCCTCACTCTAAACCCCGCGCATGGTTTTATTTTGATGACAAATGCAGCGATACAAAAATAAAGGAATCTGTCGCTTGGAAACAAAATAAGACGCCATTGTATATTCAGCTGCACACACCGCGGTACGTTCGGCGTTCCAAGAGGGAACAAATGCCGTCCTTAGTATCATTCGGGGGGGGGGGGGGGTTTTCAATTTGAAATTCTGGTTTCTTTGATTGTTAATTAACCCCTATCCTGTGTATTTACAAGCAAAAGATTTTAGTTATCAGAATCGGATCATATCCCCTTTTGAATGGTTTGACATGCCATTACATTTATATACACTAAACTCATTATAATTTGACAAATAAAACCTTTGCAATTATGTTCATTCTTTATGGGATGTCGTCTGCTTGGGCAGTCTTGGTCCATATAGTGACGTTATTAAAACATCGTTATTTTTCCAGCGAATCTCTCGTATATCCCAGCTGCTAAGGAGGTGGTTGTATTTGTATTTTTATAAATCACCCGATATGTAGTTGACCTAAAACTTGTACGATGGCCATCTGTCAGCTTACCAATTTCTAGTGATACATTAGTTGACATATTTGTGATTTTCTTTGCATTTCACCTTTAAGTCTAGTTGAGACACTTGTAGTGTGAGTTTGTAATTTATGTAAAGCCATAATGCAGATGAACTACAATAGTAACTGAGGTTATTTTAATAGGTTATAAAGATCATTATAACACAATGTACATTTATGAGTTTCTCTAAGAGACTGTATTATTGCTATGAACTTGATGATGCTTTGATGTACTTGTATTCATGATAATTATCTGTGTCATTATTCCTAAGTTTTCACAGAATGAAATGGTAAGCAAGATTTTCTCCAATCATTAAAGCTACAAATTCCCGTAGAAATCTTTGTTGACCTCGCTACAGCCTCAATGTCATTAAATGTTTTCTAGCATTTAAAGAAACAGGAATCGGCAGTGAAGATCTGTTTTACAGCAATAGTAAAGTACTACCAACGGGCCCTATGAAGATATGACAACCAACTATAAATTTCCATTTCTTGGCAAGATAGAGCTGAAATTACTAAATGTTGAAAGGCGCACAGAAAATGTGATTTCCTCGAAATTTTAGTTAAAGCTCTAGAATTTGTGAGTTGCATTTAAAAATATCACTGAAAATGTACTTAATGTAAAGTCTATAGCTATCAAAGAGGACTTTAATTCAACTTTTACATTAAAAATGTCTTCCATTAAAAAAAATGCATAAGGTTAACAGATGATAACCCGGACTAATATTTGGAAATTTGGATGGCACCTTGTTTAAAGTCATTTTATGTGCAACAACATATTTTTTAGAAAATGAAAAAATGAGTGAAATTGCGATTTCCTTGCCTTGTAAAGAAACAAGAGATAAGGAGAAATATACCTGACATCATAATTGTAAGAATAAGACTCACCAGGATCGGGTCTTGCCCAAGGTTTATAGAGCCCTGGAATGTCATAGTATGGTACTGCTGAATCGTTTTGGAAGACAGAAAGAACCCTGATGTCTGTATATTGATAAGACTGCTCCATTGAAACGGATCCATTGAAAGCCTGCATGGGAAAGAACAATGAAAGATTGGTCATTATGGGATGCCGAACCCTGAACCTTGAAATGATGAGCCCTTTCAGTAGCTCCTAGAAGCTATTGCGGCATGATGATATGCTGTACGTCCAGGGGCGGATCTAGGGGGGTTTCAACGGTTTAAACCCACCCCTTGGGCGGCCAAGTGAAGAAAAAAAGGGGGAAAAAAGAAGGAAAAAAAAAGAAAGATAAAGTAAAACAGTAAAACGGCACGATTTTGGGAAAATCCTAGATCCGCCACTGGGTCAAAACCCCCCCCCCCCCCCCTCCTTGGCAAAAAGCTAGATCCGCCCCTGACGTCAGTGTGAGGTACTATGCATTTTCACATATGTAAAATGGAATGTGAGTGCTCATCATGGAAGTAAAACATGCCTCTGTGTTTATAGCACATATGGGATCAAACAGTTAGCAGGCTGCATCACATGAATGATTGGTAGTGGCAACCTCTTTGAATGTAGATGGGTCGGTGATCTTGACCACAGGTCCCGGTAGATGGTTCTAGGTTCAAACCCTAATATAAAGCGTTATCATATTTACTGCTGAGAGATAGCTACCACTCAATGTGCATCTCACATCATGATCATGGTAGCATTTTATTTACAGCAGTTAGATCGCACCACATCTGCTAGGTACATTACTTTCTACAGTTGTCCACAAGGCATGCTGAGTATTCTCACACTTTCTAATATTTGTCACAAAAAATACAACACATCCAAGAGGAGATATTAAGATTAGCAGGTAAAGAATGCTGCATCGGGCGTGATTTGAAGTCATGCTGACACCTGCAGTCATATCAACTTTTTTTGTCAGGACTTAGCCTCGACTCAACCCACTTTGGTCCCTAATATAAAAGGGGTTTTAGTGTCCTTATTAGGTTGGGAATCCATGTCATGTAAAGGCCTATTCAGATTGGAGATTATTATGCTATTTCAAAACTACTTCCTCTGCAAGTTTATTGACTCATACAATGGAAATAATGCAATTCAACATGAGATAATCAACAACAAAAATAAATTTACCTGTTTGACATCAAATAAAATAAATAGCAACAGTCTTAATCAACTATTACGATGGAACTAATGAAATTCATCAAGAGATACAAAAAACTAAAATAAATTTACCTGTTTGACATCAAATGCCATGTTACTTTGTCCGCTACAAACCCACACATCTCCAAAGAGAACGTCTTCAAGTTGAATGACCTCTTGAACTCCTTGGTTGTTTGAGGTCACCTTGATGGTGAAGGGGCCACTGGGAGGTTGGGGGTCAAGGGTCACTCGCCATACACCTTCAGCAGTAAAAGAAGCTGTGAATAATATGTTACAAATAAAGAACATGAAAGAGAGATCTTCATGCTTTTTTTGGGGGGGGGGTCAAAGGTTAATTTCCATAATACACCATCAGAGGTACAAGAAGCTTGGACATTTTGGACATTGAAAAAGAAAAAAAGACACTAAAAAAAGAGATATCTCAATCACACACAGCTTCATAGCTGCATACTTGTTTCATGTACTGGTATTAAAAAATTAGAAATGAACACAGTTCATAACTTAGAATTATGTAAACGTACATGTACTGCTCCAAATACATGCATGTTCTTTTCTGTCAGAGTGAGAGTAGCCTAGTGTTAACTTCTAAATGTGATTCAAAATTGGACAGGTCAAACTTATAGAACCTGAACGCATAGAACGCATTATAGGCTAAAACATTCATTTGCTACAACTACAACAAATCATTTTACTCAAAAGTAATGGCGTACTGGCGTAGCTACAGGTATAGGGGCGGGGGGCATGGAGTCCACATTCCCCATCCCCAGATATAGATGTGACAAAAATAGAAAGAAAGAAAAACAAGACAGAAAGGGAATGGGAGAATGGGAGAAGAAAAGCCTTGACTACCTCCTGCACTCTCCTCCTAATCCTTGTAACTTCTTTTTTCATTTTATAAGTACCGTAATTAATGGTGTATTAACCGCACCTTTTTGCTGCCGAAAAAAATTCAAAGTTGGGGGTGCGTTTTTTTTTTTTTTTTTTAAGTTTAGATTTATGCCCTTCCACCTGGCGCTATGCCTGGCAATGTCTCCCAGCTCAGTAATCGGTGTGTTGACTCACCACTCGGAAACTAGAACAACACTCATATTTTTCTGTCATCTTGGTTTGAAAGTAATGTTTCTGATAGATTTTAATATGTAGTTTATAATAATAATTCTTCCAATTTTTCTTCTATTACACGGCGTACCACAAGGTTCTATCCTAGGTCCTCTTCTGTTTTTTAATTTACATTAATGATCTTACACATTCAGCTGCACCTCGCACTTAAATGAAAGGCCTTCCCGCATGGGTTTTTTAACACGAACCTGGCTTGCTGCCGAAAAAAGAAAAAAAGGGCGAAAAAGAGGGGTGCGGTTAATACACGAGGGCGGTTTATACACCATTAATTAAGGTAAGACTTATTACCCTCTCCCCGGCCCCTCCCCCATCGTTTCAGTGCCTCTTTAAGAGGTGGACTCACGCTTTGTCACTGATCAAAAGCATTTAAATAAGCTACCGGAAGTACACGTTTCAGAAGAATTGAAGTCAAAGTGGATTAGTGGACATTAGTCATACTCTCCTGACCTGTTTGTGCCTCAGTTTGATAGAGCTTTTCCTTAAATCCCAGGGTGATATTAGCTCCCATGTCAGAGTAACCCCAGACAACAGCACTCGATGGTTCCATCTGCAGTACCATGTGACTCGAGTAGTACGAAGCCAATCTGAATGAGCTCGCTGAAAAATGGGAATAACAAAAGATTGAATGCATGATTACCTAAATGTATGAAGGAACATTACAATGAAAATATCATATATTTCAAAGATATTCTACTATTATACATTAATGTTTGCAGATACTTCCATTTTTTACTGTGTTTTAAGTAGAAAACCATGTTAAAAGGAAAAAAATATTTAGTGGTCCAAGTATAACATGTACCAATCATAATAATATTTGTAATAATAATAATGATAATAATAATAGTGATAAAAATACTACTACTTTACTACTACTTCTACATGAACTGATAATTTCAGATCAGAGTGGATCGACATGAATATCCTAATTCAGACCTCTTTGAAACTACTATCAAAGTCAAAGTTTGTTGGGTTTCAGTTTCCTTTAAACTATGAACCTTCATAATTATCTCTATCAGTCTTCATGGGCTATACCTACTCCATCTTTGTTGCAATGAACATGTACAGTTAATCAACAAATTTCTGTGTCCCTCAAATCAAATGGCAATTTTATATTAACAAAGTATAGTGCTGGTTATTTTATCTGATTGTTATAAGCATAAATGCTTGTTAGTAAGCAACCAGACGACTTTAGGTCCTCTCCGACGGACAATAAAACTTGTAACTTGCATCTAAATTTCAATGTATCAATGTTTATGCAATATGTACTTTTCACTCTGTAAATTGAACTAGCCACTTCGGCTCTTATTCTTAGCTGTATTTTCAATATTTATCTCAATAATAATCCAATACAATACATTACTACTATTTAATCATGTTAATACAATGATAATGATAAATATGATAACAATAATAGAGGTCTAGAAATAATAATAATATATAAACATTAATAATAATAATTTAAATAAAACTAATAATGATGATAATATAGTAATTATAAGTCTTTAAGAATTATAATCATATACGGTAGATCTAACTAGGATTAGACTACTAGGAGAATAATGAGAATAAAAAATGAAAATAACAAAAATGGTATTGGTATATGTTTGTGATCATGATGCTGATGTTAATTAAGTTTTAAAAAAACATCCGGAAAGGCGGAAACACAGTCATCATTCATCCTGTTCACAGCTCACATTCACAGTGCGGTGTGTGAGTGTGTGTGCGTGTGCGTGTGTGTGTGCGTGTGTGTGTAATTACATTTACAATTAACTTCCCACTAACACTAACACAGTCAATTAAAGAAGACAGTGTTAGTGAGAGGGAAACATGAAGTTGAACATAAATAATGAAGACAGCCAGACACACTATGAACATGTCGGACAAAGAAAGCGGACACAATATAGATCTACAGTTCCTCAGGTAGACAAAGGAACATCCCTTCACTGCTATTATGTAAAAAGTGAATATGCATGTGACACCTGTTCTACACATTTTTTCATAATAGCAGTGAAGGGATGTTCCTTGGCCTGAGGAACTGTATATTTTGTCCGCTTTCTTTGTCAGTCAGTCAACTAGACAGGAATCAACTTACCAGAACTATAGATTATCCCGAAGGCCAAGAGCCAAAACAGCTGCAAAGTTTGGGCTCCGAAAAGAGACATGTTTGATGATCAATCCAGTCTGTACCAATCCTTAATCAATGGTGTAAATATTCATAATGTAATGAATATGATACACGCCGCGCCTCAACCTTCTTTGTTGACGTACCGTATACGGTCTTCCCACCTCCCTGGGTCACCTGACTCGTTTCCCTCTATTCACGTGATCACGAAATACAAACAAATACATGTACTGTATGTACAAACGGAGCGCGGAGGCCGGAGGTTGAGGAGGAACAAAGTACAAGTACACTACGTACTACAGTACTATATTGCCTTGGCCTGGATTGATGGATCATTCCCATTTTTGCCAGCTTTGCTGCTGTTTCACGTCAATCATTATTCTGTGCATGCCATATGTTCATTTTGTGTCAGTGGGCAAATTTAGATCCAGGCATTCTCTTTTGTGACCGTATATTCAGGGGTGTTTAACTCTCAATCTCATATCGGCCAACATGATCGCATTTCATAATATCCCCTGCTCTGGAAAACGAATGCTATCGGTGTGGTTTTGTTTGTTTATCCTCATCACTGCTAAGATTTCACATTCTGCAGCTGCGACTGTTCAAGGTATTTTGTAAATAATTTCATGTTCATTTTGAATTTGACTTTGTATATAACTCTAGATTCCAAATAGCAATATTTTTATCAAATAGGTTTTTTGTAAAATATGCACTTCGCTTAACTTGTATGAATTTGTTATTATATTATCTCATTTTCTTTATATTGTTCATATTTTGTCTGAAAATCCCTCGTATCCATCCAAACTTCCAATAGATTAATATAAAATTGTGGCAACATTATCTTCAACAGTCCAAGAATATAGTCACATGAAAGTATGAATTTCCCTCCTAAGTTTTTTGTGGCATAATTAAAATACTGCTTTCATTTTATTTCATTATCTTCTGTAAATTTTTATGTGCATGTACATGTAGATCTTCTTCTTCTTCTTCCTTTTCCTTTTGAGTACAGACCTCTTTACAGAGTATTATCGTACTATACTGGGGGTGTGTGCAGGTGGACCACTACACCAGGGGCCGTATTCTGAACCCTGTGTTATCTCTAATATTGTTGTATCTTTGGAGATAAGATAAAGTTGGTATTCTGAACACTGTTGTAACTTTTGTTGTATCTTTTCTCTCATCTCTTTAGTCGCGCCTGCGTTCAAACTTTGGTGCGCTTGTAATTGTGCTTATTGGTAATGAAATAGCGCTTAATCCTCATTTGCATATGCGCACAAGAGAAAATATGACAAGATAATTGGTATTCTGAAAATTGTTGTATCTTTTAACTTATCTTATCTTGCATGGTATTTACAACAATATTTACAACAGGTAGGGGGTTGTTGTATCTTTCGTGGTGATATGATGGTGGCAATATTTCTTGCCCATAACAGAACCAACTTCGTGCCAATAGACGAGTTAGAAGAAGATTGTGCGTTGACCGGAAACATCACAGATGAGAACTTTCTAAGAAATGACATGCTAGGATATGACGATTTTTATGCTCTCATCAATAACCAATATAGTGAAAGCGTGATTTATCTTCATGATCCACATGCCACAGCGCATATGATGACGCGCGTAGTAAGCCCTCAAATAACTAATTACGCCCAAGATTAATATGTGCTAGGCGCATCTTCAGATATGGCATAAAGTATTCCTATTGGTTGACCTACTTATGCTTATATAAAACAGATTTTGATTGGTAGGGTCCATACAATTGGGCGTGTCAACAGTGGTCAAAGATAAGATAGAGGCGGTCCTTCAAGAGATAACACAGGGATAAAATGATGTTCAGAATACCAACTTACAACAATATTAGCACTGTGTTATCTCTGGAAGATACAACAAAAGATAACACAAAACTTGCAACAAAAGATAACACAAAACTTACAACAATGTTCAGAATACCACCCCAAGGTTTCCCCCTACTCTTATACGAATAGTGCAGTGGGTTCTTAACATGCAAAGGTAGTGCCTCTTCTCTACACGGGGCCTCCATTTAATGTCCTATCCGAGGGACGGATAGTGTTTTTCCACTTGACATAACCTGCGTCTATGAACAAGGGAAGGGGCACGTTAACACACAACGCGGGCTTCATCCGCCTGGGTGGGAGTCGAACCCGGGATGTTTGGTTCAACAGACGGACGCTTTACCGACTGAGCCAACTCACGTACCTCCTTCGATCTAAAGACATGACAAAGATTTTAGTTGTTGTGTAGTTTGTATGTGCAACATTATATCCTGAAATTGGAGCTTGGTCTAATAAGTTTTTAGGTCAATGACTTGTAGACATCAACTTATTTTTTGAAAACATCTAATTTACATAAAACAAATCTAGTCTTTGTCTGAGTTCGCAGAACTGCAGACATGGTTGAAGCATGAATGTTGAACTTTTCTCAAATGGAATTAACAAATAATTCCCTTGATATGGGGATTAGAACTGGTTTATGAAATTTAAATTCCTCCTCCTTATCTTTATTGATTGTTGGCTTTTGTGTTATCTGTTGACCAACTCAATTTCGGTCAGGGAATTTTAAAGCTCTTTTCATTTTCCCAATTGGTTAATTAATGAATGTTGTTTAAATGGATCAGTACAGTTTAATTGACTGCATTATTCTTATGAAATCATCAAGTTGTCGTGCTTCATGATTAAGTTTCTTTAAGAAGAAGGAAGATCTTTGTAAATAATTGTCTTTTTTATTAATTTCATTTCATTGTAATGTGCTACTATAAGTCTTGAGTAATACAAATTGATAATATCATACATTATGTACACATTGTGGTGGAGTAAAAGTTTTTGTGTCATTGTTTTTTCAGATGCATTCAGACTTGCAACATACTATTCAGACCATATGGTCCTACAGAGAGGCCCAGACAGTGCAGTTATATGGGGATATGCTGTCAAAGGTGCACAAATAACAGTACTCTTCAAAGACACCAAGTACTCCACTACAGCTAATGCAGGTATTAAATAAGTCCAGAGAATTTGTTACATTGTAGACATGCTCGATATCTTTTGAATTTCAAGATGAAATTTCTTGAAATGTTATGAGTCTTCATTCTGAACCGCTTTTCATCTTCCAGATGATTCTCACCATGTTTGTATCTTTGGAGAATAACTAAAAGGTGAATCAAAGTCTATACATTGCATAAAAAAGTGTACCCAATTTGGTAGTTCCTGACTAAAAAGTCATAACCAATATGACTTTGAAATTGATTTCATGATGAAGAGTAACTTATTTTATGTCCAATAATACCCTATTCATAATATTTCTTCCTCAGATGAATGGCCACCAGGGTCTTTAAAAAGTGTTCTCAAAATCGCCTTGTATCAAGTGTAGGTCACGTCACATACACATGCTTCTTTGGTCTTAAATCCTTTTAAAAGTTAAATTATGGTGACACGACATTTGCTCCTGCGACAATTGCTCCGGGCTTTATTTCGTCTAAGATGTAGGGTTAGGGTTAGGGTTTCAATAGGGTTTTATGTTAGGTTTAGGGTTAGGTTTACGGTAGGGTATAGTGTTGAATCCAGGGTTGAAGTTAACCATTCGATTAGTGTATGAAATTTACAGCGGAGCAATTGTCGCCGGAGCAAATGTCATGGAATCTAAATTATGCCTTGTGCTTGAATGCTTGAGTGCTTCATTAAATTATTTTGAACAGTCTATAATAACCTCTTATCTCATGATACATGTATATCAGTGAGAACGTTACCTTATAAGCAAGGGATGCGACTGAAGTCAAGATTGTAATCATCATAACAAAGAAAATATCATAAATTTTGATTGAAATAATCATTTCCTTGAGTTTGAGATGTTATTAACACCTATTTTTCCTTGACTGCCTAATAGTCGATGTAAATAAATGTTCAGTCATCCTTGGCAGCAAAACTATGAAAATGGTTTCATAAGACAGAGTATTAGTTATCCTTTAAAATGAAATAAGATTCAAGGTCACATACCTGTACCTTATTACTTTTTAATTAGAAGCTACCAAAATTGGATATACTTTTTTATACACATATATATAGTGGAATCTTTATCCCAAATGAATATGGCTTTTCTCCCCACCTCATTCTCACTTCCTCACTCTCCATCCCCCTCTGTCCCTCCCTCTATCTCTGTCTCGCTCTCTCTCTTTCCCTTTCTCTCTCTTTTTCTTTATCTCTCTCTTTCTTCCTTTTTTCTCTCTCTTTCTACCTTTTTTCTCTCTTTCTTCCTTTCTCTCTCTTTTTTCCTTTCTCTCTCCTCTTGCTCTCTCTCTCTCTCTCTCTCTCTTTTTCTTTTTCTCTCTTTTCTCTTACCCTCATTTTCTCATTTTTTCATTCTCACTTTCCATCTCATGTTATGATTTACTTTTTTTCCTGATCATATTTTTAAAAAAAGTTAAAGATTTCTTCACTCGTTAATGTTACATGGTTAGTGACCTTTCTCCTAAGCATGTAGATCTATCGTTTATTTTCTTTATTGTTAATATACATTTACAGCTTCTTTCACTACTGAAGGTGTATGGCAAGTGACCCTTGACCCCCAACCTCCCAGTGGCCCCTTCACCATCAAGGTGACCTCAAACAACCAAGGAGTTCAAGAGGTCATTCAACTTCAAGATGTTCTCTTTGGAGATGTTTGGGTTTGCAGTGGACAAAGTAACATGGCATTTGATGTAAAATCTGTAAGTTCATTTGAAGCACAGATCTTGCTTTCTTTTACTCTTGTCTCAAACAACCTTTTCATGTTTTCTTCTTCACACACATACACTTTAATCAGACAGAAGAGCATCAATTTTAGTTTACAGTAAATGAGATAATGGCCATCTGGTTCCAAACAGACTAATTCTTACATTTCAAAGATATGTAAATTTTCATTAGTTTATTGCTTAGCCTGAGGAATCTCAACCATGGTCTATAGAAAAAACATAATATTCTATATAATAATGCATTTGATACCTTCAATTAAATTAAATTTTTTACAGCTATAATGCTTTTAATTCATTTTTTTCCTTTCTACCAGGCATTCAATGGTACTGAGGCTCTTCAGGAGTCCTACCAGTACAATCTTATCCGAGTTCTTGCAGTGTCTGAGGTAGAATCAAATGTACCGCTCTATGATCTTCAAAGTCTTTACCAACCATGGTCTTTGCCTAATCCAGGTTAGTACCATTACAATAATACACTCACTCACTCACCCACTCACTCGCTCACCCATTCACCTACTCACCCACCCACTCACTCACCACCTACTCACTCACCCACTCACTCACCCACTCACTCACCCACTCACCCACCCACTCAACCACCCACTCACCCACCCACCCACTCACAAAACCACTCACTCACCCACCCACTCACTCAACCAACCACTCACCCACCCACCCACCCACTCACTCACTCACCCACTTACTCAACCACTCACCCACCCAGTCTCTCACTCACTCACCCACTCACTCACCCACCCATCCACTCACTTCACCCACTCACTCACCCACTCACTCATCCACTCACTCACTCATCCACTCACTCACTCACCCACTCACTCGTTCATTCATTTATCTATTCATTCACTTATTCTTTTATTTATTCATTTGTTCAGTTTACTTCAGGTAAGAAGAGGGTTTCCATACTGAAATATAACATTTGTACTCATGATACCTGGTCAGCATCTTCTGATACAATGTATTGTGATACCATAGAATTGTAGCCTGTACTATTTATATATACATTAAACAGAGGCATTTTAAGTTAATTAATGAGAAGAACAAGACTGTCTCCTCTTTGTGGACAGTACTGAGAATATAAGGAGCTTGAAAGCAGAATTAATGTGCATGAGAAAACCTGGCTGTGATGGATGTGGGCTAAAGTGAAGATAATTAACATTAATTTCATTTTAGAAAAAAATATGTTTACCAAATCACTCTATGACTTTTCTTCCTTGATTTGCCTAAAAATGAAATTACTTAACAAGCTATTATGTGTCTTTATTCTTTACTAAGTTTCTAATCACACTAAACCTATTTCTAAATCTATCTCGTAGATTCTCTGGGTGGTCAGAATACCAACTTTGAATTGTATTTCTCTGCCGTTTGTTGGTTCTTTGGGCGAGACCTTTACGAACATCTTAAACACCCTATTGGTTTGATTTCTACCAACTGGGGTGGTACGCCTGCGGAAGCATGGTCATCTCCTGAAGTGCTTAAAACCTGTAATATTTCATCGCCAGACAGAAAGGAAGACAGTGACAGGTAACCAAAACATGCAAACAAATAATTATTTTTATCTATCTTGTAGATTCTCTAGGTGGTCAGACTGACAAATTTGACTATTTCTCAGCTGTTTGTTGGTTTTTTGGACGAGACCTTCATGAACATCTTAAATACCCTATTGGTTTGATTTCTACTAACTGGGGTGGCACGCCTGCAGAAGCATGGTCACCTCCTGAAGTGCTTAAAACCTGTAATATTTCATCGCCAGAGAGAAAGGAAGACAGCGACAGGTAATCAAAACGTGTGAACAAATAATCCTTTTTGTGCCTTTGGGTTTACAAATTATTATCATACGATAATTTAGGTTTTTATTCTTTGTGTCATTGTTGAATTTTGGCTATTAAGTACACCTAGCAAAGACAGAAAATGAACAATATCTATAGTTAAGATTTTCAAATATATATTCAATATAAGTTTACCTTTCATATATCAAAATGAAAAGAAATTAATCTTCTTTAAGATGTATGCAATTGAAATCATAACATTCATGCATGCATAAGCATAGCCATTTAACAGTAAATCGGTCTCTGAAAGAATATTGCAAAAATTGGGCATCTGGCCCTTCAAATGTTGATGATCATAAGAGGTATCCTGCACCTCGTCCATGATGTTGGGTGGAAATGAGAGGCTTCTTGACCGTGCCTGTCAAAACCATGGAGTCCTGAGACTACTGTTGACATCCAGAGCTCAATCCTCCTTATTGCTTCTCATTATTTTGTTTCCATTGGTGATCAAAAAATTCTTACAGATGCACATATTCATTAACTTTTGAATGGCTGCTTTTCGATGCTTGCAATTTTCTCAATCAGACCTTCCAGTGGTTAAATGAATGTGCACATCCAAGTGTGAAAGTTAAAAAAGAAAACATTATACATGAGAAGAGACTGTCATCAGATATTTTCTCTTAATGACTCCTTGGTGATTAAGTATTGACAATTGCAACTTTGGTAACCTCATGTGGTAGCCTAAGCAAAACGCTGTTGATATATATTTCTTTTGATAACTTTGCCTTCATTCTTTCATTTCTCTAAAAAGTCCATACAGGGCTTCATTTGTCAAAAGAATACATCAAACACCTTTTCACTATGGCTACCAATGTTACTTAAGCGTTCACTTTTGAAGGCCCTTATCAGTAAATGTGTTTACATATCTTGTATCTCATTTTCATGGATATTTCTCTCTACTACTAGCAATGCACACTTGTCTGTTGTTTTTGTGCTTATGTATTTAAACATTCCAGATGCATTTTAATAATATTTTTATTTTTTGTACATTCATAGGTTCGGTAATCAAGTCAAGTTGAATAAGACATCGCCATCAAGCATGGAGAAGACCTACATTGGAAATGTGTCGCATCTTGTTGGGGGACCGCAGGGTCATAGTGTCCTCTGGAATGCCATGATCCACCCACTCCTCAATATGAGCATCAAGGGTGCTATCTGGTATCAAGGTAAGAATCACTGGTTGGTGGGCCACAAGGTCATAGTGTCCTCTGGAATGCCATGATCCACCCACTCCTCAATATGAGCATCAAGGGTGCTATCTGGTATCAAGGTAAGAATCACTGGTTGGTGGACCTCAAGGTCATAGTGTCCTCTGGAATGCCATGATCCACCCATTCCTCAATATGAGCATCAAGGGTGCTATCTGGTATCAAGGTAAGAATCACTGGTTGGTGAACCTTAAAGGTCAAAGTGTCCCTGGAATGCCATGATCCACCCACTCCTCAATATGAGCATCAAGGGTGCTATCTGGTATCAAGGTAAGAATCACTGGTTGGTGAACCTTAAAGGTCAAAGTGTCCCTGGAATGCCATGATCCACCCACTCCTCAATATGAGCATCAAGGGTGCTATCTGGTATCAAGGTAAGAATCACTGGTTGGTGAACCTTAAAGGTCAAAGTGTCCCTGGAATGCCATGATCCACCCACTCCTCAATATGAGCATCAAGGGTGCTATCTGGTATCAAGGTAAGAATCACTGGTTGGTGAACCTTAAAGGTCAAAGTGTCCCTGGAATGCCATGATCCACCCACTCCTCAATATGAGCATCAAGGGTGCTATCTGGTATCAAGGTAAGAATCACTGGTTGGTGGACCTCAAGGTCATAGTGTCCTCTGGAATGCCATGATCCACCCACTCCTCAATATGAGCATCAAGGGTGCTATCTGGTATCAAGGTAAGAATCACTGGTTGGTGAACCCTAAAGGTCAAAGTGTCCCTGGAATGCCATGATCCATCCACTCCTCAATATAAGCATCAAGGGTGCTATCTGGTATCAAGGTAAGAATCACTGGTTGGTGGGCCACAAGGTCATAGTGTTCTCTGGAATATACTATGATCCATCCACTCCTCAATATGAGCATCAAGGGTGCTATCTTGTATCAAGGTAAGAATCACTGGTTGGTGGACCACAAGGTCATAGTGTCCTCTGGAATGCCATGATCCATCCACTCCTCAATATAAGCATCAAGGGTGCTATCTGGTATCAAGGTAAGAATCACTGGTTGGTGGACCTCAAGGTCATAGTGTCCTCTGAAATGCCATGATCCATCCACTTCTCAATATGAGCATCAAAGGTTCTATCTGCTTTGGCGTGAGATGGACCTATAATACAAACACACCATTTATGGATATGATTGTGTTAAAGAATAAGAGCCTATAAATAGTTGAGCTGTATTTGGTTTTGTTTTGTTGGTCGTTGGGACAGAGCATAGTGATCATTACGTCATCTCTCTTTAATGTGATCGTTACTCCATGTAACATATCTCTCTATATATGACACCTCTTCAGGTGAAGATAATGCTGTTCACGGCCCATCCACCTACAACTGCCTCTTTCCTCAGATGATTGTGAGCTGGAGAAAGCAGTGGTATTCCGGCACTGGAGGAGTCATGAATCCACAGTTTCCTTTTGGCTTTGTGCAGGTAGACCACCTTACTTTAACCTCATAAGACCTATTCTGATGTATGAAGTGGTAAAACCATGGATGGTAATGAGCAGCAAAGGTCCTATGCAAAGCGTTTTGCATTTAGATCATTTAAAAACTGCTACGGATCATGCTTAACTTTTCTTGAATTGTCGTACCTAATTTGAAGAATGAGACCCATTTCATTTTGTGTGCACACAGATTTTTCAGCCTGGGGACATTTGCCAGGGCAACAATATTTCCAGGCTTTATTTTGTCAGGTTTAGAGTTAGGGTTGTGGTTAGGCGGGGTTCAACACTTACAGGCACCCAGGACACATGGGCGCCCAAAATCTAAGTCTGGACCCCAACATTTTGAAGTTTTTACATAGGGCTCGTACACACAGACTGTATAATGGTAGATGTGGACCCCATTGCAGAACAGTTGTTATAGAGCTCGGGTTATGTTAGTGTTAGTTTTTGTAGTGTTTGATCAGGCGTTGAAAGTAGGAATTTTTTTATTATAGCAAATTAATTGACTGGTGAGCGATTGCTGTAGTAGCATGTGTCATAGAATCTAATATAATCGTACAGTAAAAGCCCACTGGAATATTTTGAGAGAACTTTTTTTTTATATGATGTTTAAAATTGATGACATAGAAGTGCTATTTATTCTGTGCAATCTCTGTATCCACTGAGAATCCTCGACTAGAGTCAATTTGATGAAGCTTTTTCTATTCCATCAATAATTATGATTGAGCTCATGCAGGCTTTTATTTTGTGGTAATTATTAGAGTATGATGAAGATAGAAGTTAAGGAACATCTTAGTTATAGATTATTTGGCAGTGACATAGGTATATCCGGTACCTACTATTGTAATCATCCTCTGCCTGTTGTTTTCTTGATGAAGCTCTGTAACTCAGAACACCCTGGCAATGCTAACTTCACTTCTCTACGTTGGCACCAGACTGCAGACTACGGCTATGTCCCTAATCCACTCATGCCAGATGTCTTCATGGCAGTAGCCATTGATCTACCCGATCTCAAATCACCCCATGGACCGTAAGTTCTTGTCTCATTCATCATCATCATCCGGTAACCCTTTTGAACATGCCTGGTGTCTCGACCTAGCCTCTTGACTACTGAATACATTTATCCCTCTCAGCTTAATACAGGAACCATCTGTTTTTTTGTAATTATTATTATTTATTTGGCATTTCACACATACAATCGAAGATACAATAGAATGGCAACATAGGATACAAAGTATGAAACAATAAAATTGACTTCCCCTGCTGCACCTGCTGAAGTTGTCTGGAAGGAAAAAAGGAATGTGAAATTCCTGTAACTAGTAAGTTTTTTCTTCCGACTCCAGGAAATACAGTAGGGGATGCCTAAAATATTAAACATAATTAGATTAAAAACAGACAAAAACAACAACCTATTGATGATAATGCATGTACATAAGCTCGAAAAATTGCAATATGTTATCTCGGGTGTCACTGACATGTCTGTCTATGTGAAGCAAAAAATGAATTTTTAGGAATAAAACTAAACGGTCAGTCTGAGATGTGTAATAGAAACAATTATAATGAGGAAAAATACAATCAATTTCCTAATATTCAAATTATATAATCAATATTAATTATATCCAAACATCAACTGTTGATGTTTGTAACATGTCTTCATAGTTTATTCAAAGTAAGATTTTAGTTGGTTAAGAAAAGAGGGAAGTGAGACAAGGACAGCCGCATCCCTGAGTGAGAAGGGTAGGTTATTCCATATTCTTGGGAATCTTCGGGTTGGAGACAGGAATAAGACCTGTGTTCTTGATGGGAGATGAACGAATGTAAGGTGATCAGGGCGCCTACTATTGACTTGCAGACTTTCCGACATTGATTCACATCTGATGTTTCTAGATAAGCACTTCATTATGTATGCAAATAGAGCATAATCCCTTCGGTTTCTGTAGACAATGAGTTGCATGTATCCCTTGTTACCTTGTTACCATTTATGACACCTGGGTGGAGAGTGGCAAATGAAGATTAATACCTTAATGCAGATACTCTCCTGAAGGAAGAATGCTTTTCAAAGTAAAGGCTGTGCATTTTAACCACACCAAATATATATATATATATATATATAATTGAACATCTAATATGACAGACTGACATAGTATTGTTTGTTTGAAAATTCATCCTTTCAACAGTGCATGTGTGTGTCTTGTTACACAAAAGAAACCTGCGAACAAAACAGAGTTATGTAAATATATGTAAAAAGGATGAATACAAATAACCTTTGTATGCTTTCATCTTTAAATCTACATTGCTCCTCCATGCCTCCTACAATATGGATATGGAGAGTCATATTGAAGCCCACACACACACCCACACACCCACACACACACAGAGCAAGGCACATACCCACCCTACACATGCCTGCACATACACACATAAAGTGCTGTGCCTGAACTTTAAACCCATGACCTTTGAACCTTCATCCCATGACCTTTGAACCTTCATCCCAGTGTTCAAACCACTCAACAAATTCTTTTTCTATGTAGCACATTTCACATTCTCATATTGCATTTCTCTGCACTTTCTGTAAACGCTCTGTTAAATTATTATCCTAGCTTTATTATCTTAGCATAACAAGACAAAAATAAAATCAGGTGTGAATTAATTTTCTAATCGTAGTTGAAATAACATGGTATTTTTGGTGAGGATTATTGATTCTCATACGAGAGGTTCCAGGTTTGATCCTTGTCCAGTGCTTCCATGCCTTAATAAAGGTTTTTCCCTACATTTGTCCCTTTCAACCAAGGTATATTAAATATGTCCCTGGCACAGGGCCCGCAGGAAAAGCAGTATTTATACCGATGTGGATACCGTGTATAAGGTGCACCTTTTTTCCGTCTGCAAAAATCAAAAGTTGGGGGTGCGCCTTATACACAGGTACAAGATACTTTGAGTCCTCAAAATGCTACTTTTTAGTGGTTTTCGATAAGCCTGAGTCATTACGTTTTTTGTGCTAAACGTTTAACCATTAAATGTATATGGGCGGTTTCGATTAACCGTTTTGAAAATACACATATTTTTACAAGGTACCTTGGCCATATAAGACCAAATTATTATTATCATTATTATCAGTTACTAGTAAGTTCACTATCCAGGAACACCCTTGAACAAGCTTGAACTACAAGTTACGAATCCCTGCCACAGGACGGAAATCCTTTGGCAAATCCGCATTTGCCACACTCCATTCAGGTGAGCCAAATGGGTACCTGGTAGGATTATTCCTTGAAATGCACTTTGTGCTGATAACAGCTGCTGGAGCTAAAGCTCTTTGGAAGCACATAGGGATGGTATATCAAAATGTTATATGCACCATACAAGAACAGAATAATATTATCCTTATTCTTTCCTCTTCTCTTCCTTCATCTAGTGTGCACCCTCGTGACAAAGAGGACGTGTCCGCTAGACTGCTATTAGGTGCCCGAGCTGTGGCTTATGGAGAGAACTACACCACCTTCCAAGGCCCGTTCCCTAGCAACATCTCCCATCTTGCCCCAGCTTCTCTCTTGCTTCAGTTCGACCAAGGCAAAGCAAAGCTCAAGATGAACAATAAGGATGGGTTTGATGTAAGATATATCTCATGACAATAGAGTGGTGAAGTGTGACATCATCAAAAATCTATTTTTGGAATTTCTCAATTTTTTTCTTCATTTTCTGAAAGAGCATCAAAAATAATGTCCAAATTATGAAAACCAATTGAATATGTTAAGTATTGGCTGAGATAGGACCATCTGAATAAAAAGATTGCCTATGGGAACTCAGTGTTATATGCTCTGGCTCCTAACCATTAGGAGCCAGAGCATATAACACTGAGTTCCTATGGGAAGTATATTCATTTAGATGGTCATATCTCAGCCAATACTTAACACATTCAATTGATTTTCAACATTTGGACATTATTTTTGATGCTCTTCCGGAAAATAAAGAAAAAATTGAGAAATTCTAAAAATAGATTTTTATGACGTCACAGCTTCGGTACTCTATGCTGTACAACCAGAGACCACCATTTTCACTTCAAGAATTTTTTTGTTGATTTTGAAAATTCAGTGATGCATCAGCTGTGATTCAGTTATATCAAGGCATTACACTTGTACAAATCTGAAACGTAGGTAACATTCACTATTACTTTTTTTTATTTATTTACAGGATTCGACTTTAATTCCAAAATACTACTACTTTTTTTAGTTACATAGTGATTAGTCAGAATTGAAACTCTGTCGGTTTAAGTGAAAAATATTGGTGGGAGAAGTTTGATTTGGAGTGTCTTTATTAGCCAGAAAAGAAATTATGTTTATCAAGTGGTATTTGATGAAATCTAATTGCAAATCTATCACATTTTAATTTGATGGTGTCAGACACTTTCTATTTTCTGTTTCTAAATGATTACTTTTAGGTAATATTTAAATTTAAAATAGTTGTAACATGTATTTCCAAGATCTTGTTCTTGTTTAGTCCTGTGCCTACACATGTAAATGTAGTTACACAATATGATATACCGGTAATAACATGAAATTGGTTGGTTTTAAACTTGCTATTATATATAGACAATCAGGCTCTTTAAAAATAGGGATTTTTTTTCAAAAGACCTTTTTGCCACAAGCTGAATTATTATTCTTTTTTTTCCTTTGACCCTTTTGATTGGTAACTGGAACTCTGATAATACGGAAAGATATTGTCTGTTTGAAACCACTAAATCTGCATCTATAGGCAGTGTCACATAGAAAAAACCTGACCAATCTTGAATAAACCATATTTTAGAAATCTATTTTTTTTTTCATTTACGTCGGTGACAGACTGGTGCCAGACAGGCTACGAATAATCCTGATAACTAAACTCCGGGCTTTTGTTGGGCCATTGTGACATCACACGTTCAATCAACAGTAATGCGCAATTAACGCGTCTCATAAAATGCGCGTTAATATAATTGTGCGCAGGATATGATAGCGTGTTAAAAACCATATGCCAGCCGATCATTAAGTCAAATGTTGACCTTACACTGACCTTAAATTAAGGGGATTATTTCAACATGGGTGTCAGACAAAAAAATCCCTTGAAAAATCCTTTCAAGGGAGAATTATCTTGCTTCATTAGAGGATTTTTGAAGGGAATTTGAAGGGAATTTGAAGGGATTTTTGAAGGGATAATTGATGACAGACAGCCAATTGAGAGGATGATTAAAATCCGGATTTTTGGCCTCTATGTGACACCGCCTTATATGTATTTATAACCTGTACATTTTATCTCATTGATTACCTGTAGGTATGCTGTGCATCATCATTCAATGATTGTCCCATACAAGGCAACACCTCTTGGGTACCAACCAATATCATGAATCTCTTTGACAATGCCACTATCTTCATTGAAGACCCCTGTCCTAGCCTCTCGATGGCCGTCAGGTATATCTGGGCTGATCTTCCTTGTCTGTTCAAAGACTGCCCTCTATATGATGCCGTAAGTCAGCTGCCAGTGCCTCCGTTTTTCTTGCCTGTCAAGCGGCCTGATGAGAATAAGAGAGCACCGGAAATAGAAATCAATTGATGGGATGCGACTTGCCTGGTGGTGTCATGTCATATTCCAAAGGGTAAAACATGATTGCAAGTGAAGTTAGAAATGACCCCCTATTTGCGACCTTTTGAAGGATATTTTCCACCAAAATATTATCACTTTTGGGCTAAAAACGGGTACAAAATGGGCTCTAAATTTAACCTTACTTAAAAATTCACAAAAATTGCCTTTTTTTTGCGGAATGTGTCTTATGCTTTTCGAGTTGAATGTGCCTCATTGAAATAAATGAACTTTTTGTGTGAAATTTTATAGATCATTAAAAAAGAAAGTGACCCCTTCTTTTGCAAAATTTCAAACTATCAAGCATACACAATGTCAATATGAAGAGACACCAACAGGTGTGAAATGTGACATATAATGATAATGATTACATTTTAAGAAAATTTTGTAGGATACTTCTTCTCGTAAGCGCTTTGGGCCGCTCTGGGCCGCTTTGGGAAAAGCGCAGTATATAAATAATAATAATAATAATAATAATGAAGATATGATATATTGTATGAAATAATATTATATGATCTCCGTGTATACAAATGTTTATCAAATTCATGCACAGTACTCTTTTTTTTAGATGAATGATCAGATTTTATTATCTTGAACGCTTTGTAATATTAATGTGAATTTGATGTCTGTTATTTTCTGTTTTTTAAAACAAACTAAGACAGGAAATTATTGTATATTCTATGACTACGCTATTTGCATGTTCCCTTTGGAGCTAGATGTACAGTGCATTCATATATGGTCCATCATATTAAGTCAATTATTAGCCTGCTTGTATTTCCACAAATATTTGTAAACCGTGGAAGGGATTCCACCAAAAACATTGTCCATGTTTGTTTCATAATGGAGAGAAATACCACCTTTTATTTATAGGTGTCATATAGCCTTTTCACACACGGGTAAAATTCTTTAAAGCTGATTAGTTTAAATAATAATAAATAATAATAACAATATTTATAAAGCGCAACATATCCATCTCTAGAGATGCTCAAGGCGCATACAAATAATTTAAATTAATATTTAACATACTTAAGATTAAAGAAATATTAAATGTTAACTTGCTTTAAAGGGCTTTAAACTAATCAGCTTTACATACGACATCATTCACACACAGAAATTTCGGTGCGATCGTTCGTGATTACAACTGCTCTTAATATGCGCAATAGTGCAATTGCGCATTGAAGGTCAGGTCATGTCGAACAAAGCGTGCGCTCCATCCAGTTTAAACACATATAACCGTTCACACACAAAATGTCAAGCTCTCTAGATACGGACTTCGTCTCTGCAGCCTGCAGCCTGCAGCCTCATTTAAACGACGTTCACACAGGGAAAATTTTCTTTAAAGCTGTTTAAAACTGTTGAGTTAAACAGCTTTAAACTAATCAGCTCTAGATACGATGAATTTTAGCTGTGTGTGAAATGGCTGATAGTATCATATGTCAGAACAAGAGATACTCTAAATTTTTAAGGGATATCAAATAAACTGGGCCAATTTGGTGAGATCCTGCAGGGTCAAATGTCGTGGTGGGGGGGGGGGGGGGGGGGGGAGGGGCCAGGTCCTGTCAGCATTCCTGTGTGTTGCACACTTTCGAACCAGAGTTGGTCAAACAGTACTGTTATGGTAGCTATGTTGCCGTCTTACATGGACTTTAATATACAGATATTTTGAATGCAGTAAGGGAAAGTTAATGATGACATGTAATGTACGTACTAAAGTCGAGCTGAAATAAGGTGTAGAGTATATTGGTAAACTTTTATACTGTTTCTCATCATTCACTGAAATATGATCGAATCAATGGAGAACATGTTGTACATAATGCAATCCTTGAAAATATCACTTTTATTTCTTTGATTTTCTTTCTATGATTGTGTTAAGTTCATTGTAGGTTTGTATAGCAAATTTTTCCTTTACTTTATAATTCTTTTAAAGAGTATAGTTGCAAAAACGCTTAGATTTCTGTAATAGTATACAGAATAGGATTATTTGAAGTAGAACTATTTTAGTTAATTTGGGATTGGATTTCTTTGTTTAGCCACAGCAAATGGATTGGATTGGATCCTTGATAATGACATGTAATGCCTGGATTACATTTGCCCCGGACACCGTACGATAAATTAATCTACGATTTTTCGTAGACATATCGTAGGAGGCTACGGGCTACGATGCTTATGTTTGTGTTTACATAATATCTACGAGCATCGTGCAATTTATTGTATTGGCCCTCGGGGGCAGGCCAGGGAAAATCCGTACAGAGGCTGCTCGGAGATTGTATGGAAATCGTGCAATTTGCATGCAGTAGCCGTGCAGTCTCCGCAGCCTCCGCACGGAAATTGTACGGAGCCCGTGCAGCTTCCGTGCAAAGGTTGCGCGAAGAAGGCACGGTGACCGTACAGCAACCTTGCGATAGCTGTGCAATTGCCGTGCGAATGTCCCATGAGTCTACAATCTCTGTACGATTTTTTTGCCCCCATGTTCACCGAAAAATCGTACGGTTGCTGCACAATCAGTGCGAGGCCTCCCGGCGATGCCCGTGCAGGGATTGTGCAATGCCACCTACGACATGTATACGGGCTACGGGCTTACAATTTTTTTCAAATTTGTTTAACTTTTCGCGAAACAAAATCGTAAAGGCTGCGGAGCCCGTAAATCTGTACGACAATCTCACGGCTGCAGGGGATACGAGCAGAATACGGGCTCCGTAGACTAATCGCAGGCTAAATGTAATCCAGGCATAAGTTAAGCCATTGACTACTGAGTTCTTTCATTTCCATAGGCTTAATATAGGATCAACCTGGTGTGTGTAGGCAATGTGTTAATCAGTACTACATGTATATGTTATTTTTAATATATTCTCATTGAGAAGATGCTTCTTTGTCACCTTTTTTAAAACTGCAAAGCAATTTTAGAAGTTAATTAGTGCAATCAATGGATATTTATCGAAACCCTGCAATCAGAATGATAATCACTGGTTGTATTTTACTGATGTATGATTCCATACATGAATTAATTGTGTGTATGTTTAACATTCTTATGACATAATGTGAAGAAACACATTTTCACTTTCTAAGAAGGCTGAGCAAAATTGATCCCAAGTTCGTTCTTATTCGACATGGGTTAGAGAAAATATTCTGGAATATTAGTAGATAATAATTATTGATAATAAATTGAATTTAATTGATTAAAATGTTGATATATAGAGTGACACCACCTGGTCATCTGCTTTATGAGTTCAATAATAAGATACAAGAGAATAGTTTAAATATTTGTTGAATTGTTAATAAAATTCTTTCCATGGCAACAAACTTCAAATTACTCGAGTCCAAATGTAATTTTTTTTATTCCAATTTGTCACCAATGGCATTTAAATGGTAAATCTAATGAGTATTATCTCAATTAAAATATGTAATTTATAAAGTGTTTCTTTTGCACACTTGACTATACTATGTAGAGGTAGATACTTGTGATTGGTAGAAAAGAAAGTCACAACTTGATTTTCTAGTTTTACTTAGAACAGTTATATTTTATTGTTTATCAGAATGAGTACAATTAAAGTAAACTGTACATTACTAAACATTGACATTCTTATATATTCACTATTCCTTACGTGTAAAAGTAATATTATAGGAAATATATTTAAAGTAAAAAAATAATTTTCATTGTCAGCTAATGTGGAATAAATAATTATGTTTCTGTAAGAAGGTTTGAAATAAATAGTACATGTGGTCAGGTCTACATGTTTTTCTGTATACATTGCCTCTGATTTGAATTCATTAATTCTGTTGCCCAGAGTATAGTAAGGATCTCCTTGCCTTAAAGTGACTCGGTAGCATTGCCTCCGATTCTGAAACAAAAATCCTGGATTTAGCTCATGCTGCAATCATAATTATAAACCTTCAGGTCAGTCAGGAATCCCATGACATTTTAAAAGCCGATCGCCTGAAATCGAATTTCATTTTTTTTTTTTCCTAATGGTTTTCATTTTTTTTTTCCCAACAGTTTTAATAAAACACTACAGTCTATTGGGGAAAATGAATATATGGCCGGAAAACCGGTCACTCAAAGATTTTAATTTTTTGAGGCACTTCATGATCATTTTGAAGCGCAATTTTTGTAGGGCTTCAATATTACACCATATCACAGACACTGATAACACGTAGGGCCATGCATCTCAGATTTAACATTGTTAAACGTTGCCATAATCTTCTGTCTTCTGCCTATACTCTTAGTCCACTGCCTAGACTGTTTCCGTGCATTTATATTGAGTATGCGTGAAGAACAAAAAGTGTTTTTTCCTTCAAGTTTCATATAAACATGCTTGGATTAACAATGGAAAGGGATTGGTTGTTATGAGAATGATTTATTAATTAGAGAGCTAGCTAGCTGTACATCATGTTCTTTTCTAATTGTTCCTTTTACTTCCTCTTCTTGTGTTTTCTTTACATTCTCCCCCACCCCTTCTCTCTTTCTCTCTCTCTCTCCCTCTTTCTCTCTCTCTCTCTCTCTCTCTCTAGCTCCCCCCCTCTCTCTCTCCCTCTCTCTCCTTTTTTCTGTCCCTTCTTAAGTTTGAATTGTTAAAAGTGAAATGTGAAATATATATTGCTATTATTGTGTAGTGCATGCAGGCCGGTCTCTATCTGTTTTTGTTTTCATGATTGTATCAAAATATCTTCCCGGTCAAGGTTTCATAACTTGTATCATTTGTAAGTCTATTTCAGTGGTATTTACATAATTCCACCATTCTTCCATGGATTGTATTGTACAATACATTTATTCTCAATAAGAAATGATGTAATTGTCAGAATTAGGTGAATGGTGAAAAAAACCCATTGAGCGCTTGTCACGAGAGGACTGAATAGTCTACAAGCATAAACTCTAATTAGTCATAAACTCTTGAAGGCTTACATAACTGCCTTAATTAATAAGGATATAGACTAATGGAAGAACAAAACTTTCAAATATGCATGATTTACCTATTTTACAAAACCATTTTAGATCTGGCTGATAACTGACACAAAAATTTGAAAATTTCGTTTGGTAAATGTCACTTAAGTGTCTGTACTTGCAGACTATTAGTGTACGACCTCGTGCATACAGCGTACTATCAACGATGAACTACTTGTGTACACAGAAATGCGTAGAACGGACAGAAACCCAATACGCACCACCCCTAACCTCTTTTTAAATTTCCATTCTTTCTTTCTTTTTTTCTTTCTTAGTTCATAGCAGTGGCGGATCCAGGGGGGGGGGGGGGGGGGCCCCCTCTGGCGCTCAAGGGGGGGGGGGATGGGCAAATTCTCGAGGGCCCCCCCAAAAATGTGTTCACTACCCCCCCCCCCCCCCCCCCCCCCCCCCCCAAAAGAGCGACTTTTCGGCCGGCGCGATTTTCCAAATTTTCGGGAGCAAAAAAAAAGGAGACCTTATAGAAGCTGGGCTTGTTAGAGCAAGGTTCCCTAACAGAATATAATACCGGAATGATTTAATTTCTTTAAACAAAAAATACTTAACAACTAAACTACCTTTAATAACAGACTACAAGCAATTACACATGGGAAATATTTACAAAAGAGAAAATGGGAAGATATATAAGGATGGAGAGCGAAAGCGCAAACCAGAACAAAAAAACAACAGAGAAAAGTTGAGAAGGAAGAAAGTTATATGTAGCAGAAAATGGTGATGGGGAAAAAAAGAAGAGAGAGATAGAGAAAAAAAAGAAAAAGTATAATAGAGCGAAACAGAACAAAAAGAGTTTGCTAATAATTGAAGAAATGTTGGTAAGGTAAGGTATGGGCCAGCCTGGAAAAGAGGGGGGGGGGGGGGGGGAGGAGGAGACAATGGAGCAAGACTTGGACTTGATATTAGAGGAGCCGATGGACTCGAGGGATAAATAATTATGATGGGTAGAGAATTTTTTGGGATGGATTGTTGGATTATCGTAGTTTAATGAATGATGGAAGAAAATTCAATATTATATTTTTTTCTTTGTTTGTGTTTTTTATTGTGCGTTAATGTTTTCATTGACTTGCTCCATAACGCCCGGGCTCTTTCATTCACCCTTTATGCTTCTCTTTTCGCATCGAGTTGTTTATCTTCGTAAGTTGTGGACTTTGGGTTCATAACCTATGGCATAATGCATAGGCATAACATGTACAAATATATGTGAGTTTGCGTGAAAATGGCGAACAGGCAGGAAGAAAACGAGCCCTTATTGAACAATCAATGTCTAGAAGAATATCACGATGAAGAAGAACTCATACCAACCGCCATTCCTGTAGCAAATTTCCAAGATGCAGGTAATCTTAAATTAACATTTTCTTAGCCAAAATATGTTTCCATTTTTGACTGAAAAATATGTTCTACATAACGATCATTTATTTGATTTGTTTGGAATGAGAATGATCATTGACTTTGCACTGTGGCATACGGTATCGCATCACCACACGTCTCTCTCTCTCTCATTTGATTGACTATTTGCAGCAATTATTTTTTTAGAAATAAAGTATGTCCCCTGCCCGTTGTTATTACTTCCACATAGTATTTAATTTTGCAACCATTCAAATAAAAATAATCAAACAGTTCAATGACTGAAAGGATATGATAATGAGTTGTAAAAATGCAAAAGAGTTTGGACTTTGGTGAGAAAACTTGGGTGTCAACACTTGCATTGTTGTCTTTGTTGACATGCTTAGATGCTGTAAGGAGTGGAGTAATACTCAAAGAGGTAGAGTCTAAGTTAGAGGTAATGTTATTGTAACCTACTGTATGGTGGCATGACAATAGTTTAAGCATTGTGACTTGTGAGTAAAGGGTGATACCAACAGATTTTATGATATTTTGCCTTCCAATTCAAGCAATTAATGAAATATTCTTACCTTTGGTGGATCGCTTTTTAAAACAGGGTTCGTACGGGTCAGGGAATTTCTGGAAAGTCAGGGAATTTAAAAATATTTTTTCCAGAAGCAAAAAGTCAGGGAAGGTCAGGGAATTCGTCCATTTCTTATGGAAAGTCAGGGAAAATCTTTTTTTTCTCAAGATGTTTGTTAAAATGGCATTTAATTTGTCTTGTGAACAAAGGAAAAAACATTTTGTAAAATCTGTGGTTCAGGACCTTTTTCGTAATAAATTACACGCAATATCTTTAGGACCTACTAATATCGTGTCTATTGGGTCTTTCATACATGTATACAAGATGTTTGTGTGCGTAAATGACTTGAAGTGACAGGTGCGGTGCATGGTGCCGGTGTGTGTACATATTACACGAATGCTGCATGCACGCTGTACGATTACTTTTTGATCGAGCTTGTGCTTTGATTTTGATTAAAAGTTTGAATGAAGGTGTTTTACCCCGGGGTTTTACCACAGAATATTCATAAAACAATAATTTAAATGTAATGAGCCACTCGTGTTTTCTTAAGAACCCCTTTAAAAATCGTGTTGTTCTTTACTCGAATATCGCAACCCTGAATCGCATTTGATTCTACATTTGGCGTCCATTGTGCGAGCGCGAGCATACAGCCAGTTAGCTAGCCTAGCCTCGTGGTTGCTGCTTTCCCCAAGGTCCGCAATTTTCTGTCAGCAAAATATCGAAAGTCGGGGGTGCGCCTTATATAGTCGGATACAGGATATTTGAGTCCTCAAATGCTATTTTTTAGTGGTTTTCAAATATCTCTGTGTCTCAACATGAATTACATAATGCAAATAAAGAATAGGATCTATTTGAAGTTAAACTACGTTCCTAACTTGAAAGGAAGAGATTTTTTTTTCTTTCAGTCTCGATAAATTATGCCCTGTCACAAGGCACTCTGCCGGCCGAAGCTCTCCCGTGTCTTAAGCTCACTCACCTGTATCATGCAGTTCACTTACACAGGGGATAACGAATCACCACGCGAAAACTAGCTTGTCCACATTTCTGTTTGGACTCGAAGGAAACAAATTATGTCATCTTTAGTTTTAAAAACAACATTGTTACTGGGTCTAACTTAGTTCACAAGCACTTCAACTGTGCCTCGTAATAAAATGAAAGTATTTTCGAACACTGTCACTGAAATAAGAGCCGATCTGATGTTAACAAAAAGACCAATGTTGGCTTTTTTTTTGTGGCTTTTTGTTAACCAGATCAGATCGCGTCTTATTTCAGTGTTCGAAAAATACTTTCACTTTCATTATACGAGGCACAGTTGAAGTGCTTGTGAACTAAGTTAGACCTAGGTCTAGTAACAATGTTGTTTTTAAACTAAAGATGACAGATTTTCTTTTTTAAGATTATTTTTTTCAGATTTTTTTTCAGATTTTTTTTCAGATTTTTTTTTTTTTTTTTTTGGGGGGGGGGGTATCTTCGAAATAGGGGTGCGTCTTATAGTTTTGTGATTTGCTTCCTAGTATTGCGATGATGTATAGTTGTACGCTTTAAATTAAGACATGTTCATCATTGAAAATGGTCATGGAAATTTACATTATCCTGCTCTAGAAAGTCATGGAAAGTCATGGAATTTTAAAAATGTGTAAGTGTACGAACCCTGTAAAATAAATCCGCTGTAGACTAGTATTATGCTTAGTCCAATTAAGGTGTCGCTATTCATAGGCGATATCAGACACAATTTTGTTATCCATCTTGAATTACCTAGATAATAGCTATCTACATGTAGATAATTCACTTACCTAGGTGACAGACAGAAATTTCCCACAAAAAATCCTGTGATAAGAGAGAATTTTCTTGGTTCGTTGTAGAATTTTTTGCGGGATAATTGATGGCAGACAGCAAATTATCTAGAGAGCTCTTATCTAGATAGCTGCTTTCTAGATAATTGGCCTCTTTCTGACACTGCCTTTTATGTCTTTTTATTAACTTGTACTTGTACCTTTAGCACACGCTGATCCGACATCAAATTTTAAGATAGTGACCTCTCCAGTGAAAAAAATATACAGGGGCTCGGGGCGAAAATCCGAAAAGAGCCATGTAAATTTGCATAGAGTTCAATGCTAAAAGAATTTTAGAATGTTATTTTCATGCAGGCAAGCTTGACCTGGACCTCTCCAGAATTCTTTTGATGAAAAATTGAAAATGGCGCTAGTTCAAAAGTGTGCCCATACATGTACACTGGCCCGTGACTCGCGCATGGAGAGTACTAACTACCTACGAAACACAAATGTAACATACCAAAAATCAACCAAATTTCCCTATTTTCCTTCAAACATAGACATTATAATATACACTTGTATTGTGTAGCGGTGAGAAAGTGAGAAAGTGTGTATTATAATATCTTCGTTTATAGGAAAAATACTCCAAAAAAGATAAGAAAAATTGACACAAAACAGGTAAAAAAAGCTGACAGGTCAGAATTTCACTCCGATTTCTAGCCCATTTCCAGCCAATGCTAATTTGACAAAAAAAATTGAGGAAAATTACTAATTATTTTTGAAAAACCACAATGAGATTGTTGTTGCTCAGTCGCATCAGAAGTATGGCCTACTGAACGTGTCGCATCAGGTGTATTTGCAGGGTGCGTAGCTTTAGGACTCTCTACCATACAGGTACATGTACGTGTAGTCAACTAGTCAGGTATAAGTAGTCTTTTTCCATATGAACGTATGAGATATATGCACCTTTTCTTTTTTAAAAGTATGGTATCCCTTTTCATGAAATCACATTCATTGCCATTCTGTTTTGTTAATCTTCAATCACTTGTGAATAAATGTTGAGATGAAGCCAAGAAGTAAGATCACTTTTGTTTCTTTCCTTCATTCTAGATCTCGGTCCGCCCTTGGAGCCTCCCCCCTTCGATGCGACACCCCCTCCACCTGTCATGCCCGGGGAGGAGCCCCCACCATACACCCCTGGACCCCCAGGAGCTATGCCCATGATCAACTGTAGAGTATGTCAAGCTATGATCAGCTTGGAAGGGAAGATGCATCAACATGTCGTCAAGTGTAGTGTATGTCATGAAGCAACGGTAAGGCAAAATTTGATACAGGAATTTCAAGTAGGAAAATGTAGCAAGTATAAACAATGTGACAAAGGAAATTAAACAAATCCTGGGGGTATTCTCATTTCTCAATAGCAGTGCTTTGATTTAAAAAAAAAATGTTTTTAATTGTCGAGATGAGAGAATATGGCCAACATTTATTTTAGACTGTACAATGCTTCATCACTCTAGTTCCTGTGCAGTGAGTATGTTGAAACCCATCCAAAGGACAATAGGCGTGTCTGCACTATCTCGAGATTGCCAAATATCCAGCTATTTGAACTATCCCTATCGCAAACTATCCAGCTAATTTGCGTCTTCATTAGAACGAAGTAGCAAATTAGCTGTATAGTTGGTCGGGATAATATCCCAAGATATCTCAGTCTAGTTTGCGGTTTTCCGTGCTTACTCGAGGTCAGTGGTTGTACTAGCGCGCTGAGCGGTATAGATCGCATGTGCGAACCCGAAATCGTTGTGCATGATGGGATCGGGATATTTGACTCCGGACTTCGGTCTAATGAAGACGGTCGCAAACTATCCCGCTAGTTCGGAAATAGTGGGATATTTTGCAAACTAGACCGAGATATCTTGGGATATTATCCCGACCAACTATCCAGCTAATTTGCTACTTCGTTCTAATGAAGACGCAAATAGCTGGATAGTTTGCGATCGGGATAGTTCAAATAGCTGGATATTTGGCAATCTCGAGATAGTGAAGACGGGCCTAATGAGAAGGAAGATGGAGCTATGAATGGAATTCCTTTCGAAATTTTTTCTGTACATGTACAGGTGTAGTTTGATATTTTGTAATACCAGAACCTTTTGCACATTGTAATTATTGATTTTTTTTTGTGGTAAATCCTTGGCATGTAAATTAAAAAAATCAGTTTAGTATCAGAGATGATTCAGTTATTTTATGGCCTGAAATTTTCTCAAATCTGAAGTTCTGAACTATTTATGACATTCTCATACATGTAAGTTTCATGCATGTTCCAGTTTTACGGTAGGATCTACCGTGTGAGTCAAAAAAAAGTTTATACCTAGAAAATTGCAGTAAATTCTCATACATCATATGAAAGAGTGTTTTGTCCCAAATCCTTTAGTATCATTTTTGTGTGGTATGTGTTCGCGCTTGGATGAATAGGAGGCATTGTTTCTTGAAAATGCAAAAGTTGACTTGCGCCAAAGTGATGCCTACAGCATGTATTATGTTGGGATTAGCGGAGTGAGAGAATGAATCGAATGTATCAAATGAAATGCATGGCATATGCTTTTTGCAGAAGCAAAGTCACACACACACACACACACACGCGCACAAATGTTTGTTGATATTTGACATTGATATTTGATATGTGTGGCATGATTAATTTTGTTAGGGATGTTATTAGGATCTACAAAAAACGATTTAATAACCAAATCCCAATTGTTTTATTAAAACATCAAATAAGCAACTTTGGCGCAAGTCGATTTTTGCACTCTTGCAAACAGTGCCTCCTGTTCATCCAAGCGCAAACACATACCACACAAAAATGATACCAAAGGATTTGGGACAAAACACTCTTTCATAAGATGTTTAATAATTTACTGTTCATAGAAGATTTTTTAAATAATTATCAATTTTTTAGGTGTAAACTTTTTTTTGACTCGCACTGTATGACTTCAGGTTTATTTTTACTCTGATGCAAATAGGATTTTTTGTATTCTTATGTTTAATGGATCAAACTTTGGGGATGTAATGTCTTTTGCTGTAAACCAAATTAATGAACAATTCAACTACTTTCACCTCCATAATGTAGTAGAACTCTAATGATGAAACATTAAATTCACAATTTGAATTCTCTTTTTACAGCCTATAAAGGAAGCACCACAAGGAAAGAAGTATGTGAGGTGCCCGTGTAATTGCCTTCTCATCTGTAAGGCATCATCAAAGCGTATTGCATGCCCGAGGTCTAATTGGTAAGTTTTGTGCAACAAAAGTACTTTCAGAGAAGCCTTTAGGTAACCCTGTAAGTTGGGGCTTTGAACATGCGAATGCCATCTTGGATTTTAATGACAATGGACAAAAAAATGCATGCCTACATTATAATCCAAGATGGCGGCTCGCATGTTTTGCCTCTTCTCTCAGACCAATATTTATTAATTTCAAAGTCATGAAGAGGCACTAAATATTAACAAACATGGTCTACAACTACTCAAAATGACAAATTAATCCCAGCTATGCATCTTTTTTTAGCATTTGATAGCCAAAAAAGTGAAAAAAATTCTGTTAATATTTTTCCGATCATTTTTATTGATCGGTGATCAAAATTTTTTATTCCGATCTCACCTGATTGGCCAACGATCCGCCCCCGATTCAATGATCGGTTACAGGGTTACCTTTAGACCATCAGTCTATCACTAGAATTAAAGATTATTTGCTTTATGCTCTCTGTAAAATTTGCTTCAGGCTTTTATACCATGTAAGATAATAGATAAGGGTTTTAGTTTGAGGTGTGATGGGTTTTTGGTTAGGGAAGTTCTTTAGCTCACAGCCCAAAATCCTGTTCTTATCTGGCTCTAGATCTAAATTTTTGCCAGCTGAGGGACTGGCCAGTAGATTGTTAAGGAACTTGGTTAAATCCTTCATCAAAATTTTGACACCAATAAAATGTCGCTTTTCCCTGCAGGGCTTTTAATAATTAGCCACACATGTTCCCCTCAGAGGCAGACATGTAGACATACACTACACACGAACGTTTACAGGAAATACAATTTCTCTGTGTTAAAAGATGAAAACTAGTGAGATTTTTTCATGATTCTGTTCTACCAAACTTTCTTACTGAGTTGTCATGATTTGTGTTTTAGTTTTGTTTATGTGTGACTTAGCTCAAACTCTTCTGTTGTGGTTCCAAACTACAGCACTAGATTAGGTCAGGTGTAGTGTTCTGCCCATTTGAAAAGATTTCGTTAATGATCAAAATTAACTGTTTCGCATATGTTGTATGATTGAAATAAATGCATACATGTACATGCACATGTAGTGCAACAGAAGGTTTTTGTGATATATAATTAAAAAATCTTCCCACCTCAAATTTCATCACTTTATCTTAATATGGGTTGAGACTAGTCCTGTAACCGATCATTGGATCGGGGGCCGATCTTGAGCCGATCAGGTGAGATCGGATAATAATTTCCGATCGCCGATCAATAAAAATGATCAGAAAAAAATTGGCATGCTTTTTTTTTTTGCATTTGTTTTTTGCGGGCCGCCATCTTGGATTATAATGCATGCCTATATTATAATCCAAGATGGCGGCCCACACGTTTTGCCTCGTCTCTTAGACCAATATTATTAATTTCAAAGTCATGAAAAGGCACTAAAAATCAACAAACATGGTCTATAACAACTCCAAATGACAAAATAATCCCAGGTTTAAATTTTTTAAAATTTCATAGTCCAAAACTTGAAAATTTTTGGCATTAAAGAAAAGTTACCGATTATTTTTTGCCGATACCGATCACAGGTACGAGGGTGTCACTCCGATCTTCCGATCCAATCAAAGCCCCAACTTACAGGGTTAGTTGAGACTTTCATTAGTAGTTCATATAAATACCATTTTACTCCAAATATTAATTAATAATAATAATAATATGTAATTTTTATATAGCGCTTAATACAAATGTCTCTAAGCGCTTTACAAATATACTATTAAAAAAAAAAGGTACGATTAAGAACATTTACCGTACATAAAAAGGCCATCTTACATGTATGTGTACTTTATATAAGGTTGCTCATTCTTCAGAGAAAGTAAAACAAAGATACAGTTACATGTACCACCAGGCATACTCAGACTTTATGAAGGATCAATTCAAGGGTTTCATTTATTTATTTATTTTTAATTTTAAACTACTCCATGATAACACAAATTTAGCATTTATAAATATTCCCTTTTCAAATACTAGGCAGCTTCACTGACTAACACCAACACACAAATATGTCACTCTTTAATAATTCTGTTTTATGTCAAAAATAACATGACTAATTGTCACAATATTTCCTTAAACCCTGACAACCATGTGATTTTGCAGTTGATCCATGAATTCATGTGAGTTTGTAAAGGAACTGCTGTAGACAATGAATCAGGTTGTGATGTATAAAAGTGTAGTCTCATTGGGACTTTGGTTCAGCCCCCTTTGTCAAATGAATTCACATGTAGTACTGTCACTGAGTCACAGCATTCAGCCTCTTTCGTAATGCTAAGTAGTCGAGATCAAGTCATAGTTTGTCATTACTTTCATTTGCAGACATATTAATACTGTACATAGCATTAGTTACATGTATAGGAAATCTTACTTGTATGTGAATTTAAGATGACACATTTACAACCTTGGAAAAACACTCCACTGAAATTTCAGTGTTCTTTATATACATGTACATGTATCTCACAAGTCATTACAACTTTATTTTCTTGATTGTCTTCAAAAGACTTCAAGAGCGGGACGTACATGTACCATGTACATGTACATAGCAGGTAAGCATGTACACCTGTATTGAATATGCTACATGGCTTTTATGTTATTATTTCTTGAGGATATATATAAAATATCAAGGTCTAAAAAAAATCTAATTTTCATGTACATGATGTACAAAGGAAAGGGAAGGGTGGAAGAACAGGACAAAATTCCCAGACAAGAAATGATCAGTTTCTATCAGATTCAAATATTTTTAGTTGTGAACTGGAAAAGGTTTGGATAGACAGGATATGAGAGCGCTGGAGTAACGAGATTAACACATGGAAGGGGATTTTCCTTTTTCTGCTGTTCATTGTGAAATGTATGATATTCATGCACTCTCATTATTGTGGTTACAACCTGCTTCTCCCCCTAATCACAATACATGTATATGACATAAGTCATGAGACCATAGCATTCACTGCAAGATCCTGAGTGCAAAGTACATGTACATGTAGATGTTCTTTCTATATCGTTCATGTACATGTAGGCTTGATTTTAGACCCATTCAAGGTGTTATCACAATGCTATACAATACATGCATTTGAATATAACAAAGATGCTATCGAAGGTCAATAAGGTCATCAGTATTAAATTTTACTGGTACATGTACATGTTTGTGTCTTCCAAACCTCCAATTTACAGATTTTTCATGTGAGGCCAAAAAAAAAACATTTACAAAAATATGGAATTAAAAGGCAATCTTGAGTTGGATAGTAATGATGGAATACAGGTGTATACATTCTTACAGAATCAAACATAAACAAACTTTGAAGTCTAGATGCTAAAGACTACATGTACATACGACTGATACGTGTAGCTGAGTAATAATCAAATATACATGTATAGGGAACTTTACATGTAACTAATAGTTCCCATCCATCATGTGCACAACATACAGTCCTATACGAGTAGTGATACCTACAATGTAAGTGAGACCTCATCTCAAGTAGTAACTTTTAATTAGTTATTTGGTGATATTTATTGCATTCTTGCCTATTAATCTACAAGGTTCCATACCAAAGTGTATGGGAGACGTATAAAGCAAGATATACAGTGTACTTCATAGAGTAATGTATAATCTCTCAGCAAAACATGGGCATCTCCATTCTCTTGATAACATGACATACAAAGCAAAAGTATGAAAGTTGTTGCTCATGAAGGTTCCACATAAATGAAAGTTTTTTTTATGTGTGAAGGCATTTTATATGTGGTATATAAACTGTTCCCCTAGCCCATATATAATCCAAGACTTGTTAATGTATTTAAATTACATTTAGGCATGTTTAAAGTCATAAAAAGGAAGTAACTGGTATGAAATATCCCTATTTATGACTTTACCTAGTGTGCAATGTACATATTAAGTGGACTGATAACTCTGGGTGTATTTCTATGACAGAGGTCAAAGTACAAATATTGTACCCGTGTGTACCAGTGACAGTAATTGTTGACTTTAAATGGAGGATAAGAAGTACATTGTACATCAAGGAAGTTAGAAATCATATAAACTTGTTTTCCTCTGCAGAGAATTCAATATTACCAACATGTAGAAACTGTGTTTGTTTGATCAGCATGACTAGTCAATAGGACAGTTGTTTTGTTGACATTGTTGTAGAGTTGAATTATTTATATTCTGATTAAATATAACTATCCTTTCAATATAAGCTAAGCTAAAGCTAAGCTGTCACAGTACCTGTACGTCCCTAAGGACGTTTGCTCCACAAACATATTCAAACCATTTTTTCTATCTTGGGCAAATCTATATGCCTTCTGGAAGGTGCCGCGTACTAGGATGGCATTCCCCTTTCAATATGCAACATTAAAATTAGTTGTGCATTTAACTTTAAATATCAATTTTGAGACATGAGAACCATCATTAATCCAACATTCTCCCCCTTTCTTAGAATTCAATGGTTAGTGCTCAGGGCAAAGTACACATGCAGAATGTTGGATCAAAACGTAATCCGTATGATAACAAAATCTCCACACAAAAAAGTCCTACCGGTATACAGAATGGGCATTTGGAGAGCAGCTTTTCAATTGAGATTGTCTATTTAATTAAGATTTAGACAATATACAGATTAATAAAAGCCCATTTTTGTTCATGCAATAGTTGATTTCTAATTGAATATAATCCTTTGTATACATATGATTTTGATAAAAGTTTCTTTCATGTACAGTTTAATGATGTTACTGCAATAAATGTATTTTACTTTTGTTTTTAGGACTGTTTCTTTAAAAAAACAAAGGATATAAATCAGTGTATTTAATATCTTTAGCGCAATAACCGGATGACTGATCAATATTGTTTTCGTATTGCTCAGTCATCCAGGAACTTCAACTATTTGATATCAATATTACACCAAAACAAAGCCATATTTACAGAGCTAAGTCAAAGTTGTTATTTTGCTAGTCAACCTGATATAGATAATAAAAAAATGTTATATGGCGTTGTTTTCATGTGATACACGAGCTATGACAGTATTGGATATGGCTCATCTAATACTGCCATAGCTCGAGCAATGTATTCTTGTATCACACTCAAAGCCATCCAATATTATAAAATTATCTGATACGTTAGATGCTGTTTGTAAGTATCAGCTTGCATGGTGATTTAGATATACAGTAGGCTTGCGGGTGCACCATGCGAGAGAGAGAGAGAGGGAGTTCTCCTTGGAACTATAACTAAGAAAGATAACCAAAAGTCTTTTTCAAGACTACACCAACAGTCCTTTTCAGGACTACACACCCTCAAGAAAGATTACCAAGAGTCCTTTTCAGGACTCCTCAATCCTCCCTCTCTCTCTCACATGGTGCATCCGCAAGCCTACTGTATATCCCTCACTTCTACCAATTGTTATTTTTTCTTTCTGTCTCAATCTATATTCCTATTTTTCCATTGCTAACTCATCTATCTCTACTCATATTTTTTTTCTCTCACAGCAAACGCATCATCAACCTCCAGTCTGCGATGTTCCCTGCTAATGCTAGTGCTCCATCAACTCTCACTACCATCTCTGGCTACAGGGTCGTGTGTGCACACTGCAACCAGTGGTTCAGGGTATGTACCCATTAAAGGGATCCGCTAACTTTGTCTCAGATTCTCAACAAATTCCTGGATTTAGCTCATCCTGCAATTATAATTATATTCTTTAGGTCAGTCAGGAACCCCATGAATTTTACAAGCCGATCGCCTGTCTGATTATCAAGATATTTATGATTGGAAATTGAAACCAAGTTTTGCGTTTTCCTAATGGTTTTTATGAAAACAAGTATTGTTTTTGGGAAAACAAGTATGGTAAAACCGGTCCCTCAAAGATTTTTCAATTTTTTGAGGCACTTCTTGATCATTTTGAAGCACGATTTTTTAGGGCCTCAATATTATACCATATCACAGACACTGATGACACGTAGGGCCGTGCATCTCAGATTTAACATTGTTAAACGATGCCTTTAAACACCCTATTCAATGAAAAAAAAACTTTATTTCAATAGAAAGCTGAATGAACATAGAATACAAATATAAAGGCATAACAAATATTTTACCTTTCAGTAGTGCACGAAAGCAAATTAAAACTACATTTTCAGCAACCCTCCAAATTACAGGTCAACAGGGGTCAAATTTGGTAATAACATACATGTACATAAAATGAACTATGAAGGGTACATGAGCATTTGTCTACATCAATAACCCACTTCTTGTAATGGCCAATATTAAATCTTTGCACAGCGCAAAATGAACAACCATTTGGTTCAAGGGTCTAAAAATCAGACTATTTAATAAAAGGACTGCAATCCCTAAAGTTAATTCAACAACTAAGGGTCGTTATTTTCCATCAAAAAGACATTTCCAAGCCCTTTTGTTTTGAGGGATTTCTAAATCAGTATTATCTTTCAAATGCCGTTTGAATTTAACCTTTTCCTTTTTGTAGCCTGCAAATGGGAAATGGTACCTTTAAAGGTAAAGGCCAGTTTTGGAAACGCCCCCCTCTCAAAAAATGAAATGGAAGCTCTGATTACCAATCATGTGAAAGAATATGTTTTGACTACTAAGTGATCAAACAAATTTTGCTGAGAAACCGCCTACTAATTGATATATTTGGTATATTTTATTATCTATATGGACCTGATAGATATAACGCATGTGTCTTGCACGTGTGCATAGTCTCATATACATCTTTCTGTGTCATTTTGATGATTCCAAAACTTTGCAGTACACACCAATACTTATATGCTAGATGATCAACCTTTTCTGATCGATTCCAATACGTTTCTTTCACAATGCAATCACATGACCATGACTGGTCTTTATCTTTAAAATAAAAATGTATATACCGTAGTATAATTATACTGGTAAGCCTTCTCTTTGGATTGTTGATTATTTTCCAACTTCCTTTTTTGCAGTTTCCTCATCACTACGCCTTGGCCAGATGTCCTTACTGCCGGAAAGTGTAAGTATCATACTGAGCGCAATATAGTTTCAAGATCCAGGTTTCAAGTTTTATTTCAATTAAAATCCTTAAAAACTCATTTTATGAAAGTATGAAATACAGATTATATACAAAATAAAAAACATGTTTACAAATATACCAGAATTATGAAAAGTTAATAAATAGAAATGATTTTAGGGAAACTGCGAATAAAACTGTAAGGTTCTATCGAGGCAGTCCCTGTTGTCAGACATGTGTGCTCATCAGGGAATCGTACAGGGTTTCATTAAACTTTTCATTCATTGAATACATTATTTTTTCATATTTCTTTTCTACAGTTCTTCAGTTGGGCCAAGTTATGCTAAGAATCGGTGCATAGTGTACGCTGTGTTGGGCATCGTCTTTCTAGCAGCTGGCATTGGAGTCACAGTGAGTATTTCTCTCTCTCTCTCTCTCTCTCTCTCTCTCTCTCTTAATCTTCACGATTATATTGCCCCTACCCCCAGCCTCCCCCACCCAGTGTTATTTAGGGTACGCGTATGCATGTTCCCTCCTTTTGAAAACACCTCCCTCAAGTCCAGTGTGTAAAGTCAATACGGGCCAATATTTTATGTGTTACAAGCCGGACTTTGTTGCGTGAAAAGTACCCCTTTACCGGACATTTTGGGAACATGAATGCGGACCCTTCGTTCCCGGAATTTGGGGGGGGGGGGGGGCTAGGCCCCTACCCCCTTCCCCCTTTCCTCATAAAGCCATTTAAATAGAGGTGTCATGATTGAGTATTTGAGCACTCGACCAAAAATGCCAAGGTCATGAGTTTGATTCCTGACATGGCACTCAGTTGCTTTAGTAAGACATTAATCTACATTTGCCACTCCATACCCAGGAGAGAGATGTGGATCATGTAAGATGATCAAAGCCTTTATGATAGTACTTTTCATTTGTCTTCACAGTGATCATGTGGTAGGAATACTCGCCAAGGAGTGAGATGGTGCACATTGTGCTTGAATGAATCTGATGACCGGGGTAATAAAAAAAAAAAGCACTTAGAACATGTATTCTGGATTAAGTGCTTTGTAAATCCAGATTTATTATTATACCAATATTTGATATACAAACATATACTCTGCCATATATGATATTATGTCATCAAATTTAAATGGGAAGCCACCTTCAGGCATACACTTGTAGAGATTAGTTCAACAATCACAAGAGGAGCTCATCAAGAGGATTGAAAACATCGAAAAAAATAATCGTGAAACAGATGTGAGAATCAGTAAAATACAGGATGATTTGTCGGCCCAAATGCAGGGCCTTGTTATATCTACAGAGAAAGTGGAGTCGTCATCTATGTGTGCTGAAAACCAGCTAAGTGAACACCAGAAAAGCATAGCAATTTTTGAAAAGAAAATGGAGGAGAAAAAGTATGAGATAAGAAAGCTTGAAAACGAAGTGAATAACCTTGAACAATATTCGCGAAGGAGCTGCATCAGGATCTTCGGAGTCAAAGAGGCGACCAACGAGAAAACGGACGACATCGTCATGGAGGTAGCCAAGAAAATCAACGTTGATCTGCAACATGCTGAAATAGACATCAGTCATCGAGTTGGGATTCGCGATTCTAACGCGAAAAGGGGAGAGCGACCAATCATTGTGAAATTGACATCACACCGTAAACGCCAGGAACTTCTGAGAAATCGACGAAAACTGAAATCGACAGGTATCACCATACAAGAGGATCTTACCGCAAGGAGTCGTGCTCTACTTCAAGAAGCATACAAAAAATACAAGGAACAACGGGTTTCTGCGTCTTGGTCATCGGAGGGAAGGATATTTGTAGCGATACCAACAACAAACGGGAGCAAAGCTGCTAAGAAGCTGATCACCTGTCGCGAAGACCTCTGGGCTCTGTGATTTCTAATTCAGCATGCATGCTGTAAGTACTGTTGTGAAGAAATAATACCGTATGTAACACTGTGCACGGAAAGAAACAAATGATTGTGTCAAATTGTGAAATTTTTAAAAAACTTTTAGACAATTCCAGATGGGTCAATTTTTGGATCCTGATATTTTTATACATCTCTTGTATTTTAAAATTTGTTTTGTTTTTTCATAAGTTGTGTTCGTACTTGTACTTGTCATTATGTCATCTCAACTACCTATTCTTAATTTTGATTTGAAAGATTTACTAGAATCATGCAATGATAGTGCCATTGATAACTTCGGCACAGACCTAATGAACAATATAATAGACAAAGAAACAGAGTATTACTTACCTGATCAACTTAATAACGAAATTTTGTTATTGGATGAACAATACATATCCTTAATGCATATTAATTGCCGCAGTCTCAATAAAAACTTTGATACTATGTCTGAGTTTCTAGATTTGCTAAAGTGTAAAGTTGATTTTATTCTGCTCAGCGAAACGTGGCTTTCGAAAGGTCCAGATTGTCTATTGTCACTTGCTGGCTACGAATATTATGGAAAAGGGCGACCATCCCGTGGAGGAGGTGTTGGAATGTTTGCTAAAACTTCATTTCATATTAAGGAAAGAACTGATCTATCTGTATTTAATGAAAATATTGAATCTTACTTCATCGAGGTAGCTCACAGTAATAGTAAAAACTTGATAATTGCAGTAATTTATAGACCTCCTTCTCAGAGCTGTGTTGACTTTATATCAGATCTTAACAATATTCTAGAGAAAGTTGGTCGCGAAAATAAAACATGCTACTTTTTAGGTGATTTCAATCTAAACTTACTGGATCTACACTCTGACCAACATGTCAACTCTTTTTTGGAAATGGTTTTTTCTCACTCTTATGCCCCTCTCATAACAAAGGCAACAAGAATAGTTCAGTCAAGTTCAACTCTTATTGACAATATTTTTGTCAATGACACAAGTCTAGTGTTAAAAAGCGGTATTTTACTGGCAGACATTTCAGACCACCTTCCAATTTTTGTTTTCAATCGGTCAAAACGTAGTGATTGGCTTAAGCGCGATCAATGCAATAAAACTTATACAAGAGACATGTCTCGCTCAAACTTTGAAAAATTTAGGGTTGCCCTGACTGAACACTCTTGGGAATATGTGATGCATGAAGAGTCATGTGACAGAGCTTATGAAGTATTTCTCAGTGAATTTAATATCATACAGAATTCTTGTTTTCCTTTGAAAGAAAGGCGTTGCCGAAAAAGGGAATCTAAACCATGGATTACAATAGCAATATTGAAATCATGTAAGAAAAAGATAGAGCTATACAAAAAGTATTTGAAGAACCCTTCTGCATACAGGAAAAAAGTATACCGACAGTATCGAAATACTTTAACTTTAATTATTCGAAGGTCAAAAGAATCTTTCTATGCAAAGCAGTTTGAAGAAAGTAATTGTAGTAAACGAACTTGGAATATTATTAACAATATGTTGAATAGGGGAATCAAAAGAAAGAACCAAGACTGTTTTCGTGATGAAAATAATAAGAAACTTACAGATCCTGTTGATATTGCAAACAAATTCAATGAATATTTCATAGGCATTGGGACAATGTTCACAGATACAAGTAATATTGACATGCTGAAGTGTAGATCTTACATGAATGGTCAATATCAACAGTCAATGTTTCTGAAACCAATAGAAGGTCATGAAATTATAGATATAGTGAAGGCACTGAAAATAGGTAAAAGTCCTGGTCATGATAATATAACTGTTTCTGTCATTAAAGAATCAATCTATTTCATTCTTGCTCCACTGGTACATATTTTTAACCTTTCCCTCTCTACTGGTAAATTCCCTCACAGTATGAAGCTGGCGAGGGTGACTCCGATCTATAAGAAAGGCTCCCTCGAGCAGTTTTGTAATTATAGACCGGTGTCACTCTTGCCCGTTTTCTCCAAAATCTTGGAAAAATTATTTTACTCTCGATTATTGTCTTACATTGAGAAACGAGAGATTTTGTCGAATTTTCAATATGGCTTCAGATCTGGTCATTCAACTATATTGGCCTTGACTTATTTTTTGGACCAAATACTTACTTCCCTTGATGATAGCAAACATTCACTCTGTTTGTCATTGGATATCTCAAAAGCTTTTGATTCCATTAATCATCAAGCCTTATTATCCAAATTGGAGTACTATGGTGTGAGAGGTTTGCCATTACAGTGGATAAAGGATTATTTGAAGGAAAGAAAACAATATGTTGTTTATGATAATGCAACTTCATTTGAAAAAGAAGTTACATGCGGAGTGCCCCAAGGGTCAATAATTGGGCCACTGTTGTTTATTCTATATATAAATGATTTGCCGAATGTTTCCTCAACTTTGTCATACATTATTTTTGCAGACGACACCAATGTCTCTTTAAGCGAGAAGAAACTAGATACTCTTGTCCATAATATGAATAAAGAAATACAAAAGGTTAATATTTGGTACAAAGTGAATGGGTTAAGGATAAACATTGAGAAAACAAACTTTATGCATTTTGCACCATTGAATAAACAATATGATAAGAACTTACTTACTCTTAAGTTTGTTGATTCAGTGGAGCCCTTAAAGCAAGTACATAGTGCCCGCTTTTTGGGAGTTAATATTGATGACAAGTTATCATGGTCTTTACATATTAATGATATTGCATTAAAGATCTCGAGAATTACTGGAGTTATGTCAAAACTGAAATTTGTATTACCGTCAAAGGTACTGCTTTTGCTATACAATTCATTAATTCTCCCTCATTTACAATATGGTAATATGCTATGGATAAATGCATCAAATACATTGTTAAATCGTTTACATTTGTTGCAAAAACGTGTAATACGCATAATTGCCAAGTCTCATTATTTGGCCCATACCAACAATATCTTTAAACAATTAAGGGTTTTGACTGTATATGAATTAGGTAGGTTACAACTGGGAGAATTTATGTACAAGTCTGAAAAGGGACTATTACCAAACTCACTTCAAAACTGGTTTAGATGCAACAGTGATGTACATTGTTATAACACTCGAAACTCCAAGAATTTGCATAGCATTTATTACAGAACTGCTACTGGCCAAAGAAGTGTTAAGTATCAGGGTTACCTTACATGGTCTACTTTAGATAACAGTCTCAAACAATCTGCATCATTACGACAATTTAAGTATAAATATAAACAATATCTCTGCAATTCTAAATAGTCAAATCAATTTAAAAACAATTATTATTATGTTTCAAATCGCAATTATGTTATCATCAGGTCAATTTAATCTAATTATAAAACCAGACATTTGAAGGGAGAGTCCACCCTGAGGATGGGTTTACTCCGCCTTTACTTGGCCACACACATTCTCAGGGTGGACTTCCCCTTCATTGCTACCGGGGCTAGACTCGACAAGCTTCGCTTTTTCTAGCCCCATCTACATTACTCACCTTTTTATGTTTTAATGTTGATGTTTTTGTTAACTGATGTAGATTTTCATTGTTCTTTTATGCTTATGTATCTGTTTTCTTTTGCTCTATGTGTCAAATGTGTATAATGTAATCTTTTACCTTGTATATTTATCTGGTTTTTAATGTGGAAAATAAATGAAATGAAATGAAACCTTTAAAGAGCAAATTACTCAAGGAAGGAAAAAAAATCAGAGAAGCAGATAGACCAATTAGAGTAGTGATATTCAGTATGACCCCCACTTTTATTCCACTAGCTCAGAAATTTAAGATGGGATGGAAAGAATGAAACATTGTTATTCCGCTCAAATTTTCACTTTAACCACTTTTTGTTCTCATTCCTTTTCAGATTGCAACGATGGAGTTGGCTAAGAATCAAGGAGGCATTTACTTTGTGTGGATAAGTACGTACAAACTGCCCCTTGTTGTATTAACAGTCTTTGTTCTCTCAATCTCAGTAAATCAATATTTATGTCATTCTTTGACAGGGAGTGTAGCTATAAGCACTTGCTCATTCATTGCTTTTATCTGTATCGGTAGACCTCCCTTGTGTTATTAATATCAGTTTATTTTTTGATGATTCAAGTTGGGTTTTTAGAATGTGTAGGAATACGAAAGAAGCTATCATGGAGATATGTTTCTTTTGTCTGATGTTCTGGATCTGTCTTTCTTCATGGCACTAATTTATGTATATGGTCTTGTTAAACTGAACTGTATGTCACTCTGACAATTCCATTTGATGAACAGAAATATCTTAATTCTTATGACAATTGAGGGAAGAAGTGTTTGTTGCAAACTTTTTTTATTTTTCCCGAGTCCTTGCACATGAGGTAACTGTAAAAAATATATATCTGTATTTACATCATGAAACGCATTTGGACATGCTGTTTCACGGTGAACGTTGTGTTTAACTCCCGATTTTGTTTTATCACAACTCTTTTCATTAGGTGCCTTTATCGTGGCCATCTTGAATTTCATGAGGTCTTGCTACTACGGCAGCATGAAAGTGAGTAACATAGAGAATGAAGGATAACTGGGCGAACACTGGCGGGGCTGACTGGACATGGACAACCCCCCAGCTACCAGGAAATCACGTCAAGCATATGAACCTGAAGGTTATTCTCATCATGATTTACCCTGCCATTGGGTTCCTGGAACAATTGAAATTCCTAATCTTGAGTTCCTGAACGGATTGACATTGTAAAGCAGAATCTAGCTCTTATAAAGTGATCTCATAGAATTCTACTTGTAATGTTTACATGCTTTGAGTCATTGGACTATGTACCCAAGTGAACACAAGTAATTTATCATCTGGGAGATTCCATGTTGGGAAAAATAAAGGGATGTTTTGACGACATTTTCCACCCAACTGATAAATCCAATCATTGGTGATATATTGTATTTTGATCATGATGGATTGATGTGAGAACATAACAATAGTTGATGGTCATTGAGAGATTCTTCATCCTAAGCATATGAGACACAGAAATGTTCAATGTGTGCCCAATTCTCTTTTTATTTCAATCCCCCCACCCCCCAAAAAAGAAAAAAGTAGAGATGACTCGCTATATTAAGTGACCAATGATTAAAGTATCACTTTGTGCATTGTATCGTTTCCCCCAAAAACAAGTCTTCGTTAATTATATGTGTGATAAGTATAGGCTTGAAACTACTTCATAATGTCCTTCTTTAATAGAAATCTATTGATTTGTACTGTTACTCACAATCGATCTGTATATAAAGGTCAACAAACTTTACATGATATATTAGAAAGTTTGGATGACCTTTGTCTAGTTTATATATCATCCTTCCTGACCTATGACCTTCATAGCTCATTAGGAAAAATAAATCATCCTGTATGTATAGTTAAAACTAATTTTTATTGTAATCAAGTACTTGTCCTATCCTGCGACATGTTATTGTTGGACCTTTGGAGCACGTTCTAAAAGATCAGACACTGATGAATATTGGGACTGACTTGAAAACGTCTAAAAGACCAACAACACCAGTAGTATAGCGAATGAACAACACCCTGAGTCAATCTATGTTGTTGATTATATGCTTGTTTGGGGTTGGTTTTTTCGATGTAACAGGGCTAAGACATGTTATTTTGTAACATGAATTTTACCTGAAAAAAATTGATCATTCCATTCGATAGTTTAGCAATTTCCAAACAGCTTCTTAGTGATTTGGTGTTATTGACTTGCATACCAAGTAATGAGAGAAAAGAAATTCAAACCTACACTGTAGTAAAAAATCAAAAAAATCTGAAATTTGATGTTGAGTGTGATACAAGTCTCTTGTTACATACCATATATAAAATCATTGAGACATCCCCTCATTATTATCCATTTATAGTCTTTGATATCACTTATTTAGCATGGAAAGTTCAGATTACTTATATATCTGGTACTTATTACTCCCCAAGAATGTTCTATGGGGAAAAAATGAAAGCCTTTAGAAAAATATTCTTGAAATCTTTTTTCTTAATGACAGTCAAACCTGTCTTTAGTGGCCACCTCTCATGTAAAGGCCACCTGTTTATAGAGGCCATGCATTTTTGTCTCCCTCGAGAGATAAATGTGTGTTGTAGAACCTGTCTAGAAAGACCACCTGTTTACAGTGGCCACTTCCTGTCTTTCCCTTTGGTGGCCTCAATAGACAGGTTTGACTGTCGTTATTTTTTAAGATGATCTATTTCTACAAATAGAAGACAGCGTCATCGTTTTCACCATTTCCTTCTGTATTAATCTTGTTTGCAAAGAGATAAGGGTCACATGATGCAGACAGGATGTAGTTATTCTATCATTGTAATCTTCTCACAGTCGACTGCTTATCCTTTTTAATAGAAGTTTTATATAGTGTAGTCAGGCTTGAAATGAGACAATTTCTTGATAATATTTTCTTAATAAAATTTGAAATAATTTGACTGTTTTTTTTATGGAGCAAAGTTCAAATAAAAGAATTTGTGTACATATGATATCCTAAGCTACAGGTTCAATCTATCCAAGTGAATGATTTTATATTTACCTTGGATGCTCAGTTACCAACTGAATTGTTTATACCCCTTGTAAATGTTATGTTTTTGTGTTTTCGTAACTCGAGAATGAAAGGTGGACTGGTTGAATGAGGGCCTTTGTTGAATACTTATGTTCAGTAAGCTTTAATTTGTCACATTTTCAAGAAACCTATTTCAGGGAAAAATCAATTTTTTACATACTTTGTAAGGGCATATAAATTACAAAACATGGTAAGGGTATGAATAATTTAGTTGTTAACTGTATGTAGATTTAGAAAAATACCTGATAATGTTTGATACATCTTCTATAAGCGTATGATTCTGTGTTTTTACAGTGAGTGGATTGTCTGTTTTGATAGGCCATTCACATCATAATGGACTTATACCATAGTTTGAGCCGAATCGATTGTGCAAGAAGCTTGGACACATACATAAAAGTACGTCCCAACCCATGCCCAAAATGGGACCAAGGCTGCTTGAAAAATGAAAATATGCTCATGATTGGATCTGGAGAAATTTTGGTGTCTAATTTCTCAACTATTGGGCCAAAGAATAACCTCATTTGAGCAATGAAACTAAAACATGGCATGATGTCTACATTATGTTAGAACCATTTGTTGCCACACTTGAAATGCAATTTCAAATGATTTATATCATTTATTTACATGGAAAGTCAGAAAATGGCATCAATTACCCTGTTGAAATGGCCACTCCACCCACTTTGAAGCCAGTTTTTCAAATTGCTACTCTATTTTTCTTATTATGCAAATCAGTAGAATCTTTGATTGTAATGTGAGAGTTCATGTAGTGCTTATTATAAAGCACTGACTTTTGTTTACTTACTAAATGCCGCAGCATATTCTGATGGTTATATGCGTCTTTTTCTATCTGTATATATGTAATGAAAAAAAAAAAGTTTTGTAAATACTGACAGAGCTCTATATTATGTTAATTAAATGCATTTAAAGTGATGTTTTATTACTTCTTTCATTGATGTAACCTTACGTAATGATCCCTTAAATTATGTGCTCCTCTTAATGTGTGTAGCATTTTGATATTGGAGCTATTAACATGCCAGGCATATGTATATTCACTTAACTGGCAAATTGAATTTAAGTAATAAAAATAGTAACACATGAAACATATTCAACTCCATTTTCATTTATACATCTTGGTATAGATACATAATTATCTTCCTCTTTACCTTCTATATAGGTTTTTTTGTCACAATATTAATTCTTAATCAAAATTGAGTGATTCTTTTCTGTTCTCCAAGGGAAGTGAAACTTGCAGATATAATATACTCATTCCTTGTTTAACCGTATAATTTATCATGTATTTTTGTTGGCTTTCACTTTAGAATTGTATTTCTTCGGGGAATTATTCAAGACACGTGTAGACTGCTTACCCCCAGTATGTTATGATTATTCTAATCAATTAGATTGAAATTTGTATTCTTCGAAACATGGAAGAGGAACTCTTTGCAGCTTTAGTACACTCTTAAAGCCCTGGTTAGATCAAAACATTCAATGTCTGCATGAAACTTCTCTAATGGAGTTTTATCTGATGTTATGAAATATTTTTTCCTTTCAAGGGGAAGTCCCCCCTGATATTAAGTTGATTTTAATAGAAGCAGAATTTGAGAGGAACAGGTCAGTGAAATAGGTATATCTTGATGCATGTAAACGTGCCTAATATCTCTCTCATTACAAATTTTTGCATTTGTTACTTTTTTATTTCTTGGATGTTTTGACAAACTGTCCGTTCTTCAATGTGATACCAGTGTAAAATCCAATTACTGATATACTCTTCTTATGTTATTTAAAAGTGGTTCATAATCTTCACAATTAGAAATATAATAGTATACGCACCCAGTTTTATATTCGCACTAACATTTGTCAATACAGGAAAAATTATGAACATTTGCATTATTTTATGCTGCATTTGATTACCATACAGACTAATTATGTCAAATCAACATTTGAAAAAGTATATTTCAGGTGTAATATATGATCTGATGAGCAGAGATAGTAGACTCAATAATAGTGGTAGATAGTGTTTTCGCGTGACTTATATAGTCTTATTTTTATAGAGGAAGACATTTTGGATGTTGAGCTATATACATGTATTCTACAGTGCTGCACTGTGTAAGCATACATTCCATACAATATTTGTATCCACACTCATATGATATGTGCATGCAGTTGAGTATCAAGGGCTGTATTCAATTCAGTATGCAGATAAAGTTGGTATTTTACTAAGGATTTTACTTGGCTATTAAAAGTTATATGTTTTAACTTGTATTCAGGTCATATCTGAGCATATCTAGTCAACTTTAAGGCAGAACACTTACTGATAAACTTTGTGATCAATGGTGAATCCAAAATTATGCGCAAGTAACGGGGCCCATTAAATGCGCTCTATTACAATTGTGCCAATCAAGGCCTCCAAAATTATTGGCTTTAGTCTGCTCAGGAGCTGTCTTAAACTTGGGGTACAATACTTGGCCAAAAGCTTCAACTGAATACCAAAAATGGCTAAGTATTCTATCTAAGCTGAAAACTTAGTAAAATACTCCAATACTGACATATAAGTATTGAATTGAATACTGTCCTAGATTGATAATTCAAATCAAAGTCTTGGTGAAGACGGTTAGGCTAACTCTTCAGAATACATGCACCATGAAAGGATTGTAGTATAAGCGTCTTTTTTTCAAGTCAAGTTGAAGTGCATTCATTACCCTCACTTATATTACCAGTATTTAGTGCCATAGGAATAACACTAACCACAGTATGATGATTTCCTCTTTAGTCGCAGGCAATCGTAATGGTTTTACTTTTAGGGCCATTTAAAATCGCTCTTGCTTGATTCGTGTTTGTGTATAAAGGCTTTGAGGTTAAATAATTTTCATTAAAAAATTAATAAGTAAAGATCAGTGCTTGAATCATGGCTATGTGTTTATGTCCTAGGAAAGTGCATTTTATTTACAGTTGCCTCTCTCAACACAGGTAGACTACAATGATACCTGGTAGGATTTCTTTCTAGTATTGTTATCCTCGCTGATAACTGCTTCCATTCCTAAAGTTGGTGATAGTTGGCAGTATTGGATATAAGGTTAAGTACTTTTTGTCAAATTTTAAATTTGCTCATTGAAGCAGCCGGTGCTGAAAGGTGCAGAAATAATATATTACATTGGAAGTGTTTCTAAAGTAAGATTGTACATGTCCAGTAGTATTACATCCTGTTTTATTATGAGGAAGTTATTTCAATCTTATAATTCATACACTTTGTGGAAGCATGAGTCGATTTCATATCCAATTATTCAGATTAATTGCAGCTATTCATAACAGTCATATTCAGAATAGATCATTACATGTATGTTTATTTTCTGGTGTGCATGCGATTGTAATTTCCATTGTCAAAATTTTGACTATGATTAGAACTTAATGGATCTCATCAATGATTGTGGCAAATTTGAAGGAAAGATACATGATGTGGGTAGTGTATTGATATTGTTCGTTGAGAACCAGAAAGATGTTTCTAATGTTTCGAGTGTTGATAGCACCTTTGTGGTTTAAAAACACTTTGTTTAGTCCCCTTCTTGCTCAAAAAGAAATATTTGCAAGGAACACATTAATTAAATTGTAAAACCAAAAACATTTCTTTGAAAGAAAGACAAAAATGGCAATTAATCCCAAGTTACAAGAGCTTTTTGCCTCGTAAAAGGTCACAGTATAAAGTTTTTTGTTTATAAAAACGGTTTCATGTCAAAAAAAGTTTCTGCATTTGCAGTAATCTGCTCTTGGTTTGACGATACACGTGTTACACAGCGCTCAACACTACAGGTGCCCGGGACACATGAGCGCCCAAAATCTAAGTTCAGAACCCCCCCCCCCCCCCCCCATTTTAAAGTTTTTCTATAGGGCTCATACATACAGACAGTAAAAAGTCAATCCAGACCCCCTTCTAAATGTTACTGTGGAGCCCTGTGTTACATGGATGGATTATATCTCAAATTTAAAGGAATATTGAAAGGTAACTATCAAAAGAGTAGAACAATAAGTCAATATCTCCATACCTCTACCCTCAAATTTCTTTCTGGTTATCACCAGTGAGACAAATGGCAGATGGCAGGTTCCAAGATTTTTACCAACTTGTTTTCAATTACAAGATCCAGCACGCCATCTTTATTTACTGGTTGCAAGCCAACAATTTCTTTACACAAATTGAAATTACTCCAAGGAAGCATCACATTTACAGGTGTTTTTATTTATTTCACCAGTCCTTCCTTCTCTTTCACCATCCTGTATCATTTCTGTTGAATATGTCTGTTTTATCCTATCTTTGTTTGTTGTATCTTTCTCATGCGTATTGTTGTACAGTCATTGAAATGAATGATAAGGAATGGCATATGAATGTAATGATTTTAGTCATTTCGATGGTTTTTCTTTTGACATTTTTATATTGCAAGGAAGACTTCTTGTAATAGGAGTCTTTAATAATGTAGTGGTACTAAATGCATTAATACAATTAAAAATCTTACAATCAATTCATAGTTTTCATTTTCATTGTCTTTTCTGCCAGTAGCACTTGTATAGGGCTTGTATGTCTATCAAACTTGACACTCGTGGTGCTCCAGTGTAATGATTACGAGATATGAAATGCATGTATGTGTAATTTATGATTGTTTGAAATTATGTCACGTTTGGCTGGATGTGTTTTTGTATGTTTGCTGTGAGGTGATCTTCAGTCCACAGAGTCCCTCTTTACTTAAAAATATCTCTTTATTTAAAAGCACCATTTCAACATTTAACATGCACTACTATACCTGCTCAAGAGCAATTGCTCACAATAAATAATCTATATGCAGCTGAATATCTTACCTCCAACCTAGACAAAACACTTTAACTTGGGTCATTATTTACGATGTTTACAATCCCTAACCTTAGTCCTAAACCTTCAGCCTATATCTTTGCCGAGATAAAGCCCAGAATAAATATTAGACCACTTTAAACCTACCTGTTACTAACTCTATATGATATAATGACAAAATTAGTAGCTTTTTCATGCATATTTACCAAAAACCCAATACATGTAAAACAAAAATGTAATAAAACCATTGTTTCACTACACCAATGTAACCCCCCCCCCCCCCTCGCCTTCCCCATCAGTATAAAGTAGATATGTCCATAATTCAACCACAAATGGGATATTTTTCTCTGATATGGTAGATGTGCGTATGCACTACATGTGAACGAAAAATGAAAAGTGAAAAGTTTTTTTAATGATATCCAAATCTGGCCAAGTCCAGAGTCTATACCTCTGAGATATAAGGGAATTTTAGATTTGCACGTCGACATAGTGGACTGCTACGTATGATGTCCTTTTAAGGCAGACATCCTTTTAAGGCACTGATAGTGCCGTAAAAGGACGTCACACATAGCAGTCCACTATGTCGTTGTGCAAATCGTAAAGTCCCTATTAATAGGTAATGAAGAGGTCTGAATTAATTAATGTAATGCTACAAAAACACAGAGACAAGAAAGAGAAAAAGGCAAATACAAATCAACTCGATATCCATTGAAAACTATGTTTAGTTTTATTGAAGAGGTTAAGGTGCAAAACATATATTTTATAGATCTTTTATAAGTACAGAGTTATATTGTAATTATACACACATAGAAACCAAGTTCAATACGCTAGTGCCCTTTGGTAGGGCATTAATCCCCATTACCAAGTCCCTGGCAGATGACTTAAAGCCTTCTGTCCCTGGTTGCTTACTTACAACCATACTCGTGCTTTCTTAGCAGTCAGGTAAAACAAACAAACATCTCTGAATATAAGCTTTCATTTTCTTTATTATGGCTACCAAGGTGAAACTAATGTTAAGGTCCTAAACATGATTAAGCCATTAAAATATTTAACATACTTTTTTATCATCTCCTCTGTGATTGAGGGTATGCATATATACCATGCATAGGCATGGTTGTATCGATGATGGTATGGTAACAAGCAAATGTATTGCCAGATGTTCTGAGTTTATCAATAAATTGAAAATATATACTTCAATTTCAAGTGTTACATCATTATTTCATCACTTTATTTAATTATTCAGATAGACACCAAAGGGAAGCATAGCATTAACATTCTCCTATCTATCAAAGCAAAACATTGATCTTTTTTGTCAAGGAAACAATAATCACTGGAAAAGCAATGTAAACCTTGCATCAGTTGCATGCTTTCTTCTATGCCATGTGTTATTTACATACCATACTTTCAAAAACTTTTTATGTCCACTTTGACGGAGCTAAAAACAAAATAATGTTCAAGAGAAGCCCAAACCCTAATTACTTGTTTACTAATGTCAGCCAATCAATCTTCAAAACAATGTATGTATTAATCATTGATGGCAAATATAGACTTTGCTTGTAATAAACTTGTTAACATGATTCAAACAACAACTAGCACCTATCGTATTGTATGAATGATTATGATTGACTGAACCTCATTTTGTACCAAGGTTCAGACATCTATTGATACATAACTCAGATCTTGCTGAAGATAACTAAACAAAATCCTACAGCAAAATGTGATTATTTGAATAAGTAACAGTTACACATCCAGTGTGGAATATACACAATTAATACGCTCCATAAATAAATCATAGATCTATATATATTGGAACCCCTAAACATACACCAAAAAAATACATCTTCAATAACAAATTATTTTTAAAACAACTGAACATAAATATATCTCTTTCTCTCTGTATACCACTTTGGTATTTTCTACAAAAACAACTAGCAAATATTCTCTTTTATAAAGAGATAAACAAAAAAGTAGGAAGTACTGATTTTCTTTTGATAATTGTGAGACAATATATCATAAAATTAACTACACAAATTCAAGCTTTTACACAGAATTAACAACTCACAAAAGTTTAATAAGTAATTTATTCTCAAGGTCATTGGAATTGCATATATATTACCTTTGAGTTTCTTGAGGGGTGAATCTAATTCACATTAAAGTTGGGAGTTGAGATTGCTCGGCAGGTTTCTGAAAACCAAGAAAATATTTGGCAGTTTTGCATTTTTCTACCCGGCAATTCAGTTAATAAAGTTCAGCCACTATGATATTTCTTTCATTCTGAAACACAGAATCATTTCTATGATTAAAAATTTCTTTTATATTTCAAATCAACAATTCTAACACATGGATTGGATGTATCATGATAATATGTATGTATTTCAAGGTAACTTGGGACTAACATACATGTATGTTCTACATACCATAACCATTCATAAACATATACATGTACACTGTATTCTATTGCTTAACAGGTGAAAAGTGAAATATATTCCTGGGTTACTCATAATAAGTAGATATTATCTATGTAGTGATAATATACAATTTATAATCTTCATGTATGAAATAAAAGCTGGAAAATTCTTTACTTAGGCATTCAAATTTGAATATGACCTACAGCAGAAGAGGTACATCAAACTTAATGTATGTCCTCTAAATACTCTCACAGCTTGTTCAGATATGGTACGGTAAACCAACGCAAAAAAGCAGTTGACCGAGTTGTGATTTTTTTAAAATATGTTAATGAATAGCAACTGCAAGCTACAAAGGTCCTACATGGATTCATTGAGCGCTGTGTTATAAGATACAGAGACATGAAGGGTATTACACTTACGTCATCATTTTTTAATAAAACGTATACCTCATCATATCTGAACGAAGCTTAGGTATGTTAGCAGTGATACATGTACATGTTAGTAAACCTTACTAAAGAAACTTTCACCAAGTTACTGATTCTATTATTACTGATAGTCATTCTATCTATCGGAGCACATTGCACTCAGTAAGTACTACTGAAAGGTCATTGACCTCTGACCTCTGATCCTCTCTTGCTTACTTCCTGTGAGTCTTGATGAAGTTGATAAGGCCGTTGGTTGAGGAGTCATGGGAGGAAACTGGGTTGGCGTCCTTGAGCTCTGGTTGGATGATCTTAGCCAGCTGCTTACCGAGCTCAACACTATATAGGCAAGAAAAGGAGAGAAGAGAAGAAAAGATGTCTAAATGAGGATTCAACATTGTGGTGTCTCAGATGTCAGCTTTCCATTCAAGGTAAGGAGCAAATAATCATCCTTTTAAAGCCCCACTTCACTACTTATAGCTACTTGCTCCCTCTATATAGCAAACAATGCCTAATTGGTGACCATTGGTCCCCCATGGCCCCTTTTTCTTACCCCCACTGATCATATGAGTTGATATTCCCATTGATGGACTTACCCCCACTGGTCATATGAGTTGATATTCCTATTGATGAACTTACCCCCACTGGTCATATGAGTTGATATTCCTATTGATGGACTTACCCCCACTGGTCATATAAGTTGATATTCCCATTGATGAACTTACCCCCACTGGTCATATGAGTTGATATTCCCATTGATGGACTTACCCCCACTGGTCATATGAGTTGATATTCCCATTGATGAACTTACCCCCACTGGTCATATGAGTTGATATTCCCATTGATGGACTTACCCCCACTGGTCATATAAGTTGATATTCCCATTGATGGACTTACCCCCCTTGGTCATATAAGTTGATATTCCCATTGACGGACTTACCCCCACTGGTCATATAAGTTGATATTCCCATTGATGGACTTACCCCCACTGATCATATAAGTTGATATTCCCATTGATGGACTTACCCCCACTGGTCATATGAGTTGATATTCCATATGATTCCTTGAGTGAAGATCTTGTGTTCATACGTAGCAAGCAGTACGCCGAGTGTAAACGGTGTTAGCTTCTGGAACATGATGGAGTTGGTTGGACGGTTGCCTTCAAATACCTGATACAGTTCAAGAACATAATTTACAGGAATGAGGTACTATTCAAGTGTACATGCAAAATTTGTTTGTACAGAATATGCTCTGGCAAGAGAACCTCCAGTGTCAATTGCAAACACTAGTCGACTACCTCACTTAAACCGGCCTGGGCAAACACTTACACCTAATTCTAACAATAAACCTAAATTGCAAAAGGAAGCCCTAACACTACACCTCTTCCTGTTCCTTTGATGAAATAAATCTTGGAGCAAAAGTTGAATCACCATGAAATCAAGTCAGTATTTTTCCTTTGAAAGTTTTTAAGAAATTCTGCATTTAATTGTCCAAGAGAAAAAAGCACTACAATCTTGAACAGAAGAGTGAAGAGATCTTAAAGTGTACCATGCAATCACCTGAAAAAAAAATCATTTGTGTACACCTAGAATGTATATAATCAACTTAAAGAAACTATACCTGGTATTCTATGGGATGACGATTTAGAAGTATTATGAAATTTAAAAATAATATAAAACCGCGTTTATGAAACACAAGTCGGACCATTTTCTAAGGGAGTTGACACACTAGTTACTTTTATTCGAAACTCGCAATATTTGAAGATCATAATTTTTAATATAGCCCCAACAAACAAAATAAGATATGTTTTGGCGACTGGTACACTTTAAGGAACGTCTAGATACGTAACCTACCTTGTGGGGCAGAATGAGTTTAATATTTTCAGCGGACATCCCAGAAGCCACCAGCTCTTTCTCTGCTTCCGCTTTAGTCTTGCCTGTCATCAGAGCCTCAGTCTGGGCTAAGAAGTTTGCCATTAGGATCTAAGATAAAGGCAAATATGAAATACTTTATTAAATCACTGTATATTTCCTACTTTAATCCATTCATCATCGAAACAACAACAGCAAAAACAACCCCCATCCCCAGAAAGAAAGAAATTGTAATTACAATGCATCACTATACTTCAAAGTCTATGATGAAATTGATGATTGAAGACAACAAAACAGCCAAACTCGTATTTTGGCACTTATATCTACAGGAAAATAAAATGTAAAATTAGATGTACAGGTAATATGAATAAAACCTAACTGTATTAGTTTAGATGTACAGAAATGTTTATGGATATAAATGAGGATTACACCAACAAAAATTATATTCTCCAACAGGGTTTTATCTAGTTGTAGAAGGCCTTTATCGGCTGTGAAACCAAGATAATGTTTAGAGTCTTACCTCATGATGCAAACCTCCCTGGACAGGGTTATGAGTCTCTACAGGAGCTATGAAATCAGCTGGGATAATGCGAGTACCTAAGAAAAAAAGGGAAAAAAGAAGTAATAGCAATTGTTTTAATGTCCTTGAGCAAGACATTTTATCTAAATTGTTTCTTTCTTCAACATCTTTGAAAATATTTTGTAAAAGTTATTTTAAAAGGCATGAAATGTCGGTTCTAATCATTCATATTTGATATTATCAAGGAAATTTTTCATGTTCTTGATGTGGAATTTATGAAAAGTCTAAAATACTTCAATTTTTGCTTTTGAATAAATTGTATTTAAAGGTACTATATCTCTTTAGCAGTAAACATCAAATTCAGTAGAACTTTGCAGGAATTATGAGTACAGTATATCGTGTATGTCCCATCTGTGAAATTTAAACGTTAGCAGTGTCATAATATTCAAATTATGCAAGGAAACCCGTTTACTTGCTAGACTACACTGTCAGACACTATTGAGTGACTGACTGGATTTTTTTCTTCTTTGGTAATAACATACATAAAAATGAGCTGTAAAGGGTACATGAGCATTTGTCTACATCAATAACCCACTTCTTGTAATGGCCAAAATCAAACTGATTGAATCTTTGTGCAGAACAAAACGTACAACCATTCAGTAAAAGGGTCTGAAAATCAGACTATTACTTAGGTGATTGCAATCACTTAAGTCGATTCGACAACTAATGGTTGTTATTATACCACTAAAAGCCATTTTCAAGCCTTTTCGTTTTGAGGGAAGTACTACATTTGTATTCTTTCAATTGGTGTTTGAATTTAACCTTTTTTTTTTTTGCCTGCAAATGGGACATATAGTACCTTTAAAGGCTAGAATTGGCTGTCCATAATGTTTAAGTCCAACTTAGAGTTAAGTTTGAATTAGGATCTTTGTGAAACACCCTCAGGTGTTAAATGGGTACCCAGATGTCACTGTAGATTACTCAGCATTGTGAGAGTCTGTAAAATGGTAAAGTTGTAAAATTCCTCAGGGGTGGCAAATGTGCATGCATTGGGGCAGGCAAGCCTAAATCCGATGACCGGGCTAATACCATTTTCTTATTTTGTAGGTCTTGATTGACAGGCTTATGGTTTTCATACCCAGTCATCATAAGTTGTGCACAATTATATAAGCGCTCTTCTAATCCAGCAAGTTAATAGCGCATCATTTTGACTGACAATGTGACATCACGCTAAGTAAATTGCTAGGTAAAATTCTGACTTCATCAACGTTTTTGCTGCTGTTATTTGTTTTATTCTTACCAAACAGGTCCTCATGGAAGACCACCAAATTGGTGATATGTTCCACCCTGTATAAATATCAGAAACAAATAAATAAATAAATAAATAAATAAATAAATAAATAAATACTGATGACTGACCTTGATGAATGAGTTGATAGAAAGCATGTTGCCCATTAGTTCCTGGTTCTCCCCAGACGATAGGACCGGTAGAATAGGCTACACGGCGACCATCACGGGTCACATATTTCCCGTTAGATTCCATGTCGCCTTGCTGGAAGTAGGCTGCAAAGCGATGTAAGTACTAGTGGAGAAATACAAACATAATATCAATGTTCAGAGTTTGTAAGTACTGACAGTGAAGTTAAACAATAAAAAAAAAACATTTAGCAGGTCAAATAGTTATATGTATAATGTAATTTAAACTAAAATCTAACAACAAAATTATCAATCATTGAAAGAATTAGCATGCTTATCAGGTTATGAAAATTCAACCATATATTCTTTTTTTTCTTCATTTTGTTATAATAGAAATATATTACAGGAATAATAAACAGCGAAACTTTTATCATGATTCAAAATTTGCAAACACTTGATATGGAAATTTTTCTTGAATATCTGATATCAATATGATACTGATGATCGGACATTAAAAACGATCAAGGAGATCTTTAAAAGTTTTTAAGAATATAAATATCATTGTTGGAAAATTAAGTCGATATTGCTGAAAACAAACTCATCAAAACAACGTCTCAAAGTCATAAAATGAAGAATGAATATCTCCATTGGTATCATACAATTCAACTCCATCAATCTCCATTAATAAATGGTCGCTTGTGATGTATGAATCACATGAAATCTGACATACCTGATCATACGGGAGTAGGGCATGAGTCTCCGCTCCAAAGAAGTTAGAATACCAGACTCCTAGCATGCCCATGATGACTGGGAGATTCTTGTCCAGGGGAGCAGTACGGAAATGATTGTCAGCAAAATGAGCCCCTTCTAGGAGCTTCTCAAAGTTATCCATGCCAACATAGAGGGCGATAGACGTGCCGATGGCGGACCAGAGAGAATAGCGTCCACCAACCCACTAGGAAATGAAAGCAGAAGTAAAAGGATATCTAACAGCACATAATAATAACAACAATAATAATATTACTAATATGCAACACGTATAAAGCACCTGATACTATGTTTCCAAGGACATAGGAAGATAAAAGGAATAAATGGAGAGAGGGAGAGAGAGAAAGAGAGAGATCATTAGCAATTCAAAAATTCACAACTACTATTGCTTCTGATAAGGTTGCCTAAAAAGAAAAGATTTTATGATGTTTCTTGAAAGTGTCTATGGAGGAGGCTTTTTAGATATAAATGGGAAGATTGTTCCAAACTTATGGGGCAAGAGAGGAAAAGGAACGATCGCAGTCAAGGTACAAGACAACACATGAATCAAACTTAACATACTTACTTACGCGCAAGTTGAAGAATGTACCCTATTTCAAGCTGTCCCATCAAGGTCGACTTATGCGAGGTTGACTGTATTGTGGTATTGATAAATACAGTCAACCTCACATAAGTCGATTCAATATGACTTTAGAAAGTGTTTCCATGGCAATAATACCAACAAATCCTGTCTAGCAGCAAAAGGCAATTCTGAATTAACAGGCAAAAAAAAAAATCAACAAAGCTTGAAAATCTTTGTATCTTCCGCTGCATGATTTCATCAATATCTCAATGGTGGGTAATACCAATCAATATTAACAAGAGGGAGCTACACTGTGAAGACCGAAGACTTATTTACATGGCATTAAACCTATTGATATACTCACATCCCAGAATCCAAACATGTTGTTCTTGTCAATACCAAAGGCTGAAACCTTCTCCTGTAAAAAGAAAAAGAAAATAGTTTGTAAAATCAATTGCATATTTGCACATGGTGCTTTACAGACCTTGGAAAATATTAGGGAAATTATTCATCTTATTTTCCCTTATTGGCCCAAGTCAAATATCATGCATAGTTTTTGAGTTGCCTGTCACTAACCATATAACAACAGGACTACAACATCATGTCTTTGACACAAAACTTATTTGATGTTTCCAGGGGCGGACTGGGATTGAAAATTGGTTTTAAAAGTTGTATGCAACCAGCCCACTGAATATAAAAGATGCATATATATCAAGTGGCCCTCAACCCACAAATCAACTGGACCTTGATCCGGCCAAGAATAAAGAGCTGCTCGTGGGGAAAATTTCCCTAACTCCCCAAAGCGAATCTGCCCCTGGATATTTCCTGAGGATGCATATGTATCTTTTTTTTCCACCAAAAATGACACATTTGTCATTGGAAGCTCCTTGTAAAAAGTTGCTGAGAGTAAGCACGAGGAGTAAAACAAGTTTGACTACTTACGGCATTGGTGGAGAGGGCGACAAAGTGCTTGGCAACATGGGCAGGGTCCTTGGCCGTCTCCAGGAACCAGTTCTTAGCTGAGGTAGCGTTGGTGATCGTCTCCTGGGTGGTGAACGTCTGAAAGGAGGAGAGACAAAGGAGGAGAGACCAAGAAGAAGAGTAGTCAAATACGAGAGGGAATGCTTACTGTGCGCATTATGTAAAACATACAAGTCTGAGACAGTAGAAGTATTTGCTGTGTGATGCAATATGACATAGTATTTGAAACATCTTGTTTTCACACTTACAGAAACTGGTGTTTTCAAACAGCAGCAATAGATAACTTATTACAAACAAACACTTACCAGCAATAGAAAAAGGAATTTTTGAAGTGAGTGTAAAAAATTGGATCACAGTTTAGATGAGCAATACGAGTCTGATCATCTACAAAGCACAAGTTTGATTTTATTTCTTTAACAGTTTGCATACAACAATAAAAACACCTAGAAAGGTTAGTAAGGACTTTGCCTTTATGCCATAGTAGCACGGTGCCTACTTTAGTTTTGGTGATGCTTTTTGCATTATATTTTGATCTAGAATGGTTGGAATTACACTTTATACATGAGCAGAAATAGCTAAAATCTCAGGAGTTTTTAAAGAGCGATTTAATTTTGTAACTAATCAATTAAGTGTCTAGATTGGCAATGCGATGTAAAATATAAAGTCTCTATTTTCATGTACAACTTGGCAATTTTTTAGTTAAATCTTTCTTTCACATTGCTTGATTTAATAAACATTCTTATTTTTTTTTCAAATTATGAAGGGATGGAAAATAAGATTAATTGATGCCAATTCGAGGAGGGAAAATGATTAATTTAAAAATTAAGAAAACTCTGAACGGCGATGGGTTTAATGGGTGACAGTCATAAGAAAAATAACAAGTGTAATCTACCTTTGATGCTACAATAAAGAGGGTTGTCTCAGGGTTAACCTTCTTCAAGACCTCAGCAAGATGAGTTCCATCGATGTTTGAGACAAAGTGAACCTTGAGCGGTCCTCCAAATGGTTTCAGGGCTTCTGTCACCATCACTGGACCCTAAACAAAGACAATGGGATTCAGAATTGGAATAAAACACACCTCATAAGCACTCCTACGTTGTGTCATATATGTGATTTTGTTTGTCTATTATCATGTCCATATAATGTGTTCGTATATTACGGAACTACAATTGGACAAGGCCTAAGGGCTTTATTTATATCGTTCCCATTTTATTTTTTAATTTTGAGTATGATTTATTTGTATTTTAATCATTGATTGTACTTTTTACTTGAGAATGAAATAAATGAAAAAGAGAAATAATAATTCAACAAATCAATCAAACTACAACAGATTCATGTTTCATCTTTTTTTAAATAGTAATTTTAACAGTTTCAATAATTTAGCTTCATTGCGGTGGTGTTAATTACACTCATTGAATCACTCCTAAAGATAGGAGAATTCTCAGCAAAATGGTTATGTAATCTCTGATAGACAAACAAGCAACCTTTATCTGTCTAAGATTTCTTCATTCGTTATAGGCAAAACACAGAAAATATATGGCTGATAAGTTAAATTTTAATCCATCAAGTGTTTGGATTTAGGAAGAAACTTTGAACTCCTTGTTTTATTAGAGGACTGGTTTTGAATTGTTTTATTTGAACATCCTCAATATTTTTGGAGATTGAACATTAAATGTAAAATAAAGACACCCAATCAATGCGATGTGTGCTGATAAATAAATGATTCATTTGCCTAATATTGAAAGTGGATTGACTTACAAGATCTGATCCTCCGATACCAATGTTGACAGCATCAGTGATTGCCTTGCCTGAGAATCCTTTCCATTCACCGCTACGAACAGACTAAGGATAAATAAAGAATAATATAAATAATGATAAATAATATTAATGATAAATAATATTATGTCCATTAATATAGCACAGCTATTACCCCCAGCTGAAGCTGAGCCACCCTAAAATGCTAAAGCCTTCAAGGAATGTCTTCCCATTCACCCATTTACTTCACCTGGGTGGAGAGTGGCAGATATAACTGGTTAGAGAGAAAGAGGACAATTCATCTAATCTGAATAATATATATTCACACTGTCAATCAATAATTTTGATCTTAGAAATACAATGGTTTTGTTTACTCTGAATCAATATTTGTCATTCAACATTAGACAAACGCTAAAGTGCATGAAGTACTGGGCTTAAAAATGCAATGTCATGGTTCCCAAGTATACTGATTTCATATTTTAAAAGGAAGATACAATCTCATGTTTTGAACCCTACAATTGAACAAAGTTAAGTACTACCTAATCTGAGCTTAAATTTGCAATGTCATGGTTCTCAAGTATACTATTACTGCTTTCATACTTAGAAGGAATACATACAATAGTCTCATGCTTTGAACAAAGTTCTGTAATACGGTAACCTGACTCCCACATGTACGAATCCCATTTAACAGTAGAATATAATTACTTTTCTGATAAAAGTGTCACCTGCTAAAACTAAGCTTTATGAATGGAAGCTCAGAGTGTTTGTGTCTGATCAATCGAGTGTGTTTAGCCGCTCCCACTGGGCACTACTAACATACTGGGTCTAATTCTCGTGGAGGATTTTCAAAATGGTTCTAACACATTACAGGCTTATCAAAGGTCTATACACAGTTCTGGCCTTTCTAAAAATCTTGTGGCTGTCAAAGTTTTGAGCCAGACAAACTCTGTAATAACTGTTTTACCTCTGTAAATTTCCTGACACGACCAAGGACCTCATTGACATCTGTCATGACGTCCTTGCCATTGACCAGGATAGGGGTGTTAGAACGGTTACGTAGGGCAACATGGAGCACAGCCCGGTCCTCCGTAAAGTTGATCTTCTCTCCTCCAAACATACGATCTCGAGCTCCCTCCAGGTCTCGAGCTTTAGCCTACAAGGTAATGAGAATGTCAGTAGGAATAGGTTTGGAGAATGAGCCAGTTTGTAGACACAATCTGAGCCTGGGCAGATTAAGTCATTTGATTTTGTACCAAAATTTTAAAAACCCCATTGAGAGTTCGAGACAAATAAAGGATTCATGCTCAGGAAAGTTATGTAATCATAGGTGGAACTTGGAAGTATTCTTCTCACAAGGGCAAACAAAAGGTATTCATGAAGCACCTTCATTACTATGGCAGTGATTATTCTACAATTCAGCAAGTGGTACGTTTCTATGTGTCAAAGATCTGTGGATATTCGTGGGTCATTTGTACCAAAGGTAACTGCGAACTGGTCTTTTGGGTTTGTGTGTTTGTCATTAGTCACAACATTCTGTAAGTTACCCTCATGTCTGTCGGGCTTGACACTACAGACACTCCACAAATATATGCATTTGTTCCATCAGTTTTGTACAACAAATAGTTTTTTTAGTGAAGGAAAAAGTAATTACCGGTACAAAGAAAATGCTTTGTGACCTATAGAAATCATAAAACTCCTACATCACTACCCAGTGACTTTGGCAGCTTCAGATTTGAAAATGAACAAGTAGCACAACATACATGTACTTGCTCTTCATTATGGACAATGTCTTGGATTACCTAATACGTACACATGAAAGTTATTATGGAACCTACATGTACAAGTATCTACAGCACACACACCAAATTAGCTAAGTGACCCTAAAAAGTTCAAAGGGACTTGGTAACATTGTCCAGATGAGAGAAAATGGTGCTAAGGTAGTGACTTCAATGCTAGATGTGCAATTAAAGATAATCTGAAAGTTTGAGTGAACACATACCATAATTAATGATAAAAATCAGTAAAAACTTATCTAAAAACTTATAGAAAACCATAGGTATCTTTGTGGTTTAAGAATTTTGTTATGATTTGTTTGCTTGTCAGAGAGTACAGTAGGAGGAATATAATAAGTAACATTTCATACAAAAGTTACAAAGTTTTTTCATCAACCTTCGACAATGTTACTGAGTCACTTTAAAAGCATCTTGCTTTAGATGAACTAGCTTACCAGTTTGAGCAGGAGACCAAAGACTTCATCATCCACAAGATTCTTGGAGAAATCTAGGAGAAAGTCTCCATCTGGAGTCGGAATAGTGCGGCTAAAAAAGAAAAAAGAGAAATTTCTTAATTGCTACGTTAAAGGTATTACAAAGTTTTGGTATGGGGTCATGAATTTGGTTCAAATTAAAATATTGGAAGCATATGCGTTCCTAAAATATTCATCGATCGTTGTCGCGGTTGAAATCGAGTCTGAAGTTATGAAATTATAAATAATAAACTCTTTATGTTGTATAGCTCCCTCTCAAGGTCAAGATATTAATATAGCTTTGAAACAATGTTTCTTGACTAAAATCGACCGATTAGCTATTCCCGTTCGGAAATTATATATCACAACTACATATTCTGAGATTTCCATGGTCGCAGCTACCATTGTACGGCCATAGGCGCTATTTGAATTTTTTGAAAATTTACCGGGAGCACCGGTAAATTTTTATATTCAATTTTTCTCAAAAACAGAAGTGTTTTAGGGGCTAATTTTTTTAGTGCTTATAATACATCTACATGGGCATCCAAATATATCAAAATTGTAAAGATTCACTATCCACCCAATTTTCAAAATTTCCCAAAACTTTGTATCAACTTTAAGGCAAGGCACGAGGTAGTCAATCCAGAGGGGATGACACTGAGAAACATACATTAGAGTAGAAACCATGATTTATTTCTGGAACATCCTAGATCTATACCAAAGTACAGGTTCTGGAAAAATTGAAAAACCACTCTTTAACAAAAATAAGTTTAAAGGTAGGAAAATAAAAATTGTATCACTATCAATCAAAACAATCTCACTTTTTTTAGTTTAACAAAATAACACTAGAAATACAATTTGTTTTAAGTGGACAAAAAAGGGTATATCTTTACACTGGATGATGATGATGATGCACAAAAACATGACCCCATTCCAAAATGTGGGCGTGGCAGGGGGTGTGACAATCAATCAATTTGTTTAATCAATTTAAACTGGCCACAGCAGAAGTCTCTAAATCTAACAAGTTTTTATCCATTCCAGCGGTTTTCAGATCTATCAAATAATACTTAAACTCCTCAAAATGGGTGTTCATACAATGTTTCAAACAAATGGCCTTATTATTGATTACCATCTTTATTGTATTATTAAGTCTGAAAATTAAAGGGCGCGGGCGTGAGTTGATCTGAGCAATCTAGCCGAGGTCAGTTTTGCAACCCTCGATGCGCCTGCTCTGGACCGGGGAATGTCAGCTGAATGCCGTTCGTTCGTGCGGAGCAGTGAAAATAGAAAGATATTTACCTGTATTTTTCAAACCGTTTTGGATCGGATTTCATCAGCTGATTAAGGTTCAATTTGCTTCCAACTCGGTCATAGCATGCCTTGAGTTCTTTGTATGCTGGATCTTCAGTCAAAAATGTAGCAGCCATGATGGAAATTTAGCAGAAATCACAGACAAATAGGCGGAAGTATTTCAACCGAAACGGGAGCTGACCGGGTCTACGTGCAAATAAAACAATAAATACTTCCTTACGAGCGCGGCGAGCGCAGTCGCACCTAGCCTGGCCTGGGTGAATCCCGACGCCACGCATTACCGTCAAAGTCGAGCGATCGCGAGACCTAGCTGCATGCTGCTTTCCGAATCCGTTTGCTATAGCGCCATCTTGTGGAAAAAAGGCAACAACTACCTAATTTGACCGAATCTTGTTTTTAGGCGATGCATGCAGCTCAGTGCGTTAAATATAGCGGCAGCGCAGAGTAGTAGGCTAGTGGATTTTCTCTACGAATTGAGTCTACATTACAGCGCTGACATCGGCATATGACAAATCGAGATTTGAGGAGAGATGAACTATTTGACAAATGTCGTCTTTCTCAGCTGGTTTCTGAGAAAGCAGCGTGTCAAAAAAGGTGAAGGTATATCCATATTTTCATTTTGACGGTGTTTGATATTTATTTTATTGAGCAGAAAAGAAGAGGAGTCAAACTAACTAACGTCAAAGAGTAACGTCAACGACAGTGAGCTGAGTCGGTGACAACGACTCAACGTTTACGTTTAGTTTATTTTTGTCACTTTGGGATTGGTAAAACACAGTGTAGCTTATGTGTTACAGACTTACAGTTACATCTATGATCTAGACAGAGATGAGAGTGAAACGAGAGATAAGCCTGGAATTTATGAATGCTAAATCTATCATCAAATGATCAACGTCCAGAGGCCAATGCATGCAATGGTGAATGAGTGTTGACCAGGCCATGTTGACTGTTTTGCTTGTTGCGATGTGGATGAGTTGAAAAGCAATATTCTTTATAAAAGATCTTGATCTAGGCCTAGAAATAGAATCTAGAGATCTAGATCTAGTTCTTATTTCGACGTGTGTCTGGATACGTTGTGTATCCGAACAATTTGAGGAAGTTTACAGGCAGTATTTCATAAAAATTAAGTCTTCTGAGACTTGGATCTAACTTTTAGATCTACATTGTTACTTCAAGGACAAAATTCAGTGCTATTCGATAAATATTTTTCATTCAATCTGAACTGAAAGAAAAGGGGAAGGTTTCATGCTTATTCAGCAGTAGGGGCGCTGGTCCAAGAATAAGGATCGTCTGCATAAACGAGGATAATCTACGTAAACGCAGACAGGCGTGTCCTAAAAAATAAGGATCCGCATTTTCGCGGACGATTCTTATTTCACACGTTGGCGATGCGAAAAACGGATTCCACGATGATGCTCCTTGATGCATTTCACACTTACTTTGCACAGAGACTTTCACGTTTAACCATGCTTTACAAAGCCATCAACCACCTAGTCGCAGTACCAATTCCAGATTACATCCAACCAAGACTCCGTTCAACACGCCAGCAACACCGACACAGATTCATGAGACCCAGCTCCAACTCTGACAGCTACAGGCAAAGTTTCTTCCCAAGAACACTCCGGGACTGGGATGAGCTCCCTACCAACTTCATTGAACTGCCCTCTGTGGAGAAGTTCAAGGGAGCCATCAGCGCCTAAATCATAGGAGGAACTGTTTTTACTCGCACAACTTGTATATACGCACTATGCACTAATCAATCATGACCTCTATGAGAGACACCACACCACAATATCCTCGTTTAGTTGCTGAAAAGGCTTTTGACGAGTACCAGCATAGACGTAGACGTAGACGTTATGAACGATAAATCCTCTGGAAGATTGACAACCCATAAAAGTTGACGGTGAACTGGGGATATTTTGTTACGCGGAATCCGTTTTTTGCATTGCCAGCGCAGATTGGGAACCCTACATCCGCGAAAATGCAGACGATCCTTATTTTTTAGGACGCCATTTGTCCGTGTTTACGAAAATATCCTTGTTTATGTGGACGATCCTCATTCTCTGTGTCCAGACACCCAACCTCCGATAAGTACTGCCGGTAGATCTAACAAGTGTTGTGCCATTGTGAATACCCGGATAGCGCCGCATCGCCATAACGTCACGATAAAAAACCTGTGTATTGTTTTATAAGATGGGGCTACTATCAAATCTTATCAAGGCGATAACATGTTACCCCGCAACCTTCATAAAAAAATTAAACGTGCACATAGATATAGACCTTCATTTTACTGCAAGGCACCAATTTGTGCTTGTATAAGACCCATCCCCAACTTTTGAATTTTTCGGCGGAATTAAAGTGCGTCTTATACACAGAGATTTACGGTAGGTGAAATGAAGCTTCATAGCAAATGTTCCAAATGTACTTTAACCCTTAAAGGACAAGTCCACTCGAAAAATAACTTACTTTCAATAAAAGTAGAAAAATCGGACAAACCAATCCAAAAAAGTTTGAGCAAAATCGGATAACTAATAAGAAAGTTATGAATTTTTGAAAAAGTATGTGAAACTATGGAACAATAAGAATCGCGACATACATTGCCAAGGTGGTTATCAGTTTGTGACATCATGTCCTCACTATTTATCAATTGCTCTATATGTATCCCATTAATTTCCTTTTTATTCCCCAAAACATGATTTTCCCATGCCTTTGCCCAGGTTATATGATTTGTATCATATTGCATGCATGACATTTCAAAAAATCTTTTATGAACTTTGAAGAATAACTATTTTCTGAATATTGTATATTCATAATTATTGATTTTTATATAAATAGTTTATCAAAATTCATATTTTTCATGATTTAACTGGAAAAAATTACTCTATATTAGTGCATCCACACAAAAACATATTACTATTAATCTAACTTGGATGCTGGTGTGAAGAAATAAGATTCTTAGGAGAAAATAGGAAATTTATATCATCAATATAAAGAAATAATTAGTGGATAGTGAGGACATGACGTTACAGACTCATGAGTGAGTTGCCAATTTGTCTAGTGATTTTCAAAGTTTTTAATGTCATTAAAAATTCATAACTTTCTTATCAGTTATCCGATTTTGCTCAGACTTTTTTTGATTGGTTTGTCTGGTTTTCTGCTTCTATTAAAAGTAAGTTATTTTGGGAGTGGACTTGGGCTTTAAAGGGCCACTCTAACCCAACTAACATAGCCTTTCAAAATATGAATACACCTCTACTTATTAATATTCCAGCCTCCAATTTTTCAGAAAATCTCTATGTTGACCAAAAAATGATAATAATCATCCATTTCTCACAGATCTCACGCTTGCTGGGCTACGCCCCTCTAAGCCTCGTGGCTTGATGACGCATTTGACGTCATTGCGGGAATGTCCTTGTATTTGTCTTAAGGATCTTAAAATCTTATTGTAATTCATAATTTGGAATGACGAAATGGATGGCCATAACGTTCTGGGATTATCAAGTGCATATTTTTTTCTCGGATAAATGTCTCTTTTTTTCAATTCTACTTTGCCTTTTTAAAGACATTTTAATGCCTAAATTACCCTCCCTTTCATAGAGAAGTCGCAAGCAGACAATTTTTCCTTAGACTCCTACCACAGTCCTTTCATTATTTTGCATGCGTGTTCTTGTCAGCCTTTAGAAAACAAAATATTAATGAGTGGGCTCAGTGGGCAAAGAGTCTACAGTCTCCTATAGTGACGTCATATGGGCTTTTTTTTTAGCGTTCTCATTCATCATTTTTAAAGCTAGATTCCAGAATATTGATGATTTCTATTAAAGAAAAATCATTGTCATGTCGGAATCTCCGTCAAAATTTATTCTACATGTCTTTTTTTCATGTTTTAGCCCGTTTTGGTAAGAGTGGCCCTTTAAGCAATTAAACCGCCAGAAACCGCCCCTCCTTTTACTTTTAATCATGTTCATGAAAAGAGGCTTAAAAACTCCAAAAACACCTACCCACACACTCAAAAACAATCTGTCATTATTTTAAATTAATCAGAAAATGAACATCGGCATCTCCAAAGTTTTAAAGTTAATGATGCACTTACATAAATGCTAGTTTACTTATATTTTACATGATATGCTGAGAATGACTAAACGTAGAAAATTATTTAAAAAATATATAAAAACACAAAATCTGCTTGTCATTCTCTATCTGATTTCTAAACATCACATTTTCATTGCTTCATCATCATCTATTTTTCTAAGTGTTTTATAAAGTCACGTTTTGAGGCTGCATGGGAGCTGGAATAAAGCTTATCTGAAGCTTTAGAACCTAATCTGAGTAGAGCATAAACATCAGTGCCAGTCACAATGCAGTAATTATAATTTTTACCAATTTCCCTGCTCATCCCTACAGGCCTTTATTCAGATCATATACATAACCATCCAATCTGAAGTACTAATGGGAAATTTAACAGTTTCCTCCCCCCCCCTTCTCCCCTCCCCTTCTCCCCTCCTCCTTCTCCCCTCTCCCTTCTCCCCTCTCCCTTCTCCCCTCCCCCTTCACCCCTTCCCCCTTCTCCCCTCCCCCTTCTCCCTTTCCCACATTTTTTAAAGAATAACATTTCTTTTCTAACTATAGACCCATTACCTTATTACCCTGCTTCTCAAAGATCTTAGAGAAAATCATATATAATCGTATAGCTAATCATATACATAAGAATACTTTATTAACTAATGCCCAATATGGTTTCAGATCAAATCATTCTTGTGAGCGTGCACTGATTGAACTACATGATGTACTATTAAATAATATTCATAATAATTTTCATTCACTTGGTATTTTCCTTGATCTATCAAAGGCATTCGATCTGATTGACCATAATATTCTTTTGTATAAATTACCGTATTTTGGAATTCGTGGTGTCGCCTTAGACTGGTTTGATAGTTATTTACAGAATAGGTCCCAATATACAAGGTATAATAATTTTGATTCATCTCTTTCCAAGGTTAAATGCGGTGTTCCGCAGAGATCCATACTCGGTCCCTTGCTATTTTTGCTGTATATTAATGATTTGTGTAATGTTACTTCATTTTTTCATTTTTTTTATTTGCTGATGATACCAATATCATTTCCTCACATAAAGACTTTAATACGCTCCTACATATTAGACTAACAAAGAGTTAGGCAAAATAGTTGACTGGTTTGATTCCAATAAGTTAGTAATTAATCATGACAAAACATGTGTTTTGTATTTCTCTAAACGTAATATTAAGTTTCCTCGTCATACAATCAAAGTGAAAATTAATGATATATACTTGAATGTTTCTGACTCCGTAAAATTTCTTGGAGTTTTATTGGACAATCAACTTACTTTTCAAAACCATCGTATGTACATACTAAAAAAGATCTCTAAAAATATTGGAAACATCTGTAAATTGCGTTCTATTCTACAAAAAAAAACATTTATTCATGCTATATAATTCACTTATACTTCCTTTTATTCATTATTATAACATTACTGGGCCAATGTAGGAAAAAGCAAATTAGTACCATTTCATAAACTGCAGAAAAAAGCCTTACGCATTTGTACAAAGTCACCTTATTTAGCGCCATCTAATATTTATCATATATATGAATTTAAAGTCGCAGTACTGATGTTTTATGTCAAACATAAAATGGCCCCAGCCAATATAATTAATTTGTTTAACTTTAATAATGATTTTCATCAGTATTACACACGTTCAGCTTCCCAATTTCACCTTCCATTAACTTCTAATACGCAAATGTATAATTCTTTTAAACATGTAGGACCGAAGATTTTTAATAATTTAAATACAATCATTCGTCCATGTTCAACATCCTCCTCCTTCAAAGTCTTACTTAAAAGTCACTTTATTCATTTATATACTTCTTGATTTCCATATATATTTTTAATCAGTTTACCTCATATATACATGTACACTGTACATGTAATCTCTCTTTCTCCTTCCCTTCTCTTGGGTGAGTGTGTGTGTGTGTGTGTGTGTGTGTATGTGTGTGTGTTGGATGTGTCTGCTTGTGATTATTATTAATGTTTTACGTATAATTTTTTAATTTTGTCAAATGTTTATGACAAAAAAACATTTTTTTGACCAGGGAGAAATGACCAGTCTACAAGATCTTGATCTATTTTGGTTGCCCCTAACGATATGTTAATTTTATACATGTTTATGTCAATATCTTTTATTGCATTGTACTATTTTCTTTTATATCGTTGAATAAAGATGAATTGAATTGAATTGAATTAAATATACATGTATAGCAGCACTTTTAGTCTAACCCAAGGGTCTGAAGGTGAAGTAAAATTATTAAATTGTTTGCAAAATATTCTGTGTGAAAAATGTACAAAATAAACTGTATTCTTTATTTTGCCTTGAGAGATTCCTAACTTTTGCTGTGAAAGGTAGGCATAGGCAGGTATACCTTTAAGTTTTAGCTCACTTGATTTTGAGTATTACCAGGTAGGGTTTTTCCCCCACGTGCAATTCACACCCCCATCCTTGCATTTTAATTGCATTTCTTTCTTTACATTTGATTAACCACAGATCAGCATCAGCGCATCTTATGAAACCACCCCGCATTTTGTGAGAAGAGCACAGATTTCTGAGGCTCCGTCCAAGAGGAGGTGATACCAAACTCAAAATCTTTACCTTCTCCAAGAATTTTCTCCGTCAAGATCTGCGTATTTTGAAAGACTCTAATATAAGGGAGAGTTCAACTAATGAGGAGACAAGTTGATTAATATTGTCCTTTTTAAAGACCTAATAAGTCAGGGATATGGTTTTTTAATGAAACGTGTCACTAGATTTAATGAGAGCAAAAGGAAATGTGAAGTATAAAAGATCCTTCCATCACTGTTAAAAGCCTTTGCCTTTGTAAATGACAGTGAATAGCGTGGTTCGCTCTGAATGTGTGCAGTTTTCATGAAGGGATGCATTGAGGTAGAGTCAGGATGGCTTTCTTTTCATCAGAAGCAGAGTGACTGACAGTGCAGCTTCTTCAATCACTCCATCTCGTAAAGGGAGTAACTAAAAGTCATTAGTAGTTTCTGACAGTCAATTATGTATCATGCAGCCAAGAGATATTACTAGTCGAGGGCCTGGCTGAGCCCAACCAAATCACATCGGAGTCTTAGGAAACAAATTTTTCAAAGAAGTTACGGGTCATCTTGGTGATTCGTTCGTAACCAACCATTTTGTTGTTGTCTACACACTTGGACTATCCCGAAGTGACTATGTCTGTGGGGGACCATGGCAAGAGCCGCTCACAGTTCCACCGGACCCTTCCCACCAACACCTTTGCAACCAATCTTGAAGACTTGCAGACCTACAGCAAACAATGTCTGACTGCAATGAACTCGATGTGTCAGGCCAGCGGGCACCTGGCCGAGACGTTTGCTGCCCTCTTCCACGACACCTCCCTGGCGGAGGCAGCTCTAAGGATGCAGGAGGTGACCCATGACCTCGGGTCGCGGACGCAGGACGCCAGCACCCACGTGGAAGAAGACGTTACAGCCATGATGAATAGAATCATCAACAAGGGCAGCAGTCACAAGTCAGAAGAAGGTGTCCAGGTAACATTTAATCCATTTTATTTTTACATTCTCATTTCAGCCCTTAATGGCATAAATTTGTATAATGCAGTCTTACTGTCTTACCAGATAACATAGAAAGAATGCTTTTCTCTGTGTTTATGTCAGACTTGATACTGTCGGCTGGTCAGAAATGGTAAACCATGACTTTTTATCAATACGTGTAATGAATGCTGATAGTTCTATGTTATCAGATTCTTAAATGTGAAGCGTTACATGTACATTAATGGCACTTCGTATCCGGACACCAACCCCCTGGACATCCACCCCCACCCCCCCCCCCCCAAACCACCCCAGTCAACTATCCCCCCCCCCCCCAGGAAAACTACCTAGAGGGCAACCACCCTCTAGGACGACTACCCCCGGGGCAACCACCCTCTAGAACGACTACCCCCGGAACAACTACCCCTTGGACAACTACCCCTGGACAACTACCCCTGGACAACTACCCCCCAGACAACTACCCCCTAGGATAGTTGCCTGGGGTAGTTGTCCTAAGGGGTAGTTGTCCTACATGCAGGGAGTAGTTGACTGGGGATGGTTATCCGAGGGGGGGGGGGGGTATCCGGTGGTGGATGTCCAGCGGGTAGGTGTCCTAGAACCATGGCACTTGCATCATGATAAGAGGAAAGTCCCAAGGTTTACCGTGCCGTATCTGATCAAGACTTTGTCTTGGTACGACTCGGGTTAAATGAGTGTGTACCTAGAGGTAATGTACATGTACTCATTGAAATTCACCTTTCATTCATTGATTACCATTTTGATATGATTTGGCTACGTAGCCTACGTTTACCTGTATTTCTATTTTCTAACAATGTGATTCCATTTCCGTGAATTTTGTTACGATTGTGGTAAGAGTTTAAAATGTCAGAAAATTGATGAAACCGATTGTCTCATTAACAGACAAAAGTTTAAAATCATGTCTCTCAACAAAACCACAGAGGTTATCAGGTAAGGTTTCCAAAATACATGCATTTAAAATTTGGTGTAATAGTTTGGCAATTATTGCATCGATATACCAAAAAGAATTTGCAAGATGGTTGGAAATTATTCTAAGCATTGTACACTGAATGTTGATATATACATGTATGTATATGGAAATTTTGAGAGAGCAGGTTTTTTAATTTTATAGCTATGGTCCAGAATACTGGAATTCAATTATTGTGATGATCTTTTGATTTTTTATTTATGTACATCTATAAGAGTATTTCTTTAAAAGAAAAGTTGTCAAAATCATATAGCTTTCAGCCAACAATGCATGTACATACCGGTACTGTACATGCAGGCCCATTTACACAGCCCAAAACCATTTTGAAAAAACATCATTTTATTGGGGACCGCCATTTACACTACCGGAAATACCAATAAGTAACTGCTGGTGTTTGATTATTCCAATGTTTTTCTTGTGAGTTGTGCGCATGCGCCACCTGACGCTGCCTTGCATGCGTTAGCATGGAAGTGAGGAGAGACCGTGAGAGTCATGTGACCAAAAAACAGAATCATGAACTGATGTATTGAGAGTGAGCATTTACACTGCAATAACCTGTGAAATTTTCTGCCAGCTTTTAAAAAACCACACTTCAGAGGTGGGTATTTTTGTTGTGTTTACCTGTAGTTGCTTAGCAACTTCGGACGAAAAGTGAAAAAAATCAGAGATTTTTCCTTGTATTGTAAATGCAGCTTCTGTAAACATCAGTAGACCTATTACTCTTACTATTATACTGTATACAGCAACATGATTTGTCAGAACTCAACTAAAGACATACCAGTGGTACCTACAGTATTTCAGATTGCTTACAATTAGTCACTGCTTTTTTGTCTTTCCCAGTTAGAATCATGAACAGACATTTTTGGTAGTTTTTCAGTCTCATCAGCGCCTTTGATAAGGCAACTAGATATTGGCGCTTTATAAATATCTGGATTGGATTTGTCCTTCCAGGGTTGCCTCTTATATAGATATTTCAAGGGTAGGCTGCATAAGAATTATCATTATGACTACATGTATTCACAGATCAGATAAAACTGTACATATAATGCAGTATGAACACATGTTTTAGGCCATGTAAAAAAATATACATGTTTAGCGTCCCAGTCCGCTTCCTTTTTGGGGGCCGCCTCCAAATTTTTGTTTAATTTTTTTTTGATTTTTTTTTTTTTTTAAAGAAAAAAAACATGAAAAACATTGCTAAAATGGATCTATTTCTGATTTTTTTTTTTTTTTTAAATTGTCGGCCGCCATCTTGAAAAATTGCCCGAATGTCAGGGAAAATGTACAGATCGGCCATTTTGAGCGGCCATTTGAAAGAAAAGAAAAAAAAGGGCTTCCTCCTTCCTATTTTTCAAAAAAACAGGACGCTAAACATGTTTTTTTTTATTATTTGGCCTTAGGCTAAATCATGTCCAATGATTCAAAGGCCCCCTCTTCAAATCACATTGTACATCTACAGTGTACATGTTACATTAGATGTGTTGAATTGTGTTCTATGTAATAGGCCATCTGAAATGAAATGAAATGAAATCCTACCATTTTAAACAAGAAAACCCTGCTTACACTCAATTATATACTGTACACACTGTACAATGTACATTGATGTGATACATTGATCATTCTCTACTCTTTTCTGTTATTCATCATGTTTGCATTAAAATTGCATCTACACAAATGTACTGACAGGTAAATGTACAAGTTTGTATGTAAAGTGTACATATAGTTTCTTTGTTCATGCACAAAACATTTCACTCTTTCTTTAATATTTCTCGTATAATTTTTCACCTTGGTCTTTTCTGTGAATAGCATTTCACATCACACCTTTTCTGTTTCTGTTTCTCTTCCCTCTCTCTCTCTCTCTCTCTCTCTCTCTGTCTCTCTCTGTCTGTCTCTATCCTGCCTTTCCATATACATGTATGCCTCTATATCATTATCAGTCTTAGTCTCCTCAGCATTGGCAAATTATTCACTCTTAGATTTCTATTTGCTTTATTGCTTAATCTCTCTCTCTCTCTCTCTCTCTCTCTCTCCTTTTTTTCTCTGATTCTCTAACCTGCTTTTCCATTATATGTATGCATTTATCATCTTCAGTCTTAATCTCCTCAACATTCAAAATTATTCACTCTTAGATTTATATTGTCTCTCTCTCTCTCTCTCCCTCTGCTTGTACTCCATAATCTATTTACTATTTACTATTTAATCCCTCTACATGTCCATTCTTTGCTGTCTTTTGCATAAAATATCCTCCTCATATCTGTCTACATCTCGTTTCATCCACGCCCCGTCCAATCACTACACAGTGACCCTGCCCTATATCCCCCGTCGTTGGGTCGGTCACTGGATTTCTAAATCCCCTCGTTTCAGTGTCTCATCCTACCGGCCCTGCCAGCCTGCCTGCCTGGATATTCTCGTCTTCTTCACTTTCTTCCCTTTTTAATCAGGTACAAGCGTTCTCGTTTTCTCCTGACCCCAACACTTTTTGTGTCTCGTTATCAAATATGCCTGGGCAGGCTGGCTGGCGATGGATCGTTGAGGCAGTGAGTGAGCCAGCCAGCCGCTCCATTGTTAATCACATGCATTCAGTGCTTGCATCCTCCTCCTCCTCTCTCCTCCTCTCTCCTCCTCTCTCCTCCTCTCTCCTCCTCTCTCCTCCTCTCTCCTCCTCTCTCCTCCTCTCTCCTCCTCTCTTCTCCTCTCTCCTCCTCAAGGGGAAAGCTTGCCACATGTTTCCTGTTGGCTATCAATACAATTTTACTCTGGTTATGAGAAGATATGAAGAGTAAGCACTCTGACATGATGGACACAAAGGCAAGAAAGTAGGACAAATGTCCGCCTTTGCCTTAGAAATAAAAATCCAAACCGGTAGCAAGATTTCTGTGTCAGCCTTTATACTTTGCCATTTGTGTAAAGAGTGTGTGGCCAAGCTCTGCCATTACTTTATTAGATCCAGAAATAGTCTCCTTTTTCACTTTTGTTGTAGAGAGGAATAGGATTTTAAAGGAAGTGAAAGTGTTCCGGTCGGTAGAAAATATATTTTGAAGTACATTACATGCACATGTAGGCCTATTGCTTTAAAAAAAAAGTTTTCTATTAAACAAGCATTTTTAAATAGTAGCCTATATTATTTGAGTTGATCTTGCTAAAGCATCAAACAGAAGGATAAAGATCATATAATGATACTTAATTCTGCGCACTAGTTTCAACCTTTAATAGAGCACAGAGAGTGACCAGGATATTTTTAGACCTTTAGTTGACAAAAATTAAAAAAGGAATTCCTGCTGGAAATGAGACTACCTGCCTAAACCTACAACATTGACCTTAGGGTCCTTGCATGACCTTTCCCATGACCTCTGGGTAATGTTTTGGTTCCTGTAATGACATCATCTCTCTATATAGAGAGATTTTGACATGTTTACTACTCCCAATGCTCTTCTTCCCCTGTTCTGCTATTTCGATACCCAACTTCCGTTGCAAATAATTTGGCAACAGTGCCATGTTTGCACATACATTCAAATGTAAACACGTATCTGTGCAATTCTGATAAAACAAAACATGCAATCAACACAAAATATATGTCTCTATTCTAGCGATATGCTTTTCATTAAAATAAAAACCATGAAAACAGTGAGAATGTCTAATTTTAGCACTTTTTAGTCTGTTTCTCTCCAGATATTAGAGTTCATTTGTAAAAGAACGCAATTTAAGTGTATCTCTCTGGTTATTGATGTGTCTTCATTTTAGAATAGAATTATCTTCAAAGAAAAAAAAAATCACATACAAGGAAAGTTAGAACCGCCATCAACATGAAAGAACAACAAAATTGCGGACTGTAATTACAGGCCGACATGTACATGTATATGTACATAATCCACAAACATTTCAATCCTAATACTGCGGTTATGGAGGTTTCTCTTCAATAAAACTTTTCAATTAATTCAATTCATTAGTTTCAAATTATTTTACTAGGTTTCTCAATTCAAAACAGAGGCTGATT